GTGGGTAGAGTTTACACTTGCATACTGATCGCTCCTTTACAGTGCGAAGAATGCTTTGTTGGCTAGATGAGATTCAACCTGATTTTAGACTGCAAAAATATCAAGCATGGGAGAAAAGGAAGTGAAATTTATTATTTTTTGTAGTAGAAGTTATATCGTTCTCTCTGCTCTCCTTTTTTTAGTCAGCAAATGCCACTGATCCATTATCCAAAATTTCGAATCATGAAACAAGTGCATGGACATTTGGATGTCTTTATGTTGAAATGAGCTATGTGAAAATGAGTTGAACGAAAAAAAAACTATGTGCGTAGGATTTGCATGTACTCGTATCATGGTTGTTTCTTTCAATCGTATTCATTATTACATGATTCACCTCAGCATGAATATGTCCATTTGACAACCAAGCGCCTTTGAGCAACTTGTTGCCTCACCGCTCTACCTTTGATGAGAAAATGACACGCCTACTTCGCGTTCCTCTTGTCAATCCACGGCACGATTCAATAATTTTTTTCCTCTCTTTTTTACCGCCTCGCTCCAACTGTCTCTTTAAGACACTACAAAGCCTCATCGTCGATTCAACAGTTTAACGGTCAAATTCTAAGATTTCAGAGCTCAACGGCTTCTTTTATCCGGTTCCGTTCGTCACACTGAGGTACCTGATATCATGGACACACATTTGAAACCTCCTATCAGCTCGGAGAAATCCATAGCGGATACGTGTATTATGCAAGAAGCCAAAAGGAGTTGGTCTCTTTCCGGCCATGGCGATTCTTAAAAATGGGAAACTCTCGCGTTTTATCCATTTAAATTCATATACAGAATCTATATTTATTGATGCGGGTTGCCTTAGGTAGAATCGATAGTCTATATCATCCTAGTCTAGAATACAAAATCTTAAGATTAACGCGTAACGCATAACGCCCGAGGGGTGAAGCTCTCCGTGGTAGGGGTGGGGGGGCGTCCTCTAGTCATTGATGGCGGACTTAAAGGGGGGGGGGGAGTTGGTACGGATTCATCTTCCATAATGGAGGCCTAATCATAGCTGGGATTAAAACATTATGAATAGGGATTATTAAAATAACGTACATGATACACGTAAACGGCTTTGAGGAAAAGTGCATGCAGCACAGAGACACATTTTTCCAGGAGAGTGCATTACATCAAATTAAGTCGGAAAAATTCAGATAATCGTTTGGTAGGAAACATTAATTAATTAATCAATCGGAATACAGAGTCCGTGGTTCCTCTTGGGTCAGGAGCCCTGACTAATTTTTAAAAATATTCAACCGTAAGACTTGTTGTACAAAAAGCACGAAAAACATCGTGACGACTTTCAATCCATCATTTATCAAGGATATTTTTGCATCAGAGAAAACGTAAAACACGTCTTAAATCTGACTTCGGCTCATCGTCAGTTTGCCTTTAGTTTTCCTCGTAGGCAACACAAGCTCCCACGTGGCCGCATAGAGGTATCACTCTCTGGTATCAATCTTTCGAAGAGGAAGCAGGAATAATTCACCAAGCGTGGCGTGGAGCAGTGACTTGACCCCACTGTCTATTTGCCTTCAATTTTCAAGGTAGGCAACCCGAGCTCCCACGTGGCCGAATAGAGGTATCACTCTCAGGTATCAATCTTTCGAAGAGGAAGCAGGAATAATTCACCAAGCGTGGCGTGGAGCAGTGACTTGACCCCACTGTCTATTTGCCTTCAATTTTCAAGGTAGGCAACCCGAGCTCCCACGTGGTCGAATAGTGGTATCACTCTCAGATGTAACGATTACTCGAGGAAAGAAGCAGGAATCTTTCTCTAAGCCTGACGTACAGCGCTGAATTAACCTCGTATTTTTTCAATTTTTGCGAGATATATCGGTGCTTACCACTTTGAAGTCGCAGTTTGGGGAAAAGGTGTATTCCAAAATTGCTGTATTCGTGTATCGAGGCATTGGTAGGACCAAGAAACAAATGATATCGTAAAAATATGAATGGTTGATTTAAACAAATCATGAAAACTGATTTTGACAGGGGTGACTAATTTTCTCTCGATTGGACTTGGGCTGCTTGTGCAAGTGATAATTTACCCACAATCAGAATAATTTTCACAGAGCCAATGCTTTTGTCATAGGTATTAATGAATCTTAAGATAATTCGTTTGTTCTGTTATTACAATCACTGTAATTAAGAGTATTATTAAATTAATTTCAGATGAAATTAATTGTGGAACTGTTCGAATTATTCCAATAAAAGCGTAAGCTTCTTCCTGCTCTATTTGTCACATTTTTTTAGTCATTTTGCAGAGAACTACAACTTCTAGCTCATCCATAGAAGCACTTATCTGCACGAGGAAGCTAATAACAAATCTTCTGTGTTTCTGAAAGGAGACAGAAATCGTAGTTCTTTATTGGAAAATGTGGCCCAATTAAGTCCTTTGATGAATTGGATTTTGCAATAAGGAACTACAACTTCAGGCTCATCCACAGAAGCACCTATTTACATGAGGAAGCTTTTGACATATATGCTGTTTCTCGCATGAGCCAGAAAATATTGTTCCAAATTACAGAGCGCAGTCTAATTATCGATTAGTCAGTGGATCTGTAAATTTCGATGAATCGAAGCCATCGATTGCCAAAACTGGACGGAATACTGATTAGGACTAATCGACCAGTAAGATAATCGAACGACACAGTTTGTTTAAACATCGACCAATTGAGATTTTCCAAACACGATTTGATGAAATCCGAGCCGAGAAGGGCTCCAGTGGCGCGCGCCAAACGAGATGAGAGAGAGGGCATAGGAACACTTTCTATTTTTTTTACACAGCCGAGGAAGAAGTGCGCCCAGGCCCACCCGCCTCAAAGGACCGGAAATTCATTCATTCGGCGAGTGGGGCCCCATTCCCGAAGGAATTAAATTTCCCAAGGTCGCGCGCCAATGAAAACTAACCTGCAGCATCACCCCGGTTCCGATTTCTCAACTCTCCTCTCAGGATCCTCAATCCACATCCTCCCTCAGATAACGGCCTTTAACGGCGATCCCTCACAGTGGCGTAGACCCGGGGGGGGGGAGTCTAGTGGGCTGATCATTGAAATTTATAGACAAAGTTGTAGACGAAGAGGATATACGGAATATGGAGCAATCTTATTGGTTGAAATGGGTGGCTCCTATAGACTAGGGGAGAATTTGATGGACTGGCTATAGGGTTTCTTGTGGTTTGCCGTTAATTAGTCTATTACCCATACCTCTTTTGTCCATTGCAACCAACCGATTTCACCAATAGAATCTCTCCATATACCTTTTGTCTTCTTTGTCTATAGCTTTGTCTATCAATTTCAATAATGGACCCCCTCCTCAGCCTCGTTAATTGAACCTTCTTTTTTTTTACTTCTGCAAGGCAGACATAAAATATTATTAGGGGCATACGCAAAATAATGTATACCTTCCCCAAAGAATTCCCAGCAACGCGACTGATCCCTCGGCGCAGCGTGTGCTGATTGGTCTCGTGGGAAATCTAAGAGTCGCATGCATAGTCGTCCCCCAAATAGCTTATATTCTGGGAGTGGGGAGGCTCGTTAAAAAATCCTTCCAAATCGTTCAAATCCAACGATCAGTTGAAGAGACCAGATCATTCAACTTTGTGCGATCTGACGAAAAACCCGTTCAAATTTAAACGATCTGGATCGTTCATTTTTCAACGATCTTGAACGACCCATTTTTCTCGGGCCCTGACGTCTCATTTCTTTTTCCCGATCAAAAACCCCCTTCAAATTGGACAGGCGGCAAATTCATATCCGTCCGGTTACATGGATCTTCGTCAGCTCTTGGTTTTGACACATCTAGATTGGCGCAAAGTGACGTTTGGCAAACCTTTAGGTTTGTCTGTAAATTGAGAATTTCCGGGTGCAGCGATGGAAATTTTACGGTAAAGTCAGCCTGAATTTTTAAAGTAAGTTCCTAAGTTTAGTAACAGGAACGTTTAAATTTGGATCAAGTTGAACAGAGGCGCTCCAAGTCGCATTAGGTTTGAAGTTTCATTCCTTTCTAAGACTCAATGTTTAAATATTTTTTCGCGGCTTTGGATTTTCGATAGGAGAAAGGGTGCGAGTAGATGAATTTAAAACTACTCCAAACTCACATTTCCCTACAATATGACTTCGGCATTTCTGTTGTACTGGGTCCGATTTATAATCCTTAGGCGAATCCAGGAGGCGGGGGCGGTTGAAGGTGCCCGGTTTTTCAGTTTGCTCGAAAAAAGGAGGAGGAATTAAAGGGCAGAAAGAACTATGAAATGAACGGAGGAGAGAAGAAGGAAGGCCGCTTATATTTGGCAAGTATTCATGGCGAAATTTACTCAACTGCATATTAGTTAAGATGCTTCAAAATTTCGAAAAAAAATTTGGATGAAGCTCCCCGCACCCCCCCCCCAACACCCTTCCGCCTCTTTCGGTCGAAGCGTTTGGATCCGCCTATTTCATATTCCCAGCAAACTTGCAATACTTGACCTCCGATTACACTTGTGTATGGAGTTGTTCACAATTGATTTGCCAAATCCTGCGATTCGAATCCTTGTATTTTCAAGTTTCTCTCTCCGAGGAGTGGCGCACAGTGGATCGAGTCAATTAGAGAGGTCGGACATGAAATCCTTTACTAAAACTGCAAATTATGATGTTTTTTTCCGTCACATTTTATATTCTAAGGCATGCCCTCAAAAGAAAATTTCACGAGGAAACCAATGGAGCCACTTTTAGAACCTCAAATCTTTATATAACGGAGGAATGAGCTTTTAAAGTTTCCAAATTGTGTCCGACCTCTCCCATCGACTCGATCCACCGTGTGTCGTTGGAGGGGGACCCTTGGAGGGGAGCATCAAGTGAATAACCGTCCATCCTTTGAATAGAGAAAAGGACACCTCCCCGAACCACCTTGAACCTACCTGTTGCAATCGACCTACCTAGCAGCAGCCCTAGGATCACATCTCCTGATCCGTCAGTCGTCTTGAGGATTCGAACCCAACCAGTCGGCGCATCGAGAGAGTCTAACCTGACGCGGATATACTCGCGATCGCTAATTTAAAACTTTTGTCATTTTCGCAGTGATCGTATTGGGAACTTTCATTTTCACGTGAACAGATATCGATTGCTTTAAACTGCAGTTTTATTTATACCTGCGCTCATCAACATTTGTACCTGGCGCCTTGGAGTTTTTACGCTTACAATAAAGAACTGCGAGCGTATAGTCAATGTGTTCGATTAATTATTCAATTTAATTGTTTTTTTAATTACTGTCAAGTGAATTGCGATCTGATCAGTGTTTTCGAGATATAAAGTGAAGGATTAAAGCTTGATTATGGAAGTTTCGTCCACGATTCCCAACGCCAAATTGACTTGTTTCCCGGAAACCCGAAAGGTAACCGTCACCATCTTTCTATTTATTCGTTCAAATTGACAGGTTGCACCAGGAACTAACCGAGTCGCATTATGGATAAAAATTTATTTTGGCGTAGATCTGAATTTAATTCGTCGTAGACTTTCTCCTGTCGAAAATTTAAAGGCGAGAATTAATATACTCGACTCGAAAACATTCGTTAACCTCTGTCCATAACATTGAGTCTTAAGAGGTAAAGAAACTTCAAAATTCTTTTTCTTCTGTTAAACTCGGTTCAAGTATAAATCAAAGTCAGAGAAAGTCTCACATTGAGAGAAGTTAATAAAAAAATGATCTTACTCGGAAATATTTTCCTACTTTTGCCCATAAAACCAAATTTTTAAACTTTTACCCTGCGTTTAATTTTCAAGTTTGAGGATAAAATGAAGAAAACGGTCAATCCTCAAGTTTGCTGATAAGATACATTCGACGATAGTAACGTTCCAGATGAAGTTAATTAGATAAATGTTTTTAAATGAGGCAAATTCGTTAATAAAACTTAGACTGATAGGTGCATGTGTTTTGTGTTGTGTTGAATTCTGACTCGTCACGAGCGCGCAATCATATTACAGTCTTTTTTTTATTTACTCAGTTAGGGCGCGAAGCGGTCAGGATCGTACTCTCTAGTTTACAAGAATGGTAATGTTTGTGAGCAACGTCCAACAATAGGCATGAGTATAATAACAGTTCCTTACTTCCTCGAAAGTAAACAGTTAGGTCAAGTTACCAGCACTTCGATACATTTCAGTTTCTTTGTCTTCAGGAAATCGACGGTGTAAGTCGGCAATCACGTATCTCGTTTGCGGCGTTTGAAAATCTCCGCTCCCATTGTATTTTTTTAAATGAGAGCAAACCTACATCGATCCTTGAAGTTTTCGCTGAATTTTCTTCGCATAGAGAAGAAAAATAACGGCAATTTTCAAGAATTGCTATTTGGTAGTTATCCATTTAAAAGATAAAGCATGACAGGAAGTTATCGAACGTCGCAAGTTGAGGTAGGAGGTTGTGGACTTACGCAGTCGAAATGCTTCATTTTCATTACAGTGACGTTTTCCACTCAAATTTGTACGTAAGAGATACTGTGACTTCACGAATGTATCACGTATGCATGTATCTACACAAAGAATTTCGGGGCACGAGGGCCATGGGCAATTTTTTTCTATTTTGCTCATAATTTTTCTAGTGGGCATAAATTATGTGTACATCTTGCGTGCTGCAGTAGTTTTATGTTCTATAGAATGTGCTTTGTTCCGTCTAAATTGCGTGACATAGGCAGTAGAGAATGTTCTAATTCAACCAGCTGCCTTTACTATGTTCATGCTTGCTTTACTAATATATCGCAGTACTATGATTTTTTAAGTAGATAGACAGTAATAATTTCATCGATTTTTTTTTTTTTTTTTTTTTTTTTTTTTTTTTTTTTGTAGAAATATTAAGTGAATCCGTGCAATCGTATTCGCAACAATTCCTAATGAAAATCTCCCCATTCTTCTCTGAAGACCATAAAAATAGACGTTGATGGTTTCTAACTGTATTCCGATCATCCTGATATCTCTGAATTACTTTTCGTGTCGCAGAAAGTCGACTGAAAAAAAAATCTCGATGTATTTACTAAGAAAAGAGTAAAATTACCAAGAATTCAGGGTTCTATTTGATCCCAGTTTTTTCCTGGTAAAATTACCATTTACGGAATTGGTAATTTTACCGCGAAATCTTGGTAAAATTATTGACTTTCTCAATAATTTTACTGGACCTTGGTAAAAACGCCAATATTTTTTATCGACTGTGGTAGAATTACCGAGATAAAATGGCAAAGTTACCGGGAATTGATTACCAATAAAAGTGGTATTCTTACCTAAAAAAAACAGTAAAAATATTGGTTTTTAGGTAAGCTTACCAGTCTGTCTTGGTAAAATTACCAATAATTGGTAAAAAAAAAAGTGAGATGGCAAATGTACCAACAGACCTGGGTAAAAACGCCGAGAATTTTTTTTCAGTGTATACGTATACATTTTCTGATATATTTGTATGTTTTCTGTTCAGATCCGGAAGCCATTGATGGAGAAAAAGAGGAGAGCTCGGATTAATGAAAGTTTAGACGAACTAAAAAGGCTAATATTGGAGAGGAAATCTGAGGTAAGTTAAATTGCTCAAAATTTCATTCACACAATATTGTTTAATTATAGTAAAACTGGAGTCCACCGGTGATTTAGCTGTGGGTAGAATTTCAAAAACGTAAAATTAATGCAATAATTTGCAAGCAAAAATGCAGCAATGTAAAATTATACCGTTCGTCAAGCAGCAATCATGGGTCCCATTATTGGATTAATACACAAAATTATTAGCTTTCATTTCATAAAATCAGGCCGTTTTTGTTATTCCCCCGTTAAACAGTCCTATTCAACATTGATCTCCACACAAACTAGCACTAGAAAGTTCTCTAAAACTGCTGGGTAGAGGGTCGTATTTACGAGTGGCTTATTTTTCGTGAACTGCATATGGATTTTCAATTTAACAGTCTTTGAAGAATTTTGTGAGAAACATTATGAGACTACAAATTATTCTTTAAGATCACTCTTCAAGCTGAATAAATGGTTTTTCAGTTAAGTTCCTAGAAAAAGAGTCAACCTTCTCTGTAGGAATATCTAGAGTAATTTAATTTATATATAATAGAGGACCCCGGTCACCTTAGCCGGAAACTTTGAAAGCACCAAAGTTCATTTCCTATAACCGAAGTTTTTTCTTCTTCCTTCGAAGTTTTTTGCATCCGTATTTTGTGATGCTACCAGGGGAATTATAACAGACGCTCAGCCTCTAGTACTAAGTTTTTGAATTGTATCATATGTCATCCAACTGAAGAAGGCTGGGTTGTTTCCAGCCGAGACGTCTTGGTTTACAAGTTTGGTTCAAGCCTTGTTGGTTCTAGCCTTGTTGGAGTCCGTTTCAGATTATTTTTCCTCTTTTACTGTATGCCTGGGATAAGGGATGACGTACACCAAAAAGGTGGGAAATCAATCTGAAACTGGCTCTACTCGCGGTTGTACTTGTTTAAACTTTTAGAATCGCGCAGACCGGCCAAACTTTCTCCCCCTCCCATTATTAATAAAGAACGCAACGGAGACTGACGAGAAATTTCTTTTAAAATGGAAATATTTTTTTTTAATATGTTGCCTAGAGTGGGAGGGGGGAGCTTGACCCCCCTCGAACCCTCTCGTAAGATCGCGTAAGGAAAGTTCAAATCCTCTCCCCTCCTTAAGATCCTAAGCCTTAAACAGCATTCGACTCGAGGCCTAAAACTTATAAATGAGCAACATTGCAGTGCTGATAGTTCCTTATTGCAAATTGCAGTTAAATTGTACTGTGCCCAACATTTTGCACAACTTCACCCAATGGGGAATTCGCAAGTGTCTGAAATTTTTTAAATTCCATGTTTAAAATGAAACTGCTAAAGAAAACTGGGCACGAGGATATCCTTGGTTTCTAAATTGAACAATTATTGGAAGAAAAATGACAGAATAACCTTATCTGCCAAAATACATGTGTATATTTACGTGGAAAATGCCTCTAGATGACGTCACAAGGCAGCACATTCTCTCACTTTTAAATCTATTCTTCTCCAATTTCCCATTTCAGGAAAAAATTGTGAAAAATACTGCGAACTCAGCTTATTAAGCACTTTCACTCCGAGAAAAAAAAACTTCGTGAGTGGGGCCCGAAGTTGAGGTCATATGGATCTCTGAAGTTTTCGGATCACATATCTAAAAACTTGAGGTCGAGCTGCCGAAGTTGGGGTCAGACATCTGAAGTACTTCGATATATACCGAAGGGTTCGGGTCACTCATCTGAAGCACTCCGGTACATACCGAAGTGCCTCGATGTCTGACCGGAACTCCGGCAGCTCGACCTCAAGTTTTCGGATGCGTCATCGGAGAACTGCAGAGATCCATATGACCTCAACTTCGGGTCCCATGCACGAAGTTTTTTTCTCCGTGGCACATGCAGCAATAAAATTGTTTAGTGCAAATTCTCCATTCGGCCTTGTCTCCACGAGCCGTTTCGCGAGATTTGTCCCAGGGAAAAATCCCACTTACGAAGTTGGGAAAAATATTGAGTTAATCAATATTTTTCCCAGTACCAAGTATGGTACTTGTACCCCAAGACCCACTGAGGGAAGAAGAAGAAGTGAAAACGAACTGTGCGATATTTTATTCATTACTACATTGCTCATGTTTGTTTAGTTAAAAAATGTGTCTAATTGTCAATTGAGTGCAATTATTATTTTAATCCCGGTCAAATACTCGACTTTAACTAATTTATCTTCCCGCGCAAACTAGTCGCAGGACTGCAAAGAGCCCCTTCCCGTGGAGACGGTAACTGGGAAAAATCCCAGGAGTTTCATTCCTGCGATTCGAACTCGGGAAAAATCCCATGAAAACGTCCCGTGGAGACAAGGCCTTACGTAGAATTGTTTTCTTATTTTTCACTAACCCCTCCTTCATTCTGATCTCCAGGACAGCCAGAACACGAAGCCGAACAAACTGGAGAAGGCGGACATCCTGGAGATGACAGTGCGCCACGTGCAAAGACTCCACGACGAACTGGAAGAGCTCCGGAGGTCGATCTCGACGTCGCCGAAGCAACCGACGCCCGAGGAGATGGAGAACGCCCGCAACGCGATGATCGAGAACCGGAGGGGCGCCCTAACGGCGAAGGTGGCGCCCGTCAGCCGCCACCACTACGAGGCCGGCTACAACGAGTGCGTCCGACAGGTCATCGCCGCCAGAACCAGGAGCGACCTCGACGAGGGCGTCCTCCACGATCTGTCCAACGACCTCAACAGTCTCCGGGAGAAAATCCAGTCGCACGATTTCCGGGATGCGTCAGCCAAGTGCTTCAGCTCCAATGGTGTCCGTCCGAGTGTCGCGAGAAGTGGCAACATAGTTTTCATCATCCCTGCCACGGATATCGACAGTAAGATCCAAGGACGGTGTCATGGGGATGTCCGCAGGGCGGATGACACGCGCATTCAAGCCAAACAAACCAAGATCAACATGTGGAGGCCTTGGTGAAGTTCGATGTTTTATCTGTGCGATAGCACCGAGTTATATCGAATTCGTAAATTGGACTGCGTTTAGCGGAAAGGCACCGAGCCGCATCAGCTATTTTCAAATTTCACTGGGCAATTTAATTTTTGGCGAGAGAACGTTTGTGCGGATTCCTTTGGAGATTTTAAGGAATATGCTTCGCATCAAGCAGAAAATTCACTGAAATTTGCGACGGCAAAAAGTTGCGCATCCGTTTTCATGCAAAAAATTAAACTGTCCAGTTAAAGTCAATAGCTGATAGGGCTTGGTTCATTTCTGCTTAACGCGGTCCGATTTTAACCAAAATGGTTAAAATTCACATCTTTATTACATTAGGACCTTATTCATAGTCTTTCCTTGAACAGCTCCTTTCCTAAAGAAGATCCCATTTGGTTCACTTTGTGATTAAGGGACCATTTACAATAGAATCATTAGAGGGGTCATTTTTACCTGCCTCGAGTAAAATTCAACAGAATGACTTTGGAATTCAACCCTTGCAAGGAATTAAAATTATTTGACTTTGACTCCACAAAATAAAATGACCAATTCTACTGCCTAATTTTATAAGCTACCATTACATTCCCAAACTTTTCTACTTTTTTTTCTTTTGGATGATATTTTTTTTGTGTCTGCCTAGTTACAAATCATAGTGATCTTTCGCATCGATCAATTTCAAATGTATTGTGTTGAATTTTACACCAGAGTCGAAAAAATAGTTCTTTTTTGATACCGAGTTGAAAACCTCTTTAATCATATAATGTAAACCATGCAAGACCTTCAATAGAAAAGAGGTGTTTGGCGAACAACTATAATTACAGCCCTTCATAATTGATCATCACATTGATAAAAATCAGAGTTAGAAGCTGACAGTTGCGTTGCGGCGGTATGCTAATGCGCGGAGGACATTTTATGTCGCGAAAATGTAGGGATGTGCTTATCACGCCAAGTTAAATTTCAGTTTTGGCTGCGCACACTCACTTATAATTACGTAAATATATCTGATTACCCTAGCCAAAAATGTCTTTACTATAGGATGCGTTGAGCAACTAAAATTTCAATTCTTGTGGTAAATTGCTTCCATTGAGCGACGATAATTTTCATCAGCGTAACAAAAAGCTGACAAGAAATTTGTTTTCTTTACTGTAATGAATCCGTTTTTTTTCTCAGTATGCACTGAGCAAGCCAGATTTGAAGGAGAAAAAAAAGTGCATTGTGGTTGGATCATCAGTAGTGTCACATTCTCAGTTTAGAGCGACGAAAATTTAAAATTACATTGGCTGTGAAAATTCAATTTGTGTGTAGGAATAAATTATTGTGCCTATCATTTTGATGTTACTATGTATATAAACAAGAGTTTATGTACAAATTTCATTCGTGCAGATGCATTATTGAACAAGTGATATATTTTATTGTAATTAGTGTTTATGTAATTTATTGTTTTATTTATTGATTATAAGTTGAAAGTTTAAAAGTCGATACTTTTTTCTTTCCCTCCCACTTTTTTTTACTTGATCATTTTCAATACCTCAACCTCGAGGCTTTTGCATGAAGCATTGATTTCATATCAATATAATTTCCGCCAGACAAATTTTACTCATCTTGAATCAGTTAAGTCTTTTAAGCGATCAGCAATTTTGCTATATTTTGATCCCTCTCTGTTTTCGTGGTTCCCATCTTTAGTTGCTAGAGATCGTCATTTTTGATCGTATTATCACTAACATCATTGATGAAACATAAATTATTTATTTACATAATTTTTTTTCTACTTCTGAATTGGACGTATTTCTGTCAAACGGAACTATGTGCATTAAGACATGAACCCTGAGGCCCATACGAATATATGCATAACAGGGCTCACGTCATAATGCACATAGTTCCGTTTGACAGAAATACGTCCAATTTATCTTCAAGAGCGAAGTAAAAATGTACTGAATCAAAAAAATATTCCCTTCAAATTCAGTTCTAGCAATATCTGATGCCATCGCCCGGAAATCAGAGAGGCAGTTTTTCTTCTCATTTTTTCCTCTTTTGCATTAGCGCAAAATTGATGCTTATTAGGGGTGGTTGCAAAATCAAATATTCGAACCGCTGAGTTAATAAAGAAAAAATAAAAGTCAAATAAAACATACGTTGAGAATGTAGAAACTCAAATTTTAATAATGCTTGGTCTCCGAATTAACATTAAAATTAAACATCTATAGTATTTCAATCCGCCTTCCTCCCGAATGGAACCAAACAAATGTTTATTACAAACTATGAGTGACGTAAAGAATTGAGTGTTCCGTAAATGCTAAGTTGCAGCAGCGTCGAAGTTCAGCAAGAATAAGTCGATCATATTTTGAAAAAACAATTGGTTTCACCCTTCGAGTGGTGCATCAAACAGCATAACTGGACTACATTTTGCAATTTGGAACTATAAATTCTGGCCCGGTTTAAAAACAACGTATGTGCCATTAGTTTCCCATGCACATAAGTATTTTTCCAGAAGAGCCAGAATTGCAAATTGCAGTCCAACTCTTATGAGAGAAAACTGGGTCCAGGACGGTTGAGCTTTTTCTCTCTTAGAGATCCCAATCTTGAGATAATAAGATCCCAGTCTTTGACTGACTTTATGAGCGCATGTTGGAAAAGATTACCAACACTCTCAATTTCAAGTCATAATTTGCACTTTAAAGAATGTACATACGTCGATTTAATGATGGGGTGCTACGAGAAGAAAAATTTCCAAAACAATATGCCCTGAGCCATTGCCCCGTTCGTTCTTGTAAAGATAAGGCTTTGTCTTGTCTTGTCGTATCGACATAGATTCAATAATCGGGCCGCTGGGAGCCTTAAAAGTTAACAGCCACAATTACTTTGGTTTAAATGAAGCCGTTCAGAGGGGGCAACTTGCGGAAGGGGGGAAATTCTCACATGTCACTGTCTCACTGTGTCATTTCCCTCTGAAAGGATGGATTGTATCAGAAAGGGGGCCAGATCGAAAGGGAGGTGAAACAACCTCTTTCACTGATTTTATTTCTGATCAAAGGCAAAAAAAAAGCGCCATTCTTGGACGGGTAGATCACAGTCATATTCTTGTTTAAAAAATGTATTGTTTGTATCAATTGGACGTATTTCTATCAAACGGACCTAAGCGCCATAGGGTGAGGAAGGTAGAGGGGGGCTTAGATTGGCGGCGGAATCGGGCGTCCGGCTTATTCCGTCCTATACTCGCAATGCTTTTCCATGGCGCTTAGGTCCGTTTGACAGAACGCGCTATCCGGGATTCTAAATTTCTCAAAAGGAACTCAAATTGGCGCTTAGTTCCGTTTGATAGACATACGTCCAATTTTGCAGCCTTGAAACGGCAAAAGGACAGGTTCTTTCGTTCGAGAAACGACGAAACATATGCGGAATATGAGAAGAAGACTTGATTTTTAACATTGAGGCTTTTGATTTGAAGACTTGAAACATTTAACTCCTTTTTCTCGACCTCCTCTAAAGATGTGGCGTGGTTCCTCTCTGCTGAATTCAGTCCATCAATCACACTTAAAAATTACACACGCAAAAAACATTCTGTAGATGAACCGTACCTCAGATTTTTCACGAAATATCAAGAAACATTGTGTATCTACAGCCTATAAGAATATCTCGTCGCACACTAGGTATCAATAATTGTGCGCCTTAAAGTAGCGGTCCAAGCTTAATCAAGTAAAATAGTAAGTAAAAATTAATGTGTTATATAATTATTATATAATTAATACATTATAAGTAAGAGATTTACACCTAAAGATTAAGAAGCAGTCAAAGTATCCAAAGTACATTTTGAACGGAGCAACATTCTTACACCGGTTCGTTCTCGGTAAAAATGAATGATTACCTAATGAAATTCTACGAGTACTATCACGGAAAGACTAATGGGGTTTATTCCTCCGTCAAAACTTAAAACGGATATACCTCCTCAGAATATGAAACTATAGTCTGCAATAATGGGTCAAATGTTTCAAGTTCATTTCTTCGTAAGTTAGGTTTGCCTTCAATTTCGAGTGATACTGTGCCATGCACGGGTGGTCGAATAGCTGCTTCGCGCTTTTGCACGCTAAGTATAGGTTGCGTTCATTTTTATTGATATTCCATAAGCGCCTTACTACCTCTGATGTGCCTGCGGGTGGTCGGAAAATTATCCGTCGGTAACATGGCCGGATTTACTTCCCCAAGCAAAAATTAAGTACGATTATCGGAACCGTGAAATTACTGCTTTTAAAGATTCTGTATTCGCTCACATGGAGAAAAAATCCCAGCAATTAATTGAAAATGTTTTAAACAGAATGAATATTGATAGCCGTGTTTTACAAAGATTCTACTGTTTTTTATGGTAAGATTGTAGTTTCGATGGAAAATTTTGCTAAAAATTTTCCACATTGAATTTATAGGTATTTAAGTAGAAAGGAAGAAGAGAAAAAGAGAAAGGAGGGTAGGAAAGAGATAACACTTGAGGGCCGAAACTTAGGCCTCCCCTGAGAAATGTCGGAGAATTTTCCACCTCTGGGCACCCCTAAGCATGAAGGTCTAGAACCGCCTATCGCCCCCTTCTCATTCGTTTTGAAACATCAATAAAAACCATCAAGTGAACGTGCCAGCGGGGTGCATAAGACGCGTTTACTCGTGTTGGAAACATTTTTTGGGAAATCCCTGTCAACACTACTAGCAAAAATTCACCAAACTGTGCGCGAACGTTATAAGTTTCGTAAACCTATCTCTGCGTGGACAAGGCCTTCCATTCATGAGAAATGAACGAAAAAATTATGAAAGAACAAACATAAATGTGGTTTAATGATTTTAACTTCCGCCGCCGCGCCGCGCAGACCGCACCGTGTTTGGAGCAATGCGCGAAGTATTCCGACAGTTTTGTAGGCGCTATGAGTTTCACGCCGACGACCGTTGCTGAACGCACTGTGTTTGACGCAATGCGTGAAGTATTCACGCCGTCTTGTAGGCGCTATACGTTTCGCGCTGACCGCACTGTGTTTGGAGCAATGCGTGAAGTATTCATGAATTCTTGTAGGCGTTATCCGTTCCACGCTGAGCGCAGTGACCGCACTGTGTTTGATGCAATGCGTGAAGTATTCGTGCAGTCTTGTAGGAATGTACGCGCTAATATGTGTTACATGCCGACCGCCGCGCCGAGGGCTTCTCCTTTTCATCTCAAGTCCTCGTCAGCATTTCTCTCCCAGTCGCGCCGTTCCTGGCCAAATTGCGTGTTTGGTCTCTCTCTTAACTCGATTAATTAAAGGTGCTATGGTGCTGTCTCTTGTATCACCGAAAGACGACAAAATTAGAAATTATACTATACTCTCAGGAAATGAGAGATTTTGTTTGTAATTTTTTTTCTAAATCCGATTTTTTTTATACCTACATTAAAAAAAATTGCAAAATTTGCCGCCTCCTAGATTTGCCGCCATGGGCCTCGGCCCCATGTGGCCACCCCCTTAGTCCGGCCCTAGTCGGTAATGGGGAAAGGTATCACATATCGACGGCGTAAGTCCGCAATCACATATCTCGTTTGCGGTGTCTGAAAATCTCCGCCTCGATGTTATTTTTTTGAAGGAGAACTAATTGACATCATTCCTTGAAGATTTTGCAGAATTTTCCTCGCACAGGGATAAAATCCACGGCAGTTTTAAAGAACTTAGTTAGTTTTCCGTTAAAAAAATGAAGTATGACATGCAGGATGCAGGAAGTCTGCGATGTCGCAAACCGAGTTGTGTGATTGCCCACTTACACCGTCGAAATATGGAATTTAATTTTCGGGATGATATTTACACAAACGAGATAAAATCATTTTATCTCTATCTCTCCTTCTCTTTATTTGTTAATCATATTGAATTCTAGTTTTTTCGATTGAAGACATTGTGCGGACACCGCGCGCTCCATGGCCGTGCCGAGAAAAGTCCGTAAATTCAAATTTCCCGCTTCGAACTTCATAGCACTTACCGCTGCTGGTGGTGGAAAACTAAAGCTAGCTTGACTGACATCCAAGAAGAAGAAGAACGTTAAACAAAACACTGATAAAAATTCCTCTCTTCTGCCATCAATCTTCGCCAGTTATTTGTTAAATTTTGCATTCACCGACAATGGAAACCTACGAAAGTGTACTGTTAATCAAAAGTGAAGCATTCGTTTTCAAAATTCCACCCAGAGCGAGCAATAGAGGATACAGGTAATACTAAATTCTATTGTGCACGTCCACGCAACACCAAGGTTAGAAATTGTTTACAAAGAAAATTTTGTAACCCAGTTTCATCTCACCCCTTGATTTTTCATGTTCGCAGGGCCTCCGACTGGAATTTACAGGAGCCTCAATGGGTCGGACGAATGAGACTCGTTGCCAAAGGCAAAGACTGCATATTGAAATTAGAAGATAAGATGTCAGGTGAACTTTTCGCTCAATGTCCCATTGATGTCTACCCCGGCCCAGCTGTCGAAGCTGTTGCTGACTCGTCCAGATACTTTGTCTTGCGAATTCAAGATGATAATGGTATGTGCCTTCCTCTACGTCTAATTGTGCTGGTTACAGTTCCATATTTTTGAGTCGATCAAATTGGCACTGATGTGGTTCTCTTACTGAAATATTCTTATCAGCTATCCGTGTCAGCTTGTTGGTGATTTTACCCTTTGAAGCTGTAATTGAGATTTTGAATGCTTATGGTATTTAGAGAATTGGTCGACCATCCAGTGATATTTATGCCCAATTTTTAGAACCTTAGCTTGCGCCGAGAGTAAACGGAAGAGCGGGGTAGAATAACGCAGTCTATGGTAGAGTCCACTCGACAAATAAGTTCAAGCACTTTCAGACTTCGACAGAAGATCCATCCTCTTGTTTTTCGCATCTAATTTGCATGTAAAAGTGACACTAGACGATCTTCTGTCGCAGTCTAGAAGATCATTCTTAAACTTATTTGGCGTGCACTTCAGTGATGATTGGTCTCCCAATCATATCTAATTTTATTGTATTAGGTGATTGTTATTGTTCCTTGCTCTTTTCTTTTTTTCTCTTGGCTACCCCCGCAACATGTGCTTTTGAGTAGTCTCCAGTGCTCAAGTTTTTTTTGTTTTTTTTATCTATTTTTTTTTTTTTGTTTTTTTTTGTTAGTATGTTTTTCTTTTGATTAAAAAAATATTCTAATTATAAAGAAGTTATATTAGAACCACCTGTCCTAACAAAGATCTGATTTCCTAGCTCACTCTCAATTAGATGGTGGGATAGTCTCACTGAAGGTGTCCTATCGTACTACATCCAGTCAGAGTGTAAGAAAGTTTCTTAGTGCTGGTAATACTCGGCTGTGGATGCGGTTAAGATCTTAGTTTCACATTACTTTTTCTCCATTTTTTTCAGGTCGGATGGCAAACATTGGTCTAGGATTTGCAGACAGATCTGACAGTTTTGATTTGAATGTAGCACTACAGGATCATTTTAAGTGGCTGAAGAAAACTCAAGAAATAGAGCAAGAAAAAGAAGCGCCAAAACCAGAGCTAGACCTACGTTTCAAGGAAGGCGAAACCATTAAGATTAACATGAAAATCACTGTGAGTAAATTTCTCGCTGACTTCTCATTAGACAGAAAGTTAAAATGGACTTTATTTTAAACTGATGAACTGCTATGCCTGCTTCATCTTAGGTACAACGTTTGACCAATTAGTTTTCCTGTGCAGGTAAGATAATAAATAATAATATAACCTCCCGGCAATATAGTTTGAACCATCTCGTGTGCTCAGCAAGAAGTAGGATTTCGGAAAAATGGCGGTCCGGTCACTATGGTAAAGCGCTTTTTAATGGGATCATTATGTGGATTGCATTTTGCAAAAAGGAACCACTAGCATTGCAATGATGCTAAGATTGTGCAACTTCATCTTCTGCAATAAATTTACGGAAATCGTGAAAAACTATGAAATTTAGATGGTAATTTTTGTCTTAAATTTACAGTTTTTAGCGAGTAAAATAGAAACTATTAATGGATAATCGGGTTTTCCCTCCAAGACAAAAGAAGTCGCACAATCTTAGCAACATTGCAATGCTAGTGGTTCCTTTTTGCAAAATGCAATCCATGTATTCTTGTATGTGATGTTGCCAAATTTCTACATTCATCCACAGTGCAAGTTAAGTGCATGTCGGCCTCCTATGGTATAGTGGTTGTAGCGCTAGCTCTATGATCGGGAGGTCCTGGGTTCGATTTTCGGCCAGGCGACCCAAGTTTGATGGTCTCAGACAATGGTTGCCTGGGACTGGTTGGTAGGGACGGAGGGGGGATGGGACTAAAGCGCAGGATTAGCCCTTGTGGGCTATTTGAAGTACCTAGTAAAAAGAAAAAAAAAAATTCCTCAGCCTTGTAATTGGTTCTCTGACATTGCAGATTTCCTGTCATACTTTATTTTTTAAATGGAAGACTTCAACAGCAATTCTTGGAAACTGCCGTGATTTTTCCTCTGTTAGCAAAGAAAATTCGGCAAAAACACTCCAGGAATGAAGTCAATTTCTTCTTTAAATAAATAAAATAGGACCCAAGATTTTCTAACACCCTAAACAAGATACGTGGTTGTGAACCTACATTGTCGTTCTGCTTGTCTTCCTTAAGCGAGGAATGCAGACTTTCAAGTCTCTTGATATTACAGGCAGAATTGTACCGTTTTTATCCCAAAATGCTAATTTCTAACTTCAAATTTTCTTGTTACCTTTTGCTCTCACTGATTTGTTTCAAACTTTCAAAAGACAATTTTCCAAATCTAATCTAAGTAATTTGATAATAATTAGACTCTAGGGTTTTAAAACGAGTCTTAAGTTTCATAATATTGTCTTGTTAAAAGTACACAATTATTATTTATTTATTTAATTTTTTTTTTTTCAACTTCACTAAACTTTTTTTCTCTCAGTTTACTGTAATATCTTACATTCTTGTACCAGTGGCGTGGCATGCTTTGCGATATATCGATTGATCCGACATTTGAACCTACGGAAAAAAATCGATTAACAGGGAGTTGGCAGCGAACACCTTGAAAATCGATTCTTTACCATACCTTCAAATGGGAAAGAATCAATAATCAATCATTCATGCCTCGCCACTGTCTTGAACCTAATCTTTTTGTGACAAAATAGTGTAAAAATTTGAAGGTAAAGTGTTGTGCTAATTCCTCTAATCATTTCCACAGAAAAAAGACGGAAGCGAAGTAAATAGTAAACCTAAGAATCGGCCAACATCATCAGGTGGGCTACTGCCACCCCCGCCAGGCGGAGTAAAAATCAACCCTCCCTCTCAGAATTCCTCTCCCTCTCATCATGCAAACCCAAGCAGTGCAGCTGGCTGGGGTGACTTTGCCAGCGCCTCCAATCCAAGGTGAGTTCTGACAACAAACCACAATATACATATTTTGTTCCCATTACAATTGTGTTGAAGTAAAAAAAAAACAAAAAAAAAACCTGTTAAATGCATTCAAATATTTCAGATTTTGAAAATGTCCTTTGCACTTTTGTCCAGGTCAGTTGAACATATCTCAGTTGACGCCTTAGCAGTATTTTTTTAAAAAATTTGAAAAACAAAATTGATTACTATGTGTTCAGTTGCCGCGGAGGAAACAATCTGGAAAAGCTTTGGAATGTCTTAGGTGGTTAATTTTGTTCCCAACATTCTCGTGCATCAATTAATTTATAGCCAAGAAAACAAAAAACTGTCTAATTCCATGTTGGAAGTGAAGGTTGTAAATAAATTATGATTTTCGACTTCTTCATCCTCAGCGGAAGAATGAGTGATACTGGTGGGACCAAGCAATGAATAAACGTATAATTTTCACAAGTTGCAGACACAATACAGAGACGCTTTTTAAATAAGTTTATTCTGTGACGGCAGGTCTTTCAAGACTGACCTGCCGCCGCGTCACTTGAGTGGCGGCTAGCGATGCGTCTACCTTCCCCCTCTCTTTGCAGTCGTGCCTGCGCGCTGCTATCTTCTCTCTCCTCTCTCTTTCTCTGCTCGGAAGAGAGCCGCATCACAATTCGTTTTTACAAAAATTGCTGAGGAAAAAATAATGCAAAGACTTTGCTTGTACTTTCAATTTCAACTCTTAATAAACTTCTCTCTCTCTTCCTCTGCTCTATCTCTTAACTTCTAAGTCATAGGAACAAGATGTTATTTTTTTAGTGCCTTCCTATCAGCATTGGAATTTCAATCAAAATGAGGATTTATAATGCAACTCAATGGCTTATCGATGGTGAAACTGCAACAATGCGCAGCTTGAAAACATGATTTTTCAAGAAAGCAAAATATTATTCCATGTTCCATGTATTGTTGTAGTAAGGAAATAATTTTCTGACAGCTCATTAATGTAGCTGACTCAAAACTTTCATAAATCGAGGCTTGCCTTTTTGCAGTAGCCCCATCATTATGTTGCTTCAGATATAGAAAGGCAAACTTTAGTTGATCTTTTTGCATTTTTGATGTACGTATCTCTCTTTTTTTATTTAGCTAGTAGTATCATTCAACGATTTCTGAGAGTTTTTTTTTTCTTCTTTCAGTTCAACATCCAATCAGCCCTCAAGCACAGCAACTACTCCCAGCAATCCTAATTGGGTACAATTTTAATCTTCTTTGATCTTGAATCATCGACTCTATCTCATTACTAGGTAATAGTTAAGTTGATCAGCTCAAGCACACAGATTTGTCTTGTTTGATGTAGAGTTTAATGGAAATATCAGAGGTATTTATGATGAAAAAGCAATTCAATAATCTAACGCTAATAGCAGATTAAAAAATATCATCTCTTGGGCATTTTTTCCTCCTTTTTTAAACAATGGCAAGTCCCTACCAAGTATTTCTTTCAAATTTATTTTTTCTTTTTAATATTTATTATAGGTTATTCTTAGATGAGTCTTCTTGATAACAACTTTAGAAACTTGTAGAGAGTAGCCAATAAGTTTGTTTTTCTTCTTCTTTTTATACACTTCAAATTCTTTGTTTTTCATCATAGGCAAATCTAACATCTATTTACAGTTGTGCCTCCTTGCTACACTATCTATTATCAATGAAATACATATCTGCCTCAATCAGAATTTGTACCAATTTCCTATGTTTGTGTCTCTACATTGACCTGTCTGTGTGCTTTTGCTGAGAATAAGGATGAAATATGTATAATTTGCAAGTCTCTATATAGTAATATTTACATAATTTGTTTATTTGGAAGTGTAACAGTATAATCAGCAATTATTCAAAGGCGCAAGTGTACTTGTGAAACAGTCACCTAGGAAACCCTGCCCAGCTCTGTATAGCATTTAATCTCTGTGCTGCTCATACATCATTTCTCATTTTTGGTGAATTTCCAAGTTCATATCAAATCTCAGCTGCAGTCAGTATTTTTGTTGCTTTAGATGTTTCCGCACCGAAATCTGCCAAACATCAATTTATCAGCGGTTTTTGTTGAAATTATTCTTGTCTGTTTGTATGGGATCTGTAAAGCATGTTTCATCAAATTATTTTGTTATTTTTTCTCAGATTTTGTTTTCTAAAATGTAAAATATTTAGATGGTGAACCGTTCAGCGAAAATTATGGTTTGATCTCCTTCTAAAACTTTAAACTCTACAGTTGCAGAAATTTGATTATTAGATTTTGTTTGTCTCTCTATTTCTGTTTTTATTATTTTTTTGTTCTTTTGCTTCCCTTTCTTTTAAATTTTGAAAAAGGGAGACCTAAAATTGTACAACCAACAACACATATGTAATATTCAAGCAATTTCCGATCATTGCATGCTTGATCTGTTTATTATTCACTTAAAAAAAAGAAAAAGTTTTGTTAAATTTAAAAATTAGCATCAAAGAATCAATTTCTATCTTTATTTTTTCAGAAATTATCACTGTTCAACGTGTGGATCATAATATTTTTTGTGTGGATTCATCTTTTGCATTTATTGTTTAAATTTAACTTGCTGATGGGTATCAATGCTCATTTTACGTCTATTTCGTGCCTACAGAGTTAAAAATGTTAGCAAAACTGAATGATCCTTCGTTATGTTTTCTTCTAGGCTGAGTTGAAGTTGTTAATGTTAAAGATTCTAAGATTAATGCACAGAGATTATTCTTTGTTATATTTTTGTTATATCATTGTACATTGATATTAGTTAATTACATATATGAAATGCAGAGAGGAAAAGTTTAGCGAAAAATTCCCAACCTGTATTTTGAGTTGCAGCAATCAGTTGGTAGTCAACACCCACAAACTATGTACTTTCTCTGAGGTGGCTCAGCAAAATATCTTATTTGTTAATCCAGCTGAAACTTACAGGAATACAGCTAATTCTCCAACTTGTATGAAAATCTACATCCTTTTGTCAGGCAAAAATTGGCAGTTACGTCTAAACTTTTTTTCTCGGTAAAATTGTTATAATACAATATTTTTGATTTAAAAGTCTGTAGCATTTTAAAATCGTGGCGAAATGCTAATATTGTTTTACTCTGTTTCTGAGTGTTCCTGGGGGAGCGGAATCTGCTTTATCTAGCTTGACCTTTTCAAAATTGAAAAATTAAATTAGAGAGGAAAAAAAAAAAAAACATATCTTGTGAAAAATCACAAGTATGCGAAATTTGAGAAAATCATTCCTTGTAGAAGTTTTAGAATCGCCTTAATTTAAAGTCTATCTACTAAAAAGACTAAAAGACATGGGTATCATCACGGTATCGTAATGGAGAAATGCCAGAATAAAATTCCCACACAATAAAAAGGAATCGAGATACCTCAGAATTTTTTCTCTAGGGAGAGTTTTTATGTCTGCGCATCAAAAGATTTTGGAAATTTTTAAATTTTGAATCATAGTAACAGGGCTTTTTCTAGATATTTTTAATGATAGCGGATTTGAAAAGCCAGGGTAATTGTTCAGGCATACAAACTCTGGAAATGCTGAATTTGAATAATAAGGTCATAAATACAGTAAAGACTCATTAAAGTTAAGTATGCATTTTTAGCTCAGACTGCTTAGAGCAAAGTCTCTCTGTCTCTTCGCAAAGGATACTTGTTTTGAAGAGGAAAAAACTGAATTTCTGTAATCACGACCCAAATTAGGCCAGGATTTTGCCTCTTGAATTAACAAAGAGCAGCAGATTTCTCCTCCCTCTTCCCCAAGTGATGTATTATTTAGTGTGTATTTTAACGAATTAAATGTAGTTTTAAGTCAACTTGTAAAAGTATAAATTTTATTTAGGCTCAGTTATCTCTTCAGTTCAAGAAATGTAAGATCATTGTTGATACGTTCAGTATTATTTCCTCTCCCTTCTGCAGAAATTTTTGCTTTTCATTTTAGATGGACCGAGGGAATTCTTCATCACCAATGTGCCAATACTGTTTCTTAATAATAGCTTCTTTAAATTTCTGCTGGAAGAGGATCCTTTTGTGGAAAATCAGTTAACATAATCGACTGCATTCCCGCAAGTTTAATGTTTTTACCATGTATTTCATTACAGACCTCTTTCAGCCCCAAAGATTTGTTAGTTCACACAAGATTTCATGTTGCCGACTTAACACTAGTTTTTATATCATCTTCAAGCAGAGGAGCAAAAGTTATTTTTCTTGTTGTTAGGCTCTTACATCTCTTAAAGTTGTTCCGAACCTCAAAGCACCTATGGAAATGTAGCTTAAAATATATTTTTATGATCCTCTGAAAATCTTTAAGTATTGAGGAAGTGATAAGAGTCCCCTCGCTCAGTATCATCATTACTTTGATCTTTTTATTTCTGTTTTGTTGTATGCCAATAATATTCTGCATTATCTTTATTATATCACTCACATTCCACTAGATTACAGTTGTATAATACTTTGTAGAAAATATTAAATCTACACTAGCAATCATTGAACTAAAAATGTCACCTTATTATTTCTCTTTTTTAGGCTATGAAATGAGAGGTTCTTTTTGAAGATCAAATAACGAATTAACTGAGGTGTCATTAATAAGCTACACTGCAAAACTGACCCATCAGAGAGATATGTGCCATCAATGAGCTCCTAGTTTGTGCATATTTGAAAATGCAATAAGAACCTCGATACGCCATGTGCTTATCTTTGCTGTTGCCGTAGGTCAGCCCAGGCCCGCCACATCCCATCCCGGGCCCTGGTACCAGTTTTCAGGTCCGAGCCCCAAGCACAGAGGGGGGGGGGTGTCCAAGGGGTATCCCCTGAGAAATTTTAGAATTTATACGACTAATCGGACGCATTTTGAAGCTTCCATAAAGAATTTTTCCATCAATTCCTGCGGAATAATAATATTTTTTTTTCTACTTTCAGCACAAAATACTTGCAAATTGTTGCATTCAAAATATCTGGAAAATTTTTATTTTTTTTTGGGGGGGGGGGGCATATGATACTATTTTCGGTTCTAAGAGGGCCAGGCCCCCCCTGGACTCCCCCTTCGTTTGTCTATGGCAAGGGAGTTGAGCCATGAGCCATTGAAGTCGAGGATGCCCTGACTGGAGACTCTTAGCATCTGACGACGGAAGAAAATGAAACGCAGTCACTAAAAATATCCCTCTGTACTGAAAATCTTGAAAATAGATAGAAATTTTCCAAGAAGTATATTTCTTTGAAAATTTAAGAAGAATTCTACAGTGCCCCAGCGTGTTTCTGAAAATCTATTCACCTTTTGCGAAATTTTTTGGGTAAATTTTTCACTTTCTCCCACGAAACAAGGGTTGTAGTGAACTCGTAGTGGTTCTTCACGGGTAAAACGGGCCCCCTTTGGGACCCGGGCCCCGGTACCAGGGACCCAGTATCCCCCCCTTGTGGCGGGCCTGCCTTCATGCACGCTGGGCTTCGATTTCCTTTGACATCTTTGCAGTCATGAATGCGCTTAAGTGCGCTTCAGCTAGAATTGTATTTAGCTAATGGGTGGTTTTTATAGGAGAATTATAATTAAACAAGTGGTTAGAAATGGAAACAACATAATATGAACTATGCAAAACGATTATTCCGATAACGGACCTTGGCTATTTTGAAAACGCCTTCAAATGCGGCGTGATACCTCACGCATTCCGGAGAGTTCAAATAGTTGTATCATTGCGGCGTAAGAATGTAACGGAAGATTTCAATGGAGATAGCCTCCATGCACGCTGGGCTTGTCGATTTCCTCTGAAATTTATCCAGTGGTGAATGCATAGCTGAAGTGCGCTTCAGCTAGAATTGTACTTATTTACAAATGGGTGATTTTTCTACGAGGATTAAAAATAAACAAGTGGCGCAAAGAATATGAACTACGTAGAACGATAATCCGGGTATCGGAACTTGGCTGATAGAAAAAGCCTTCAAATGCGGCGTGATACCTCTCACACTCCGGAGAGTTCAAATAGTTGTATCATTGCGCCTTAGAAATACGACGGAAGATTACAATTGAAATACCCTTCATGGCTTCATGCACGCTGGCCTTTTCGATTTCCGTTGACATCTTTGCAGTCATGAATGCGCTTAAGTGCGCTTCAGCTACGATTATATTCAGCAAATGGGTAGTTTTTCTACTGGGATTCGAAATAAACAAGTGGCACGGAATATAGCAAAAGAATATGAAATATGCCGAACGATAATCCGGGTATCGGAACTTGAATGTTTTGAAAACGCCTTCAAATGCGGCGTGATACCTCACGCATTCCGGAGAGTTCAAATAGTTGTATCATTGCGCCGTAAGTATGTGACGGAAGATTTCAATGGAGATAGCCTCCATGCACGCTCGGCTTGTCGAGTTCCTCTGAAATTTTTGCAGTGATGAATGCAGAGCTGAAGTGCGCTTCAGCTAGAATTGTATTTACAAATGGGTGGTTTTTCTACGAAGATTTAGCATAAACAAGTGGCACGGAATAAAGAAAAATAATATGAACTATGCAAAACGATAATCTGGGTATCGGAACTTGAGTGTTTTGAAAACGCCTTCAAATGCGGCGTGATACCTCTCACACTCCGGAGAGTTCAAATAGCTGTATCATTGCGCCTTACAAATACGACGGAAGATTACAATTGAAGTAGCCTTCATGCACGCTGGCCTTTTCCATTTCCGTTGACATCTTTGCCATTCACTGCCACCATGTCTCACAAAAATGAATCAAACAGGATCCGAGATAGCATTTTAGGCCGCATCGAGTATATTGGATTTTTAAATTATGAAAATTTGAGTTGGAATTCAAGGTTTCCGTCAAAAAATGCCACCTTGTACCGAGTTGCAAGAAACGCCCTGGAGTACATTGACGGCGGCAATCGTGATCTTCTGCCATCAAGTCGAGGCGAAACTCTTGAAGGCGCTCTGAGCAACTATATCACCTCGGAAGTATTGCACAGTATCAGACGAAATTGAAGGCGCACTAACGTAGGCAACTTGACTGGTAGTGTTTATCGCACGATATGCGACTCTTGTTCGATCAATTTTTTTGAAACTCAGAACCACGTGGTGTATTTTGACGGATCACCTGAATATTAACTAAAATTTTCATAATTCAAAAATTCAAGATAGTGAATGTGGTCTAAGATGCTACCTCGGCACCTGTTCGATTCATTTTTGTGAGATTTGGGCAATGGATGTTTTTCACGTAGAGGTCGAATTTTCATTCAAAATTTTAAAATTCAAAAGTAGGAGATGGCGGATGTGGCCGAGAATGCTATCTTGGTGCCTTCGAAATTATCCGACTTTGAAATAGAGGTATCTATCCTTTTCAAGGTCAGTTTCAAATCGATGTACTCTCAGCCAACTTAAATCTCGATATCGGCTCGCTCTTCAACCGTTATGAAATGAATCTGTTTGTTTGATTTGTATTTTTTTTTTTTTTTAAATTATTCATGTATTTATTTTTATTTCACTTTCCAACAAGAGTCGCATATCGCACAATCTATAGGACTCTACAGATGCCAGTGAATTTACATACGTTAGTGCGCCTTCAATTCCGTCTGATACTCTGCAATACTTCCGAGGTGGTATAGTTGCTCAGAGCGCCTTCAAGAGTATCGACTTGATTTGATGGCGGAAGATCATGATTGCCGCTGATATTACACTCTAACGCGTGCGCAGTTACACATTTTCTCATTACCGACGGCGAGATAAAAAACATCTTTACCTCGATTTGCGACGTTGCAACTTTTTCACTGTCTATTTTGAATGAGTGAAGGAACATGAGAAATTTAAAATCTGCCGTAATTTTTCCGAGATGTGACAAAATACATTATTTGGATTACATTTTGCAATAAGGAACCACTATTCCTGGCTCTCCCATCAAAGCACATATCTGATCTGTGTAGGGAAACCAATGGCATGTTGTTTCTAAAATGGGCCAAAAATAGTGGTTCCTTATTGCAAAATGTAATCCATTTGAATGTGCTGCTATCGAGCTGATCATAACAGTGATTGTCACTTACTACGTTACGGTGCCTTCTTTGGTACCTCTTCGGGCCCATTTACGTGCAGAGTTATAACATTTCGGGTCTGTTTTTGTTCGTTCGAGGATTCCTAACTACCACTTCTTATTCTCCTGTTTAATTTAAGCATAAAGTTTAGACATTAGACTGAAATGAAACATTCAAATTCAACAGTCATTGTTTTTATCAGCTCGCTTGCAGCACATTCAAATAATGCTTTTTGTCATAACTCGGAAAAATTACCTACGGCTGATTTAAAGTGTTCGCGTTCTTCTACCCGTTCAAAATAGGCAGTGAAAAAGTTGCAAATTGTGGTATGTATGTATTTCATCTCTCCGTCGATGATGAGAAAATGTGTAAATCCACATGTTCTGGGGCGTAATGTCAGCGGCAGTCGTGATCTTCTGCCATCAAGTCGAGGCGATACGCTTGAAGGCGCTCTGAGCAACTATTCCACCTCGGAAGTATTGCACGGTATCAGACGAAATTGAAGGCGCACTAACGTAGGCAAATTGACTGGTAGCGTTTATCGCACGATCTGCGACTCCTGTTCGCTCGATTTTTTTAAAACTCGGTGCCAGGTGGCATTTTTTGCCGGAAAACCTGATACAATATAAACTAGGCATGAACCAATTATCGATTCATAATAATTAGTCGAGCGCATAATAATCGATTACAGTAATCTATTTACAATTATCCGATTAATCGTCTAATCGATTGTTTGTTTACGATTGATCAGCAATTTGAGATTATGTTCAAAAAACGTGTCCCGGCTCCAAAAAATCTAACATTCAAAAGATTTTAATGGTCAATCCAACCATTTTTAGCACTTTTCGAAAGCAGCGATTAATTATCGATTATCGATTGATCGATTATTTCGCTGTCGATTGATCTCTCTCTCCCTCTCTTGTTTTTACAGCTTTTATCCCAATTTTTGTGCCATTGTTTAATGTCTTGACCGATTAGCTACATAGTTCGATTACCGATTATCGATCATTCGATTATTTAAATAATATTGAGCATGCCAACGATAGATAAAGACGGCAAAGGGAAAATGAAGCAATCCTGTTGGTGGAAGCGCGCAGGTGGTTTCGATGGACAAAAAAGACAAGTAACGAACCGGGACTTACGTGGGACCTTATAGTTAGTCCATCATTTTCCTCCTTAGTCTATAGCAGTCATCCGTTTCAACCAATGGGATCGCTTCATTCTATACCTCATACCTCACGGTGCACGCATTCCGGAGAGTTCAAATAGTTGTATCATTGCGCCGTAAGAATGTGACGGAAGATTTCAATGGAGAAAGCCTCCATGCACGCTGGGCTTGTCGATTTCCTCTGACATTTTTCCAGTGGTGAATGCATAGCTGAAGTGCGCTACAGCTAGAATTGTATTTATCAAATGGGTGGTTTTTCCACGAGGTTTAAAAATAAACGACTGATACGGAATAGAACAAAAGAATATGAACCATGCAAAAGTATGATCCGGGTATCGGAACTTGGCTGTCTTGAAAACGCCTTCAAATGCGGCGTGATACCTCACGCATTCCGGAGAGTTCAAATAGTTGTATCATTGCGCCGTAAGAATGTGACGGAAGATTTAAATTGCACGCTGGGTTTGTCGATTTCCTGTGAAATTTTTCCAGTCGTGAATGCATAGCTGAAGTGCGCTTCAGCTAGAATTGTATTTACAAATGGGTGGTTTTTCTACAAGGATGAAAAAACAACAAGTGGTACGGAATATAAAAAAATAATGTGAACTATGGAAAACGATAGTCCGGGTATCGGAACTTTGCTCATTTGAAAACGCCTTCAAACGCGGCGTGATACCTCACGCATTCCGGAGAGTTCAAATTGTTGTATCATTGCGCCTTAGAAATGCGACGGACGATTACAATTGAAATAGCCTTTATGCACGCTGGCCTTTTCAATTTCCGTTGACATTTTTGCAGTCATGAATGCGCTTAAGTGCGCTTCGATACTAAAATCGTGCGCTAAATTCTAATGCAGATTCTGGATAATGAGAATATAAAATTCAAGTTTTCGATGAATAAATGAGGTATCTCTGTTGTGTCGTGAGCAAGTATAGTATAATTTTAATACATTTCAAGACCAAGATCGTATTTATTAATGAAAAAACAATTATAGGAAAAACAATACAAACATTCAAGTATGAGTATAAACATAAATCATTCTTTTTAAATTAAAGAGTAAAAAAAAATTAAAATATCAGAATGGGACGAGATGTAACACAGGAGTAAGTTTTGAGGTAAACATTTCCCGAAAAACAATTCGGGAAACACACCTGACCATTTCCATTTTTCATATTTGTTTAAATTTCCCTCGGGAATACAAAAATTTGATTTAGTAAAAAAATAATAGTAATTTACGCTTGTTAATTAAGCGATAATGTAAGGTATACAGCGACACAATGATTTAGTGTCTTGGAAAAATGGAAAATGTTAAAAAGAAAAAAATGAGGAATTTATCCAAAACTATTTACACTAAATTGGTAATAGACTGTGCTGAAATTTGATCAGGGAAAAAAAACTCTATTCCATGAGCTTTGAAATTCAGAAATGATAAAAATATAAATTTGGAACGACGACAGTAGGTACACCTTGAATCATCTCTTCTCTTTGCCATGGTGCAGAACTTGGCAAGTATTTACTTTAAGGTAGAACCCTTCATAAAACTTAAAGATAATAACAATTAAAACTACCTAAAACTTTAATAAAATTAAAAGAAACTCTTTGCACATCTAGAACAGAGGAGAACACCATTGGCGAGACTGAGGCTAAACTTTTGCAGAACTGCTAAACTTTAAAAAAAAGGTGATTTTTAGGTGAGAATGTGATAAAGGAACCTTTTTTCTTCTTAGCATCTCCATAAAAAATGTAAATATTGGCACAAAAGGAGAAAAAACTCAAACATAAATCCGATCAATAGTGGTTAATAGAAGGAGCCCAAGCCTGAGAGGTTTAATTTGCCTGAATCGCTGTAAAGCTACTTATAATAATCCGTTAATATACTACAAAAAGTGCAAATTATACAGTTTGAATTTAGGAGGAATATTCTTTGAAAATTTGTGAAAATTACCAGACATTTTCGATGTAAAATTTGCTGATTCCAATTAACACAAAGGTGATTTGTCGGATGAAGTTCTGAGGCAATGCGACACAATCAAGCCTTTCTGGTTTTGACCCCTTCAAATAGAGCGTATCACAGGTAAAAAAATTTATAGGCACTTATAAAAAAAATGGAAATATTTCCCCTTTAAACTATCTTAAGGTATATTATGAGATGAACTGAACGCAAGAACTTTTTTCCTCACCTTATCGAGTTAAAAGTTAATCGGTGGTCCTTAGGTATCATCTGTGTAGTTTTTTGACGTTGATCGCGTCCAAAAGATGTCACTTGATTCCTTTGTCCTTGCTACTCTCAAAATTTTCCTATCAATGCGATTAATGCGGCATAGACTTGCAAATAGTTGGTCAAATCAATTAGATAACTAGGAAAATATTGTACTTTATAGGTCCAATATCGAAACCCTTGGGTAAGGAGAGAGCAATTGCATCTTCCTAAAATAAATGCGACACTTTATTTGATGATACTCAATAAATTGACCGTTTCCAAGGCGCCCTCTAGCTCCGGGTTGTCCGTGAAAAACTTCAGAATTTTTTTTAAACCGTCTGGTTCGACGTCTAGATTGCACAAAGGCATTTTGTACTTTAAAAGCAATCTATACACGACCGGATGCAAAATTTCATTCTCTTCGTCGATAATATATATAGGGCGGCATAACAGTAAGTGTTCAACGATTTTATTTAAAGCCAATTCGTCAGCTCTAGCTAAAATTGCTACATGCTCCGCAACATCGGCCTCAATCCTACTACTTACGAACTCGGCAAATTGCCGCGGAAAATCCTCCATAAGTAGAGCTACGCATTCATTCTTGCCGTGCGACAGATTTTCTTCTTGACTGATAACGCTTATCGCAGAGGGTTGGTCTATGACTGTCTTATAGAACTTGAAACATTCCTCCAAGAACTTGGGAATGTCATCGTCGATGATGGCACGATCAAAGTTAAAAGTCTCCGCACAGTTTTCTGGTCGAATAAGCTTAAAAAAACTGACTAGTCTATGGACCAGAATTCGATTACCCCAGACAACTTTATCGATTGGCCATATCCATTCATTTCCGAGGCTGTCAGCCTTAAACGTAGTGATAAACGTATTTTCTGCGTGTGAAGCCAGGAATTTCAACCCACCCAGCCCGATCCTGTTAAACTCGACGTTGAGTGAAATCAACTTTGTGCTTTTGAGACAGCGAGCAAGTGCTACCGCACCACGATTTGTGACGAGGTTTGCCGAAAGATCCAGGTCAATAATTTTAGTGTTCCCTAGACACTGAGTCAATATTTCCACTCCGTCGTCATTTAAACTGGTGTCGGACAAATTTAAATGCGTGATGGCGCTAAGCACTAAGTTATCCTTCAAATACATGGCAGCATCCTCTAAACAGTTGGAAGCCAGATTCAAATGCGTGATGGTTGAATTTGCGAGACTTCTAGAGAACTTTTTTACGCTCAAAGGTTCCATGCAATTTGAGCTAACTCCCACTGACGTCAGTTGTGAATTGCGCGTATTTTCCAGGAAGTGCGAAAAACAATCCCCTATATAACCGATGCGTTCTTCCCCGGGTTCAGCAGCTACATAGATCTTTATGCTTTTTAATTTGGAAGGCACTATACTGTTTCCAATAATTTCCAGGGCTTTGATTGGCAGCCTATTGCCTAAGAAATTGACCTCAGTCAAATTTGTGTCCTTTAATGTGCGTGAAAAAGCCTCAGCTGTCCGCGTCTGAAGGAGATTGGATGACAGGTCTAGTTTGGAAACTTTCGAGCCTTTTAAGCCATCCATCAGTTGTTCTCCTTGCTCATCTTGTAATTTACAAAACTTTAAGAGTAAAGTCTCTACTGAGGATTCTTTCAAATTTCCAGTAAAACAAGCCCACTCGTCTCTCGAGAGATCACAAATCATACTGGCGAGGCTCAAAAATTTGATTGCGCCCGATTTTAAGCAGCTCTCAAGATGACTATATGATAGATGACTACCTGGCATGCAATTTAAATTTATTTCTAAATGAGCAATTTTCGAGTGTTTTAATTCATCCAAAAACACGGTTGTGATCGACGTGTTTGAGTGCATTTTAAGGCTTTCGAGAGTTTCAGCCGCTAAAATTTCTAGTTTAGAGTTAAACAAACGCATATTATAGTCTCGAATTGGAAAATTCCGAAGGCTAAGGCTTTTAATCGATCTGTTCAAAGAGTGGAAAAATGAGGGCCATTGCTCCTCAGAGATATTTTCGGCATGTAAGTTTGTTATTAAATTCAAAGGTAATGCTTGAATGAGTTGAGGTATACTTGAGATACGATTGATACTCAACGTTTCAAGACAACATTTTGCCAGACTATCCTTAAGTTTTTCGACGTCATTCGGGCTCATTTTGAATATTGCATTGGCGTCGGCGTTACAGCCGTTGATGGAATGAAGGCAAGTGATGCGCGTGTCCTTTAAAATCGTCAGGAGCTGAATGAAGCAGTCTGCGGCCATGGAACATCCCTTGAGGTCAAGTTCCTGAAGTTCAGTTGTCTTGAGCAATTGCAAAGCTTTCGAGTGTAAACTATTTCCCCCTAGATTCAACTTAGTGACTGCCGAGGTGGCGACGATTTCCAGAACTTTTTCACATTGATCGCCGGTGAGATCTCGGTCACTCAGGTCTAAAAAAGTCACCTGAGTATCCTTTACGTACCTTTGAAGAGCGCTGAGCCAATCGGAAAACTCGGCCTTTTTGCGGGATTCCGGTTCATAATTTGATGATTTATCATCCTTCAAGTCTGACATACTGAGCGCAGGTCCTGAGAAAAGAAAGAAGTATACTTAGTTTAAATTTTTCTGGAAGGGGAACTCTTTTGACTGAGAGGTAAATAAAATGACAAAATACATAGGTAGCCCAGGGGTGCAGAAAATGCCCGATCACGCCCGGGCGCGTGAAAATAAAGAAAGTCCCCGATTTTGAGGAAAGACCAAAAAAATAAGGGTAGAAGGTAAAAATTTTTGAGGGTTAAAAATACTGCACGTCTTCGTATCCCGTCCGCGGAGAAGATTCTGCACCCCTGGGTATTACGGAATAGTGCGGCGCGATTAAGAGAGAGGATGTTTAAAGTGCCTAATTTTCCTCTTAACCATGAGACATTCTTAACACCCCTTCCCCCCTCCGACGAAAAATTTCTGACTACGCCACTAAACGTGCCCAAGAAAATTAAACTTCTCGAGGGGAGTGGGTGGGTGGGGAGAGGGCTGACTGCACCTCCGGCGATCAGAATGATTCATAATGTCACTTCGCAATCTCTCACTGTTAACATGTTAAATAATCTCTATTTCATGTCATATCTAGCGATGTTAAGATGAAGTCCACTCTGAGCTAAAAAAAAAAATTGATATCACAACAATAGTTTTATTTTTATGGATCATCAAACAATACATTAAAACACGCTCATTTATGATAACTAGTTACTTTTTAACAAAGATTGCCAACATTAAAATTGTGACGAACAACTTTTAACTAAAAGAAGACCACGCGACCACTCCTGACGTTTCTTAAATTTCAAATTGGCTATGTCTCTCCCGCTACGGCTCTTGGCCAATGGGAGCTTGTTGAGGCAGCTAGTACCTGGTTTTGCCGGTAGGCACCGTTCGAATGAGCATGCATAGCTTCATTTGTAGCCGCTTGCACGCTGTCTGCATTACTCTGTCCTCACACAGAGAAACAAAAGAAACAAAACATAACCTTAATATGCTACAAAGGTTCATCCAACGTCAGACGAACCGTGAAGTAAGTGCCTGTGTACTTACTGTTAAAAAGTTATCTGATCTTGAATCCTTAGCTGAGCCGTTCTGTCGTCACCGTAAGTAAACATCCATGAGAAATCTGATTAGTTCTCAAGTGGTGAGTAGAGGTTGTAGTAAGTGATCTCACTGTGAAAGCGATGTGAACACGGATGAAATTATTCGACAGGCGACACACACGCAACGTCTGAGTATGATAATTGCAAAATGTTTAACGACATGTACATTTTTGTCAATTCGGTTGATTTGAAAATCTCAGAAATGTACGGTACGGTGACGCTCTCGTCCTAGCATCGAGCCCCTTTAGCGGCGGAGGGTGCATAAGGAGGGTGGACTTGTCTCCGGGGTGGGATGGACAGACAACAGAGTGAACAGTGCAGCCCTCTTGTAGTGGTATTCGTAAACTTATTGATGTGTTAGTTAGTTTCTTCATCATCAGAGTGAGCTAGCGTATCCGGTGAGCCCTCACTTATAGTTAACCCGCCCAATTCAAATGGGCCACTTGCCAGGGAAATCATCGGAGCGGCACTAAACACGTTGCCTTATCCAAATATTTCATGGAGACCCCGTAGACAATCACGGAGATGTCCAAACTCAATACAGAAATTGGCGCTTATGGTTTACATTAAAACCGGGAAATTCAATTTTCCCGTTCTACTCGGCTCAAATCGGCCACTAAAAACAAACTAATCGTTTCGTAAATGATAGAGTTAAGTTCCCCAAAAGTTTACTTCTTCCGTAACTCACAATTCTTCTGGCATATTTAAAAACATTCAGTGCCTTGAGAAAATATATTCCATCGCACCACACACCGAAATTAATTTAATGCCCGGTTTAACTCAAGTAAATCGTATACTTTCGTCAGGCGGAGAGCATGAATACAAAAAACAACAAAAAAAAAAAACAAAAAATTGGCCTCCGGCCTATTTATGCGCGGCGCTTCGCGCCGCGTACCGGCGCTACGCGCCGGCATTTGGAGGGCTTCGCCCCCCCANTTTTTTTTTTTTTTGGAGGATGACAATACTTCCTCTCTACCCTATGGGAGCGAGAAAGTAAAAACACCTAAAAATACAAAAAATACCTATTTCTCATGCTCACCGCACCAAATAGGTATCAGAATACCTCAAATATAAACGACCCCCCAAAAATGCAATATATGCAAAGAAAGAAAAAAAACATCTATTTACCCGAAATTCTAGCCACCTATCCAAATCGTTCAGCTACCTGGCGCATACAATATCGGAGGAATTGGATGTGGAGAAGTGCTGAATCACACTGTAACGTATCAGTCACGTCGGCGGTTTATTTTTTCACTCAAAAATGATCTCTATTCTTTTATATAGTATTTGTTTGCGGTTTGTGACTTTCCCCCAGTAGTTTATCAGAATTTCTCCTACTTCGTTTTGAAACACGCAGTGGTAGGTAATTACACGCGTAAGCTTTTAGGTAAAACTATGCATCTTTGCAGTACAATTCAGCCACTCTATATCTGGTCACTTCAATTCCCTTGGACTGAAACTCGCTGATCGACGGTACAATCTTAACGGAGGCAAACATTTTCACTATATTGTCGTGTAATGACTAATTAAAGCATGTGAACCTCAAAACTACAACTAGGAATGTGATAAAACTCGCATTATAGGAAATAGCCCCCNATTACACGCGTAAGCTTTTAGGTAAAACTATGCATCTTTGCAGTACAATTCAGCCACTCTATATCTGGTCACTTCAATTCCCTTGGACTGAAACTCGCTGATCGACGGTACAATCTTAACGGAGGCAAACATTTTCACTATATTGTCGTGTAATGACTAATTAAAGCATGTGAACCTCAAGAATACAACTAGGAATGTGATAAAACTCGCATTATAGGAAATAGCCCCCGCGTAAACACTATACGCATATAAGCAGCCCTCTGGATATGAGAGTAAAAGGATGTGAAACGCATGGTACCAGGTAGTGGTAACGCATGGTAATAGTTGTTACTTTCAAAGGATCTTCAGAGGCGGACCCAGCAATTTGGCATCGGGCCCGATTTCCTCCCAAGATTCCCTCCTGGAGGATCCGATTCCCTCCCGCTGATGACCTGTAATAAAATTAAGTGGCAACGCCGCATTCATCATTCAACTTACAATTTCCTGAATGGCGCGCTGTTTCCCGTTAGTGTTTCAGGAAAATTAGATTCACAAAATTAAGATGATTTGATGAAGAAAGTGGGTTAGGTTGATAGAAAGTTCCCACACACGCACTAGTGTTTTGCTCAAAATCTCGGTATCCGAAGGGTTCGTTTTTATGAAACTTTTACATTTATTCACTGTGCAACACCACCTTTTGTTCCCGTCTTTCTAAACTTTCTGAAAATAGAACTTTTGATTGTCAAAAACAATTAAATCTTTATTACGTTCACTTTTGATTTTTTCGAAACCCGGCGATGCCATGGTCAGACCCGCCACATCCCATCTAGGGCACTGGTACCAGTTTTCAGGTCCGGGCCCCAAGCACGGAGGGGGGGGGNGGGGGGGGGGGGGGGGGTCCGAGGGGCATCCGCCGAGAAATTTTAGAATTTATACGGCTAATCGGACGCATTTTGAAGCTTCCATAAAGAATGTTTCCATCAATTTCTGCGGAATAATTATGTTTTTTTTCTACTTTCAGCACAAAATACTTGCGAATTGTTGCCTTCAAAACATCTAAAAAATTTCAATTTTTTTGGGGGGATATGATACTATTTTCAGTTCTAAGAGGGCCAGGCCCCCCCGGACACTCCCTTCGTTTGTCTATGGCACGGGAGTTGAGCCATGAGCCATTGAAGTCGAGGATGCCCAGACTGGAGACTCTTAGCATCTGCCGACGGAAGAAAATGAAACGCAGTTACTAAAAATATCCCTCTGTACTGAAAATCTTGAAAATAGATAGAAATTTTCCAAGAAGTATACTTCTTTGACAATTTAAGAAGAATTCTACAGTGCCCCAGCGTGTGTCTAAAAATCTATTGACCTTCTGCGAAATTTTTAGGGTAAATTTTTCACTATTTCTTACGAAACAAGGGTTGCATGTGAATTCGTCGTGGTTTTTCACGGGTAACACGGGCCCTCGTATACCAGGGACCCAGAGTCCCTTCCTTGTGGCGGGCCTGCCCTCATGCACACTGGGCTTGTCGATTTCCTATGACATTTTTGCAGTAGTGAATGCATAGCTGAAGTGCGCTCCAGATAGAATTGTATATAGCAAATGGGTAATTTTTACAGGAGGATTATGAATAAACTAGTGGTTAGAAATGAAAACATAATACCATGAACTATGCAAAACGATTATTCAGAAATCGGAACTTGGCTGTTTTGAAAACGCCTTCAAATGCGACGTGATACCTCACACATTCCGGAGAGTTCAGATAGTTGTATCATTGCGCCTTAGAAATGCGACGGAAGATTACAATTGAAATAGCCATTCATGCACGCTGGCCTTTTCGATTTCCGTTAACATTTTTGCAGTCATGAATGCGCTTAAGTGCGCTTCAGCTAGAATTGTATTTAGCAAATGGGTGGTTTTTCTACGAGGAATATAATTAAACAAGTGGTTAGAAATGGAAACAAAACAATATGAACGACGCAAAACGACTATTCCGATAAAGGAACTTGGCTGTTTTGAAAACGCCTTCAAATGCGGCGTGATACCTCACGCATTCCGGAGAGTTCAAATAGTTGTATCATTGCGCCGTAAGAATGTGACGGAAGTTTTAAATGGAGATAGCCTCCATGCACGCTGGGCTTGTCAATTTCCTCTGAAATTTTTCCAGCGGTGAATGCATAGCTGAAGAGCTAGAATTGTATTTACAAATGGGTGGTTTTTCTACGATGATTAAAAATTAGCAAGTGACACGGAATATAACAAAAGAATATGAACTATGAAAAACGATAATCCGGGTATCGAAACTTGGTTGGTTTGAAAACGCCTTCAAATGCGGCGTGATACCTCACACCTTCCGGAGAGTTCAAATAGTTGTATCATTGCGCCGTAAGAATGTGACGGAAGATTTCAATGGAGAAAGCCTCCATGCACGCTGGGCTTGTCGATTTCCTCTGAAATTTTTGCAATTGAAAATGCATAGCTGAAATGCGCTCCAGCTAGCATTGTATTTACTCATGGGTTTTTTCTCTACGAGGATTAAAAATAAACAAGTGGCACGAAATATAACAAAAGAATATGAACCATGCAAAACGACTATTCCGATAACGGAACTTGACTGTTTTGAAAACGCCTTAAAATGCGGCGTGATACCTCACGCATTCCGGAGAGTTCAAATAGTTGTATCATTGCGCCGTAAGAATGTGACGGAATACTTAAATGGAAATAGCCTCCATGCACGCTGGGCTTGTCGATTTCCTCTGAAATTTTTGCAATTGAAAATGCATAGCTGAAGTGCGCTCCAGCTAGCATTGTATTAACAAATGGGTTTTTTTTCTACGAGGATTAAAAATAAACAAGTGGCACGAAATATAACAAAAGAATATGAACCATGCAAAACGACTATTCCGATAACGGAACTTGCCTGTTTTGAAAACGCCTTCAAATGCGGCGTGATACCTCACACATTCTGGAGAGTTCAAATAGTTGTATCATTGCGCCTTAGAAATGCGCCGGAAGATTACATATTAAAAAGCCTTCATGCACGCTGGCCTTTTCGATTTCCGTTATCATTTTTGGGTGGTTCAGCGGGTGGTTATAATGGACAAATGAAGTGAGTAATAGACTAATCAACGGCAATTCACGAGGGATCGTGTAGTCAGTTCATCATTTTCTCCCTTGGTCTACAACAATCACCCACTTCAACCAATGGGATCGCTCAATTTTCTCTATGTCTTCTTTGACTATCGCTTTGTCTATCGATTTCAATAATCAGCCCGCCGACCTGCGAAGTTACTCATTTATATTACCAATGCAACTTGTCCAGGTAGCTTTGTTACTCGCTTAGATTCACGCATGCCCACCTATGCATGTGGTAGAATTAGTGTCATTATGTACATCTCTGGTGACTTAAACGCCGGGGGTAAGAAAGTAAGCGACAATTTCAAAATTGCAATGATCACTTCAGACTAAAATTGAAGACTTTAAGCCAAAAAATGTGTGACGATTTTTGGACATTATTAAGAATTTACAGCTCATAGTGACGTTTCATTAAAATATTTCATAGAGAATGAAATATTTTTACGTTTTGACAGTCATTCAAAAGTTCAATTGTTTTCCGAGTTTTTTTATGACGATTCCTTTTTAAGACAGGTACCTACCAGTTTTTGATAATTTTGAGGGTGCCAAGATAGCAATCTGAGCCACTTCCGCCATCTTTGAGTTTTTTCAAAAATTTTTTCAAATTTTTTTCAAATTCAAAACTTACGGAAAATTCAACCTAAAAGTGACAAACATCCACTGCCACCATGTCTCACAAAAATGAACCAAACAGGATCCGAGATAGCATTTCAGGCCGCATCCAGTATATTGGATTTTTAAATTATGAAAATTTGAGTTGGAATTCAAGGCTTCCGTCGAAAAATGCCACCTTGTACCGAGTTTCAAGAAACGTCCTGGAGTGTATTGATGGCGGCAACCGTGATCTTCTGGCATCAAGTCGAGGCGAAACTCTTGAAGGCGCTCTAAGCAACTATATCACCTCGGAAGTATTGCACAGTATCAGACGAAATTGAAGGCGCACTAACGTAGGCAACTTGACTGGTAGTGTTTATCGTTCGATATGCGACTCTTGTTCGATCAATTTTTTTAAAACTCGGTGCCAGGTGGCATTTTTTGACGGAAAACCTGATACAATATAAACTAGGCATGTTCCAATTATCGATTCATAATAATTAGTCGAGCNATTTGGGCAATGGATGTTTTTCACGTAGAGGTCGAATTTTCATTCAAAATTTTAAAATTCAAAAGTCGGAGATGGCGGATGTGGCCGAGAATGCTATCTTGGTGCCTTCGAAATTATCCGACTTTGAAATAGAGGTATCTATCCTTTTTAAGTTCAGTATCAAATCGATGTACTCTCAGCTAACTTAAACCTCGATATCGGCTCGCTCTTCAACCGTTATGAAATGAATCTGTTTGTTTTGTTTGTATTTTTTTTTTTTTAAATTATTCATGTATTTATTTTTATTTCATTTCCAACAAGAGTCGCATATCGCACAATCCATAGGACTCTATACGGATGCCAGTGAATTTACATACGTTAGTGCGCCTTCAATTCCGTCTGATACTCTGCAATACTTCCGAGGTGGTATAGTTGCTCAGAGCGCCTTCAAGAGTATCGACTTGACTTGATGGCGAAAGATCACGATTGCCGCTGATATTACACTCTAACGCGTGCGCAGTTACACATTTTCTCATTACCGACGGCGAGATAAAAAACATCTTTACCTCGATTTGCGACGTTGCAACTTTTTCACTGCCTATTTTGAATGAGTAAAAGAACATGAAAACTTTAAAATCTGCCGTAATTTTTCCGAGATGTGACAAAATAGGTACATTACTTGGATTACATTTTGCAATAAGGAACCACTATTCCTGGCTCTCCCATCAAAGCACATATCTGATCTGCGTAGGGAAACCAATGGCATGTTGTTTCTAAAATGGGCCAAAAATAGTTGTCCCTTATTGCAAAATGTAATCCATTTGAATGTGCTGCTATCGAGCTGATCATAACAGTGATTGTCACTTACTACGTTACGGTGCCTTCTCTAGTACCTCTTCGGGCCCATTTACGTCCAGAGTTATAACATTTCGGGTCTGTTTTTGTTCGTTCGAGGATTCCTAACTACCACTTCTTCTTCTCCTGTTTAATTTAAGCATAAAGTCTAGACATTAGACTGAAATGAAACATTCAAATTCAACAGTCATTGTTTTTATTAGCTCGCTTGCAGCACATTCAAATAATGCTTTTTGTCATAACTTGGGAAAAATTTCCTACGGCAGATTAAAAGTGTTCGCGTTCTTCTACCCGTTCAAAATAGGCAGTGAAAAAGTTGCAAATTGTGGTACCTATGTATGTATTTCATCTCTCCGTCGATGATGAGAAAATGTGTAAATCCACATGTTCTGGGGTGTAATGTCGGCGGCAGTCATGATCTTCTGCCATCAAGTCGAGGCGATACGCTTGAAGGCGCTCTGAGCAACTATTCCACCTCGGAAGTATTGCACGGTATCAGACGAAATTGAAGGCGCACTAACGTAGGCAAATTGACTGGTAGCGTTTATCGCACGATCTGCGACTCCTGTTCGCTCGATTTTTTTAAAACTCGGTGCCAGGTGGCATTTTTTGACGGAAAACCTGATACAATATAAACTAGGCATGTTCCAATTATCGATTCATAATAATTAGTCGAGCGCATAATAATTGATCACAGTAATCTATTTACAATTATCCGATTAATCGTCTAATCGATTGTTTGTTTATGATTAATCAGCAATTTGAGATTATGTTAAAAAAACGTGTCCCAGCTCCAAAAAATCTAACATTCAAAAGATTTTAGTGGTCAATCTAGCCATTTTTAGCACTTTTCGAAAGCAGCGATTAATTATCGATTATCGATTAATCGATTATTTTTCTGTCGATTGATCTCTCTCTCCCTCTCTTGTTTTTACAGCTTTTCTCCCAATTTTTGTGTCATTGTTTAATGTCTTGATCGATTAGCTACATAGTTCGATTACCGATTACCTGGGTCAGCCTAAGGTAACAGCAAAGACAAACACTACCTTATCAACAAGTAAATGTATGCCGCCTGAAGGCTTAAATGCTTAGCAATGTTTCAAAATTTCAGCTGACAACTTATTTCTTTCTTCACAAAGAGATGCATGTTTCGCATGAAACATTTGAGAAAATTTTCTTCAAATTGTTAAGGTCATGTGCTACTGTCTTTGAGTAAATGAATGAATGGTCAAATGAAGCTTTGCAACGCAAATTAGTCTCTCTGGCTCTCTTCCATTATAAGAGGAAATAAAAACAGATTGTTATTTATGCCAGTGAAAATGGTTTTTATTGAGTTATCAATATGAGGGAAGCACAAATGAACTCGTGAAATAGAACAATTTAATCAGCATGACATGAAGCTCACATTACTGCTGTAGACACAATATGAAATAAAAGTTCACTTGCTCAAAGCAAGGAATCAATGTCGAGCCTACAAACTCCATTTTTTCAGACATAATACTTTTTATGTAAATAAGAAAACAAAGAATTTTAATTACTAAAAATTCAAGTGAAAATTCACTTGAATTCGGACATGCACCTCTTCCATTGATAACAAAAAACAGAAAATTTTACATACCTATTCAGTTAAATACTTGTACCGAGTTTGATACTAAAAGTTGATTATTTACTTGACTTCCGCCATATATTACGTAACTAAAAGATGCAAAATTGGTCCCTGTAGTAAGCACTTACTATAAAAGAAAATCAAAGAAGCAACCTTTTTTAACCGTTCAAATTTTCTAAATCTTGCATTTTGGTAAAAAATGATAGCTGACGGCAGATGGTTGGCTAAAAATTTAAAAATGGCACATGAAGACTTACAGTAGTTCTATGACAGCTAAATACTAATACTAAAAACTTACAAGTACTTGTACTTAAAGACAAAAACAAAACAGATATGCGAAGTTGTTAACAAAACAAAGAAAAAACAAGAACTAAATACTAGCACAACCATGTTTTAAGCGACAAAATATCACATTTCACATAGAACTCAACAAGAACATTACCTTGGCAATGTTTACAAAATGCAGATGAAGGCTTTATTAAAGAAAACTAGAAGATATTGCAAGAATTGGGAAGAGAAAGAGGTGAGATTCTGTCATATTTTAGTCTGAGGAGTAAAATTATCAGAGCAAACTAGTTGAAAGATAAAATGATCTAGAAACAGGCAAAAACGTCATGTTAGAAAATCGAATCACCCACCTCTCATCAATACCTGACTTTCGAGTAAAGAATCAAGACACAGCTGAAGAGAGTCTATAATATTCTTTGAAACATTTCAGAACATTTTACTGCAGGATTTTTTTCATTGCACTGAGCAAATTTGAAAGAGTAAACCACAAGCCGAGGTGAGAAGTAAGCCTCTCGGCTTGTTTCCTCATTACGATTTCGCGTAAAGCACACAGAACATATTAAAATCTCCCTAAATTGTGTCATAGAGAAAGAGTAACATTTCTTTCCTACAACATATACGATACATTCAAACTTCCTGCCTGCGAAAAAACCATAATCAACGGAGGTTACATTAGCCATTGACAACACCCTATACGTTAAGCAAATGACAGGAGCTCAGTTTAATAGCTATTCTTTTTCCTCCTCTGATACATGGTGCCTCTAAGCTTGTCAAATAAAAGTCACCACACAGGAAAGTTCTTTTATTGTATAACATACTGAAAGTAGTTTAGAGCTCGATTTGACTAGAATAAACATGGGCACTTTCAGAAAGAACACTGTGTATATCCTCAATTATGAGTTGATGACTTTGAAAAGTTTAAGTGCATCTGTCGTATTCTCTGTAACATTCCGATGAGAAAACATAAATTCTGGCGCAATAGGTATTCTATCTTTTACCATGTCTAGGGGTCCATTTTCTATTAAAGATCAGCTTAAATTGATTTCAAAGAGGGAGGAATCCCTTATGTTCCAAAGATGAGGTCCAACAACCTATTTTCTAAAGATCTCTCTTTATCCGTGGGTATAGGGTAGCTGGAAGAGATTGTATGCCAAAGCATTCAAAATTGAGCAATAAACATATCTATCGTGATAAAATGCATCTCTGCTCACAAATAAATAGAGGCTTCCTGAACATCAGAAAATGTAAAACGACCTTTCGCACAGATATTCACTCTTACTGGTTGTTTTAACATAATTTTTTTTAGAATATTCATATACAGTCCAAACAGACATCTTTAGCCTATTGCAAGAGTGCTAAAAAGGGCCTTTTATACTAAACATACGACTAAAAACAAAACTAAATATACAATCCAGGGTGGTGGGCCTTTTACTTCACTTTAAAAGTTACTATTTTTACTATCTCTCGGTTGAATTGATCTACAAATTTAAAAAATTGGCCTGCTTCAAGCAAAATCAGCCTAACTAAATTTTACGTTACCTAATTCCCCCTCAAATTATATTTTTCCGACCGAAAAGGAAACAACATATGGCTTTGAAACAATCCATAAATTTCCTCCTGATTATGATAAATACACTGATGAAATTCAAACTCGGAGTGTTCCATATTTTTCTGTTAAACAAATAGGTAATCTATGATGCAGCTGATTTAATTTTGAGTAAGGTTGGCTTGATTAACCTTGATGTTATCAAGGCAGCAGATCATGCGCTACTAAAACTACCATGTCTCCTCAGGGAACTGGTATACAGCAAAAAAATAATTTCAATGTATATTTGTTTGAAACATTTTCTAGATAATATGAAGAACTTGGACTTAGTCTCACCTGCATCATTCATTTCCCTCCAGTAAAATTGGATAATAAAGGCCTTTGCAGGGGCGTGAATTGAGCTAAATACTAGTATTTACTTTGAGCATATCATTAGATCTGCAAAAATCACCGACTACAAAGGATCAAGCAAGGTTACGAAGCATTAAAATTGGAGGCATTTAATTACAGGATGAGGTCACTGGGGGAATCATCATGGTTTAGAGTGTTATATCCACTGCTCCTCCGTCTCTCAGCCTGGATTGCAGCCAATCTTAGTGAACTGTGAGTTATACCGTAGGAGAAGTAGATTATGAAACCTGCCAACAAGATGCAATGGTAAAATGATAGACAATGATATAAAATAACATATTGACAGTGAAACTTCGGATGCGGGCATCTCGGTTTGCGGTGTTGCAAACTTCCTGCCATACTTAATCTTTTTAATAGGAAACTACTCGACGTCATTTCTTGAAAACTCAGGTGATTCTCCCTCTCTAAGTGAAGGATCTTTTGTGGAAATTTCAAGCCATGAGGTCGGTTTGGTCTTGATTTAAAAAATGAAATAAGACTAGAGATTTTGAAACATTGCAATCTAGAAGCGCGTGTGTGCAGTTTGACCGTCCATATAGTATTAAAATATGCACAAGTGTAACAATAACGACACTTCCATTAATTTCTTGAGTTGATTACAAAACTGAGTCAACGCAAAGCGCAGATTGACATTTTGTCAAATTTCTTTTTTCTGTAATTTAAAGTTTTCATTCAGATATTTGCACTACAGGAGCAAATCAAGCGATTGACACTCCCCCCCCCCCCNGAAGAAAAAACCTCTGAGTGTTCACAATTTGATCTCCACAGGCTGGTCATGCAGTCAGCAACTATCATCGAACAAAGTCAGGAGGCCTTAAAATAGCTGTAATATGGATGATAGGAACTTACCGACAAAAAGCCAAGAGAGGAACCTGATCCACGTGTCCACGTCCAAGAGCAACATCAGATACAGGTTGAACATAACGCTAATCGCTGGTAAAATCGGCACAAATGGGACCTGCAAAAGACACATTTAGAAGTTACTAGGCTCTTATTAGGCTAATCTCTACTAGGCTATATCTCTTTTATTTTGAATGTATCAAGGTGTAAAGGTTTTCAGCATCAGCCTCCATATTCTGTCTGAAAATTTGGGGGAAGAAGGGTTCCAGTATTGATTGCTCAATCAATTCACAAAGTTCCAGGAGAGAGAGGCAAAATATATTTTTTGCATCGTGTTCTTTCCAGATTTGACTCACAAGCAAAAATTAGCGTTTTCTTTACCCATCGATTCAAATTTTTTTCTCATCAAACAAACCGAAGCTTACACTTGAGCCAAAATAGGTAACAAAATTGATCAAAGTGTGCTTTACGATTAATTTATTTTTTATTCTAGCCTGCGGAAGTTTTCTTGAATAGTTTAGGAGTGTGTACTAAGCAAGAGATATTGTAGATTTTGGTGGAGCAGATTTACAGTTATTTGTTGGGCGGCCAATATTTCAGTGGCCGATCTGACTTAAATTGATGTTGATTTTTCTGCCTGAAGAATGTTTAAATTCGCAGATTTTTAAGTACACTAAACATGCTATTTTCTTATTTACAAGTTAATTTTGGACTTCGTAAGCATAGCTAAAAAGTTTGGTGTGAAACTTTAATGGTAGAACAAGCTTAGCGTGCTTCAATTCTTCCCTTATTTAGTGGTTCATTCTGCACCTACGACACTGTAATCTAAATTCGTTTGATTTTAGCATGGATTTTTTGACGCTTGAGAAAAAGTTGAACATGTAAGAATTGGAAGAATGAGATTACCTTAAACTGAAGCTCAACCAGGGATTTAGGTTGAAGACTTATTGAGAGCAGCAGGAGAGCCATTGCTGCCATTGTGATTGTCATGTATACTACAAAAGTTGATGAATCCAGAGATGTGTTGTAATTGGTCAGCGAAATTAGTAACATGGAGAGAATAACTGAAAAATTGAAACTGACAGTGTTATCTTCTTCATCTAATATAAATGACAAGGATACAAGTGAAAAGTTCTCTGTTATAACTAAAAACTTTTATGTATGGCGTCAGGAAAGGCAGTGGATGCACGTTACCAACAATTTGACTTATCTAAGGAGATATCAATGACTAAAATCTGAGGCCGTACGTCCCAAATGCGGTACTTCCATATTTACAGTTCATATTTTTATACTTGGAAAGAAAATGAGCTACATACATAGGTTGGAATTTTTTAGAGATTATGATGGATAGTTTTTCAATTGAAAAATAAACTGATGTCATTAACTGAAACGTGGGAGTTTATCCATTCATCAATAATTATTAATTTTCATAAGATTCAGAAGATAAACTGAAGAAAATTTGTGAAAATTGAGTGACTACTGAAAACAGTAATGTGTTAATACAGTAGCAAATGTGGCCAAAAGAGGAGAGAAAGTTCAAAACCAAATTAAACATGAAGAGAAAATGGCAAATGTATGTTTCTTGGTCAATAAAATAAAGTGATGTGACATCAAGGGAACAAGCTACGTTTGAACGACAACGTACATGCTACTTCGTTGCTCATTGCCAGCAATACTGTTGGTTAGCTAAGGTACCCATTTGGTACCTACTAAACTGACTAATTGGAAATGAAGGAGATAACAGTCCTATTTGAAAGTTTTTAAATAGAACACTTCATTAAATTCATACCGACAAATTGGATCACCTCACTTGTGATACCTAAGTTATGGCATTAGGCTGAAGGATGTCTTTTTTCAATTTTCTAGTAGATCTCTATAATCTAGTAGATCAATTAACTTCAGTACTGTGAATTTAAAAAAAAAAAAAAAAAAAAAATCCAATCTTTGACAGGTTTTTAAATCGTCACTCTTTTTCCCATAACTTAAAAAATTGCTGGAGGCATATATGTTGAGTTACATTAAAAGAATTGGTAAAGAGCTTTTTGTACCAACAACAGGTCATAAAATTTAGAGATCTCTATTTGCAATAATTCTAAAAGAATGATTATTTGTTTGACTTGACTTGACTTGACCTGTTGAAGTAAACAATTGAAGACTAAGCTTGATATACTGACCAAAAATAATAGTTTCAACGGTAACAATTGCACTGGACAGGTAGGTGGGCCGCATATTGTTGTTCCAATTTATGAGCTGCAAAAAAACCTTTTGGAAAGTAATTTTTTCACCAAGAGTGGTCAATCTAGTGGACTCTACATACTCTGGATGAATTAAAACTGAATTTTCATCCGGTTCATCTCGATACCTGGAAGAGGAAATTAATAATCAGAATCTAAGGTGACACCAATTCAATGAATTTCAAAATGTTTTATTTTTTAAAAGCTCAAATCCTGGAAAATTAAATTTCCTTACTACGATTGAAGCTTTGATAGATTGAAGACTTTAGAGAGCCAAGTCAATCGAGGCACATGCAACAGTAAATCAAGATTTTTTGGGGAAAAAATTGATTACCTACTATTTTAACTGTCAAATCAGATTTTAGGGGAAAAAGAGACAGGAAATTAGGGATAAAACCGAGTTTTCTCGTTGAATGATTATGGAATCTAGATTTTGCTGAGATGAAAATAAGATATTCAAATAAAGGACTACCTACATTAATTATTCATACACTTATAATTCATATTTTGATCCATCTAGGAATGATTAAAATTAAGCTACGATTGAAAATCTGTTTGCTTTTCTTTAAAGCACAATTGAATCGATAAAATCACATGCAATGAGGAAAAGTTCCTCTTTGTACTTGGATTGTTCCTGCTAAAATTTTGAAAACTACTGTTTTATCTGTTTGATCACATTGAGTTCCTGGAGTTTTCTACTTGTTTCACAATATAAGTCCATCAGGTTTCTTTAAGTTTTTGCTTTTAAAAAAATAGATACAAAAAAGTAATTAAATTAAACAGCACCGTTAAAATACAAGGCATCCCAAATGAAATGCTAAAAAACTTTAAGAATCAATTCCTCAGACCTATAGAAGACTGTTTTGGTCTATGACATTTTTTCGTCTGACCCATTTCAAAAAATTTTTTCGAGGAACACCCCTCCCTCTCCAATCTCCATGGTTTTAGTTTTTACTTTTTTCTATAAAGAACATATAAATCCCAATACCTGTCAGCCTTATTTTTCTTGTCGTTTTGTTGATAACTAAATTATGGCTACATTACTATGGCTACGATTTAAGACATCAATTTTTTTCAGGAGACTTTGAGGGGCCACATTCCCCCTTAAAGTAACTAAAAAAAAGAATATCTTGGAGCATTATAGTATCATTTTGGTCTAAAAAAGATGTAGGACACCCTTTACTTGCACATTAAAACACAAAAGTAAAAAGAGAGAGAGAAAATAAAAAAGACAAACCTCAAAATTAGAACACAAACAGCGACAAGTGTAAATGCCAGCAAAGTTCCAATGGACATCAAATCAACCAGCTGCTTGAGATTAAAGATACCTCCCAACACTCCTGAAACCATCAGACAAACATAATCAAAGCTCAATTTCAAAATTATTATATTTCTCAAACTTTGGTACTTCTTGCTTCTGAGCAAATGAGGAGCTACAACTTTTGGCTCATCCATATAAGCACGTTTCTGCATGAGAAAACTAATGACACTTATGTTGTTTTCGAGAGAGTCAAAAATAGCAGTTTCTTATTGACAACTGTGATCTGAATAATGTGTAATGAACAGCCATTAGAATTCAGCCGACGAGTAAAAGATAAATGCCTACTTACCAGCAATAATGGATGTGACCAGTGTTGCGGTGAAGGGTGTTCCAAAAGCTGGATGAACAGATGCCAGGAACTTATACATCAACCCATCATTTGCCATTGAATAAACAACCCGAGGAATTGGCAGGAGTGCCCCAATCAAACTGGAAAATGAATGAGACTTCGGTTCAACTTTTATCAAGGATAAAAAAATTAAAATTCTTCTTTTCCTTCTTGGGGGCTGTTCCTGTGTGATCCTGAAAATTGGATTTGTTTAAACCTTCCCCTTCAGCTCCTCATTCAGACAATCAGACATCTCATCAGACATTTGCAAATTATAGGTCTCTTTTTGAATTTAAAATAAAATCATCAAATAAATTATGCTGCGTTGGAAACCTAGACATGTTATTTTGTTTATGTTTCTCACTCATCGTCACTTCTTGTGATGATTAAAAATAAAAGATTGAAGTGAATCCTTTACCTGGCAAAGGTTCCAACTATGCCTCCAACAGTGACAATCCATTGAACCCATGGCCACCCAAGTTGACTGAAGACATATGGTAATGGAGCATTGACATCCTAGAATAGAAAAGTACAAAGATTACTTCAGAAAATAAAATACAGTAGCATTAACAAGTATTACTGCAGTCAGAGAAAAACAATTTCAAAACATTATAATGTAACTTTGAACTCACTGATAGACTGCTTCTCACTTTTTATACGAAAGGCGAATAATGCTTTTACTTCATGGAGACGGAAACTTAGAGAAATAATCTGCTCTCAAGGATAAGTTTTTCATCAATCATTCACTTCAAAAAAAAAAAAAAAATCTTGGATCCCACTTACAAACTTGATTTACAGAGGGAAATATGAACGACAAGTTTCCGAATGGCAAAATCAATTTCTTTTGAACTGAAATTTTGCTAAAATATATTGTAATTTCATATTTCATTGTAATTTTCATTAATTTTTTCATGTATTGTAATTTAACATACATTATATATTTCGACGGTGCAAGTCGGCAATCACATAACTCGTTTGCGGTGTCTGAAAATCTCCGCAACTATGTTATTTTTTTAAAGGAGAACAAATGGACATGATTCCTTGCAGTTTTTGCAGAATTTTCCTCGCACATTGAAGAAAAATCACTGCAGTTTTAAGGAATTAGCGTTGAGTAGTTTTCCGTTTAAAGAATAAAGTATGACAGGAAGTCTGCGACGTCGCAAATCGAGTTATGTGATTGCCGACTTTCACCGTCGATTTGTAATTTCATTCAAACAGGACTGAATAATCTGTTTTAAAAGTATTCGTGGAATTCCTATAAACTTTCTTCAGAAAATTTCCTTAAATTGATAGCAATTTTTATTGAAAGCAGTATTTGAAGATAAACGAGCGTACCTGTAAATAGTAAGGCCACATTAGGGTCAAAACAGTAGCAACTCCACAATACAAAATACAAATGATAGTCAACGAGAGAATTATTGACAAGGGTAGAGCTTTTTGTGGGTTCTCTACCTCCTCACCTACAAAAACAAAACACCATCGTTAATTACGCTTTAGGCAGTGAAAACTTCTAAACTTGTTCCTTTAAACTGTGTGTAAAATGCTTTTATTAGCTTTGTGACGTTCTATTAGAGAAAACGGACTATTTTAAATTTGCTCAACTTGTACGGCGAAGACTATGTCATTTCCTTAAAAAATTGGATATCATAAAAGTGAATTGAGGCATCAAGCGGTTGATATTTCATTTGGTGAAATACTGTCCTGAAAGGAGAATGCTACAACTTTTCTGTCAATCTCTTGGCAACAGTCTATTGTTGCAAACACAAGCGTATTTTATTCAAAAAAAGAACTTAAATTCTTCATTCCAACTTGGTAAAAAATTTGTGTAGTTAGTGTAGTGAAAAAAAAACCCATTAAAATATTTCCCTTTCATCTACTGACTGGAACTAAAAACTTACCTGTGGTGGTAATACAATCGAAACCAACAAATCCATAGAAACATGTTGCTGCTCCTGCTATTGCACCTGTGACACCGTACGGAAAGAAACCACCAACGCCAAAACCAGGGGGCACTTCTGGAGGCTTCAATGCCCAGTTGTGAAAGTTAGCTACAATCATAACAAAGGACTGATTGATAACTTGATGCATGATTAATTTTCCAGACAGAGAATCACCAATCATTAGAGGTAAATTAACGGAAGTTATAAAAAGCTCAAGCTCAAAAAGTTGTTTGCATTACGTGAAACATATTCTAAAGTTTAGAAGGTGGACCGTCACCTAAACTTTAGAGCAAAACGGATGGAAAAGGACCCTACAACAAAACAGCCAAATCGGCCTAAACACGGAATCGTACGATTTTCTCAGGGATGATAGAGGGTCTTCCCAGACACTCAAAACTGGTCATATTTTTTGCCTAACTCCCAAGGAAAAGGGGGGAGAGGGGGTCAAAGTCAAAACCTTTAAATTAGCATAACTTCTCAACGGTTTGTCGTAGAAAGATGATCTTGGTGTCAAAATTTCCAGAAAAATGAGAGCTTTCAGAATATATGTATGAAATTGATTAAATTTTAAAATTTGACCCACTTTTGGGGCATTTTACAAGGTCCCCCTTTCGTAAATTTTCGTTTTTTGAGATTTTCGGTTGTTCGGTTCGCACGGATCAAAACAAAAACAATTTCAAATAAGAGTAGAGCGTTTAAGCTTTAAAAGAAGCCCAAGATGATCTTGGGGAAATGATTAGAAGCGGAGTTATGAGTCTTCAAAGTTGACGCGGCGCGCGGGAACCTTGTATGTTCCGAGTCTCAAGGTCACCTGCGCGCCCCGGATTGCCTGCAGGTTGCAAGTTTTTGTGTTTTTATGCTTCTGTAGGTCATTTTTAATGTAAATCATTCAATGAAGATAGAATAATCGAAATTTTTTAATTGTACGGGAGGAGCGAGAGGGGGCTTAGAGTATCAACCATTATGTCCATCATACCTCATTAAACATTTGCTGACGATGACGATTCTGCTCTTATAATTTAGAGGAAACCATGGACCCTCAGTTCAAATATACGTATGATCCATACAGAACTGAACCATTTAGAAATTATAACCCATTGATGCCAAATTTTGGGGTACCCCTAATTTTAAAATATTTTAATTGAGCTATAAGCTACAGCGCTTGACGGAACTCACATGGTAAAGCCAAATAGTTTCTCGTTGAAGCAGACGAGCTTTGAGCTTCAAAACAAGTCTCAGTTATTCTTGAGGGGGCTATTTGAAACGCAGTTAAAATTTTTTGACGTTAATGTGGTGTGCCTTGCCGAAGGCCCATTGTGTAAAATTAAAAAATTCTAATTAAACTATCTTCATTGAATGATTTACATTAAAAATGACCTACAGAAGCATAGAAACACAAAAACTTGCAACCTGCAGGCAATCCGGGGCGCGCAGGTGACCTTGAGGCTCGGAACATACAAGGTTCCCGCGCGCCGCGTCAACTTTGAAGACTCATAACTCCGCTTTTAATAATTTCCCCGAGATCATCTTGGGCTTCTTTTAAAGCTTAAACGCTCTACTTTTATTTGAAATTGTTTTTGTTTTGATCCGTGCGAACCGAACAACCGAAAATCTCAAAAAACGAAAATTTACGAAAGGGGGACCTTGTAAAATGCCCTAAAAGTGGGTAAAATTTTAAAATTTAATTAATTTCATACATATATTCTGAAAGCTCTCATTTTTTTGGAAATTTTGACACCAAGATCATCTTTCTACGACAAACCGTTGAGAAGTTATGCTAATTTAAAAGTTTTGACTTTGACCCCCTCTCCCCCCTTTTCCCTGGGGGTTAGTCAAAAAATATGACCAGTTTTGAGTGTCTGGGAAGACCCTCTATCATCCCTGAGAAAATCGTACGGTTCCGTGTTTAGGCCGATTTGGCCGTTTTGTTGTAGGGTCCTTTGTTGTAACACAGGAATAATATACTGATTTTACAATTTCGAATTGCAAAGACTAGCAATATTCTGATAACTGATTACAAGTTTAAAAAGATTAAGTGAGCAGAAAGAAATAATCCTCGTTTTAATTATCTGTTCTTGTGGGACAATGATTGTCATTCTTCGGCATTACTTTTTGAAAAAACTGTACCTAGACCCAAACTCAGAGGAGAGAGATGATGAGTGGGCCAGTATTTTTATTTTACAAAATTATGAAAAAATAATTCCTTAAGGATACTGTCACTTTTTCAAGGCTTCAACTAAAGCTCTACTCTATTACTAGGGCTCATTATTAATGAAGATTCCTTATAAATGGTGAATGGACGATGGTTTTATATGGCAATGTACCTTCAAAACATCCAACTCCTATGACGATCAGCATGACAGAAACATTGATCACCACCAGCACATTGTTCATTTGGGCTGACTCTTTAAGACCAATGCTTAGAGCAACTAAAAAACCAAAAAACGAACAGGTATTAGCTACAGCAATTTTTCGGGCGAAAATTTCAAATAGGAGACATTTTATAATAGGAAATTTCAAAAAGGAAAAAGTCGAAAAATCAGGTTCATCATTTTCCCTGGAAGTTGTGTCTCCTCAATTCCTGACGGTTTACAAGATCTAAAAACTTACATAGTCCCAATTTTTTCGAATTTTATTTTTCACACAGTTTCCCCTGATCAAATTTCAGCTATTTGTGGTGGTTGTGACCATGAGACCATGTTGGACCATGGTCCTGAGTTTCAAAACAAATATGCAGCACCTGCCGCCATTTTTGGAAATGGAGCAAATGAGCATGAGATATCTAGTTTGGCTGAACAAACAGCATGCATGATTTCAATAAAAAATATATCAAATAAAAAGAACGAACGTGCCGGTTGTGAAGTCCACAAGAACAGAACTATTACTCGCCAACTGATGTTGTCGCGATTCTCCAAAAACATCAACCTGGTAAATACAAATACTTCCTCCCACTTCAGAGCATCCCTGGACAACTCCGACCAAATTACGTTTGTGCTTCTCTTGCACTTTTTGGTATGAACATTCATCTCGATGAGTCTGGCTGTGACAATTGTGAGTTAACTTTTCTGAACACTCTTATCTGCTTGTGAACGAATTATACTGCGGATTTTTCATCTTTAATTTCTTGTTTCTCAAAGAAGGAATTTTTTATAAATATTTAACGATGCGTAACTCCTCGAAAAACGTTTCACTCTTTGAGTTGTATCAGTGCAAGCTAGGAACCATGGTGTAGGGACTTGTAACTGTCATGAGTTTGGCACTGTTCAAAAGGTAAAAATGATTGAAAAAACATGAATGTAAGGCAATTCTTTTACATAACTTTTCAGAGAAAAGTGTTTTCTTCAAATTTAGGCCAAAAAAATAGGAGTACCTAGAATACAATAATATGCTGATAAAATACTACGGACAAGAGTATCCCCTATTTCAAATTTTTGTCATTTTATTCTTATCAGTTCCAAAATGTATGCATGTTAGTAATTTTTGAATTGAAAAAATGTCTTAATTTTTCATATTTTCTGGATTCATCAGTATTCATCATTATTCTGGATCATATTTTCTTGTAACGAATAATTCAAACATCGCTTGGATTTTGAAAAAATTTCTCTTCAATGGCAGATTAACAGAAAATGATTAAAGTGATGATTCAGTGTTAAAAGCATATAAGTTAAGGCAAAAAAACTTTATGATTTCTGACTTAAATCTCGCTGTTTATGCTTGACATCTAAGAACATAGAAGCTGATGATATTAGAGTTTGGTGACACAATCAAATTTCTTGAGAAACTCTATGCCAGTCATTGAACAACTTGGAAAGAGTCAGTGGTTCCTTTTTTATTTTGACTTGCACTTGAAGGTATGTGGTTGGAAGTAATATTTCAAACAATTTATTTTTCCAAAATGCATGATGTACATTTTTTTCTCCCTGCTCAGAAAATGCCTCAGCAAGAATGCAATTCACAATGGCTTTTAAGTCACTGTTTACTCCCTACAATACACATTACAAAATGGTCAAGTCTTTATCAAATGCTTGACAAAAATTTAGAGGGAAGACTTTAGATTATAAATACATTTTGATGTGCCACACTTATCAAAATCATCGACTTATTTAAATATTTGGAACATTTGAATAGTGTGGGGAAGTGAGGGCATATCTATTTCTGATACAATTAAATAAAGCTAGCATTAGCATTGATACATACAGAAACCTTCATTTAGGTAAATGACAGAGATAAATAAAGAAATAAATGAATAAATAAAAAAAACGCATAATTCAAATTAAACCTGCACCTTCAAGGAAGTATTTAGGGATGTTGATACTCACTTCCTAGAAAAATGCAAATGGCACATGTGAAAAAGTCAAAGTATGGAGACAAGAAGGGCATATTATCAATTTGGTAGACCTCACGAAAAGTTGCCTCCATTGTTCCATTAAACAAAGAGTCTAGGTAAACACTCAGACCTCGAGCGACACTGGATGCACCTGAGACAGAGGAAAATTCCAAGATATTTTTAAGGCTGATACGAGGAGGGAGAGGGGGCAGCGAGAGAAAGAAACAAAATAGTGAGGAAAAATCTAGTGGGAAAAATCAGAGAGCAGTACTGAAAACCCGTTGCTTGGCTGTCTAATTTAGTTAAAACTTGTATTTGTTCTAATTAGAAAAAGGACTACGCAGAGAAAATCAAATAATTTGTCCCTGGATAATTTTTTATATTATTTTATATGATGTTCTTTACAGACTCCTGAGCAGGAGGTTTTGATCAATTTTTTCATAATTTATCTTGTTTTGGAAAGACACAACAGAGTACGAAGTTATTTAAATTTTATTATACTGTATCCAACAGAAGAAGGCTGTGGTGTTCCGGCCGAAACGGCTTGGTTTTATTACTTTATTTTAGCCTTGCTAGGTGCCCGCTTTTCGTATGATTTTGTCTTGTCATGTGCTACTGAGTACAACAAACATATCTCATAAAGTTACGTATATGCATGAATATTCGCACAAAAAGAGACCTCAGGACACAAAAATATCAAACCTAACCAGAGCAACTATGGTTTGAAGGCCACAACTTAAGAAATATAGCTTCTAGGAAAATCTACTTAAAATCCTAGTTTGCCATATTTGGGATAAATAATTGCTGGATAACATTGTGCTGCCTATTGGAACAAAAATGAACTGGGTTACTTTCATTGAAATGAGAAAATTCAATTTTTTGCCCCAAGTCGACAAAAAATTATTTTTCTGGGTATTGAAAATTGTGCTTCCATTCACTAAGGTCCCTGTTCCCATTAACAGTTCCATAAGGGTTTATGGCAAAGTTATACCTTTTTCATGTCACTATCTCCAATTCATAGAATTCATCAATCCTGAGCATTATTAACTACTCAAGAAAATCTGATGATGAGATAAAAGAGATTACAAGAAACTTACCGAGAATATATTCCATGATGACAACCCATCCAATGATAAAAGCCATGAGTTCTCCGACGGTTATATAGGCATAGAGATACGCAGATCCAGCCTTTGGAGCTCTTGAGCTGAGCTCAGCATAACAGATTCCTGTGCAGAAAACAGAGAAACACCTATAATCTCTCTACGATGGGTTTACTTTGAAACGAATGGAAAAAATAAAAAAAAGGATGATATTCCACCACTCTCCTTCATAATATGTAAGCAGAGTTTTTTTGTTTCGCATGAACAGTTGAAACAGTTTTCAGGATTGCCAGAAAAAGAAGCGAGCTGACATTAATGATACCAAAATTTTAAGACAAACCTAGAGACATCCTTGACTTTGTAAAGCTCCTTAAGCACTCCTCAGTTGTAAATCAATCCCTCCAGAGAAAGGTATTATCAAAAACCTCATGGAGGCACTTTCCCAAATTAAACACGTCATCTAATTTTAGGACTGATTTTAAAAATTGTATTCATTAATTAACGGATTAATTTACCTTAGCAAAATTTCATTTGTTTACTCAATCTCCTGTTGCTTAGGTACTTTTCTTTCTTTTTNGATTCAATATTGGTGTAGTATTGTCTCAATATTGATATCCAAATACTTTCCCTTTGAAGTACTGACACAGTATTCTCAGCCAAAGTATTGGCACAGTATTTATGCCAAAAGGAAAGATGGTGTACGATTTTAACATTGGCTCAATATTTAACCAATATTGGCCCAATGTTTGCATAAATACCAAAACAATATTGTTTAAATATTGGCTAAATATTCCTGTCTTATCTGGGTAGGTTTAGGTACTTTTCTTTCTTTTTTTTTTTAAAAAAAAAACTTTGCTTGACTTTTTAAAAAGCATACAAGGTGCTTAAGATTTTTGCCTTTTGTGGATGCCTTAGGCAGACTTACCGGAAAGGACACATGCAAAGGCAGCCAGAACAAACGAGAGAACAACACTGGGACCGGCAACATTTTTGGCAACAGCACCTGGTAGAACATAGATCCCAATTCCAAGCGCACTTCCAATACCCAAAGCTGTCAGGTCATAAGTGGTCAAAACCCTTTTGAGTTTTGAATCCTCTTTCCCTGCATTTGTATATGTCTTCCGCTGCAAGAGTGAATCCCAATATGAGACCATTTTCACACATCACACCTGGAAAATGAAAATAAAAGAAGTTAAATAGAGATGCATGGACAGAGATTTCCAGATTAACATGAGAATGGCGTCATAGCAGAAATTCTAAACTGAATTCTTCGAATTTCAGAATCGAGTGATGGAGCAATAGAATGCAAAAACTATGCTATGCGGTTGATGCATGAAAATAATCACAATGATAGGTACGAAACAATGCCTAGTATAGTTTTTTCTTCCAATCTCACTGAATTAGGTAAAAATGTGAGGGACATTATCCTTGAATATTTCTGATGGCCTGACGAGAAATCTGGAATTTTCCTTCTACAACTTTATCGAAGACCATTGATACATATACTGGTATTTTGCTGTTTCTCTTCAGTCCAATTTCAGCGAACATAGAGCTGAAATTTTACATATTTTATCTGGTCTTAAAAAAATTAGGAGAATAACTATAGTAGGAAATTGAACATTTTTCACTACAATGGGTATTGAATAAAAGTATTTTCAAACAAATCACTTCACCCATATCAGCTAGATAGATATGTCCGTCCAAATGGTCACCAATAAAATAAATTTTATCGGTAAATTTGGGTCTTTCATTTCAATTATTGTCTTAAATTATGTTAAACGATGCTATTTTAGTGAATATTTTACAATAGACAAGTTGCTCATACAGCTCTCTTCATTTGGATCTGCCAAAACCCAGGTAGAACCTCAGGGAGGAAATAAGCTGATAATTATGTATTTAGCAGGAAAGCAGGGTTAGAATTGGAAGGGGGAAGGAAGTACAGGTAGGAGAAAACTTAACTCGTGGTGATCTGAGTAATTGCTTCAAAGATCAATAAAATGGATAAGAGAAGATGACCCCTGCTACATTTGATTTGAAGCTAATTGAATAATTACTCTTAGATAAGATAAGCTTGAATCAGAATCAATTTCTCTATGTTGAAATAGAAAATGATAAGACTCAATGAGATATGCCATAGCTACTGATAAAAAATATAAAAGAGTTCATTTACAGGTCAATGTTCAAAAGACACCATTACAATTTGGTACTACTACGTAAAAAGAGGCCAAGAAAAATATTTTGATTTGCGTAAAGAATACGTACTACAAGACGAGCGAGTACTTATTTTGCTTCAGAGCTGTTTTTGAATAGAATAAGATATTTCTCGACAGAAATAGACTTTCAGTGGAAAAAAATAATACAGACAAATACCACAGAAATTAAAAAACTTCAAGAAAGTCCCTAAACTGAAACAGCTAAAAGCAAATAGGTATCTTAAGTGAGGATGATTTTTGACAAAAATCCACACACAGTGGAAAAAACTAAGCTAAATTATTCGTCAAAAAGCATAAAAGAAACTATCAGCCCATGACACATTCAGTAAGATGAAAACAACCCTAAAATGCAGAACAAAGCTAAAAAAAAGTGAGAGTAACCTGAAACATTTTGGTTGATTGTGCAGCCCTTATCAATCAGAACAAAATTAAACAAACTGGAAAATATACAAATCAACAAAAATAGAGAACATGAGACAGAGAATTTTTTTTATATAATTTAATAATCTAAAAGTTAGAAAGTTTTTTCTTTGGCAGCACAGGTTCTTATATTTTAAGTTTGTTTTAAATTATCATTTAAATAGTTTGGCCAAAAAATTTCGGATTCTCACTAAATTTTTCAGTCTTGTTTTTCAGCTTACAACCAACAAACCAACCAGCTTACCAACAGGGGTGAAAAAGTTACAAGCATTCTCTGGAATTCCTTTGGCCTTATCCGATATTAGATAAAAATTCATAATCAGTTCCACCTGAAGACTTAAAAGAAAACCCTCCTTTTGACCCCTAGCAAATACGCTTGTCGACTACCTAAACACGCTAAAAAAACAAAAATGTTATGATCTAACAGGGTGTCTTGTTTTTACCCTTCTCACTATGGTTCTACCCTCATGTGCCATGTCTTGCGACTGCCCTAGTCCAGTACCGGTGGCTTGGAGAGAAAGTTTCTGATTCTATAAAGTCTAAAGTAATACGTAGTAATAACGTATGGTACATTAAATATCAACTCACAATTGATCCTGCACGAGATGAAGTCCGAATATGGGCCAAAGTCGAGTCTTGGTGTCAAATGTCGATTTATAAAGCCTTATCAATTACAGCATGGCCGCAAATTTTGGTCAATCTTACCGATTACAGGGAGCTGGAAACAAAAACACAGGGATATAAAAAATTTACATAGGTACCTAATAAATGGCACAATAAATACATTATAACATAATAAATTATTTACATGATATGTAGATATCGTAGAATTTGTTCAGTGAAGCATCACATTAATTCCATCAGGTAGTTTCATTTACTATTCTTCCTTTTCAGAAATATCTTGATCTTCAAATTTTTCATGAGAAAAATAGGTATACATGAGAACCAGGAGATATCACTTGAACAAGAGCTTTAGATCAAATGGAGAAGTCATAATCTAAAGTCAAATTTTCTTAATTTGAAGTGTGTTTTCCTCAAAGGAAAAAAATATCAATGTTTTCAGGCACCGACACTGTTTTCAGACAGTCCTCTGACAAGACCATCTAAAATGTAACCAACTGCTATTGATATTTTTTCAAGAGTGGGACACTCCAAGAAATGCTTGTAAAAATAGAATTTTCCTTAGAAGGTAACTTGTATAAAACTGTACAAGAAATTTAAATTTAATGCTCCTTTTAGAAACGTGAGATGCATATTTACCTTAGTACTTAAACCATGTTTTGAGAACTGTTAGGGGACACACTTACCTTACGATGAGCTCGAGGAGGAGATGTTTTTAATCAAAAATTAAACCGTTATCACATCAAATAGTTACAGGAAGAAATAAAAACTGTTAACTAGGACACTCTTTCCTTTTTTTTGGAGCAGGCCCCTTCAAACGTGACTGCGGATTAACTGTTCCTCCTTCCTCTAACACCCATGACTAGATTTGGGTAGAGTCAAGCCTATGAGGCAATGTAATTTCACAATGGACCATCAAAAAATCGTAGAGAGAAACTAGTTTTGGGAAGAATAGATGGGCCCATGCCCTCAGGGAGAATGGTGAAACTTTGACAAAATAAGTGAATATAACCTAACTTAAGATGCAACACACTTAGACGATTGCGATATACAAATGGACCTACAGACAGTGTAAAATTAGAGTCCTTATCACTTTAGCCGAACTCCGAACTATAATTTCAGTAGTTTCTTTAAGGAAAAAGCGAGGGAGGATAAAAATAGATGATGATAAAGTCTTGAGCAAAGGGAAAGGGAGATAACTTACCTCAGCAAATGAACGACAGGAAGTGAAAACGTGAAAAGACGGTCTGCAGAACTGAGGGAAATCCGCAAAAATCTTCGTTATCATTAGTTGATAACGTTCGCAATTCCGCAGTTCTTAAGATTGGCGAATTAATTATCTTTGTTAAAACGCAGGTGGGTTGTTACATAACACCATAACGGCGCAAACTACAAAGTACTATCCTACTTTTTCACATGATCTGGATCTAACGAATGAATACATGTGTGAGGAATAAAGTTGTGAAAATTACACCGAACAAAATGTAGTTAACGGTCATTGACACGTGCATGTTCAAACAGCAAGTGAACTATTCGATTCGAACTCTCAAAAAATAATGACCAAAACTTTACGTGCTTTACTGTTTATAATCAAGAATCAACTGGTGTCTTATCAGAACTAGGACAATGTAAACAATCTAGCATACCAACATTACGAACAAACTTGCACTTGTCTCTGAAAAATACTGAACACTACACACTTCCGAGAGAGAGAAATCGAATACTTTTTGCCTTAATATAAAAAAAAATATGTATTGCTAGCTTGAAAATACATGTAAAAGCGAGAAATTTGTTGAAAATCATTTATTAAAACATGAATAACTCTTTCATAAAGGCCCGTCACAGGTGAAAATCTAGTGTATTATTTGGTGAATTTGCTTTTTGAACGTAGCAGCGGGAGTTTTAAATTGCCGAATTTAAGATCATGAGGTGCTCTACTTTGTTTTCCCAGGTGAGTTTCTTTCGTTACCACTTATAGAATTTGAATGAACTGGTGCGTTAGAGTCTTCAGGGAAATTTCACGCTTAAATACATACAGGCTTGTAATGATTAAAACTAGACTCTCAGCATTAAAAGAAATAAAATGAAAGAGCTCAATAGTAGCTCAATAGGTGGGAACCCACCTACTTACTTGTATTTGATAATTTTTACTTAAATTATTCATTCATACATATTTAACTTTTAATACTAATACTTACTTAATTTTCAAATTTAATTACCTCTTTTCATTTATTAGTTTTAATTTTCATAAACCGCAAGTATTATTGTCCAAGGGTAAGGGTGAATATTTTCCGTAGAATTAAAAGGGTCTGGTAACAGTATTTGATGATGGGTAGTTATCCGTACCTCCGGAGTCCGGAGACGAAAAAAATAAATTTAGGCAAGGTCTATCGACCATGAAAAGTACACTGAAAAAAAAACTCCGGCCATGGGAGTTTTTTCTTCAGTGTAGGTAGGTATAGGTACCAGATACCTATTAGGTATACCATATACTCTGATGATGTTTGAATTTTAGATTGAATGGTCAATATCTGAGTAATGGTAAAATTTATCGACGTATAAAGGTGCGGATATTACTTTACTTTGCTCCGTGAAATTTACCCACTTTAAATAATTACTACCTATGAGGGTTTGCAAGGACTACATATCCATGACTCATAAAAGAAACTTTTCTAATAATAATAAAGGAACTCTCGCTGACATAACGAATGGACTCACTGAGAGATCGACTTAACCATGGGCGTACGATGGGAGGCCAGGTCCCCCTAGAATTGAAAATAGTATCATGGCCCCCCTGCCCCCCCTTCCCTAGAAATTCTAAGTGGTGGGAAGAGACCTTCGTCGAGGATGATTGTCTCACTTAACGTTGAGTCTAAATTGAAAACACCGTGTTCATTCACTTAGTATTTTCTAAAATTTTCATCATGGAGGCCTCAAAACGCGTCCATATAGAGTTAAAATTGAAAAAAATTCTGTATCTATTCAATGCAATAATTTGAAAGTATTCTTTGTCAAAAGTATAAAAATGAACGTGATTTTCCCGCAGAAATTAATGGAAAATCTGCGTCATGGAAGCCTCAAAATGCGTCCAAATAGAGTTGAAATTTAAACAGATTTCCAAAAGAGGCTTCCCAGAATCCCCGTGGTGGGGAGGCCAGGCCCCCCTAGCAAAATGACCTAGGTACGCATACGTATCGACGGCGTAAGTCCGCAATCACATGTCTCGTTGGCGGTGTCTGAAAATCTCCGCCTCTACGTTATTCTTTTGAAGGAGAACCAATTGACATCATTCCATGAAGTTTTTGCAGAATTTTCTTCGTACAGAGAAGAAAAATCACGGCAGTTTTAAAGAAGTGCCATTGCGCAGTTTTCCGTTTAAGAAATAAAGTATGACGGGAAGTATGCAATGTCGCACTGAAAAAAAAATCTCGGTGTATTTACTAAGAAAAGGGTAAAATTACCAAGAATTCAGGGTTCTATTTGATCCCAATTTTTTCTGGGTAAAATTACCATTTATGGAATTGGTAATTTTACCGAGGAATCTCGGTTAAATTATTGAACTTTCTCGGTAATTTTATTGGACCTTGGTAAAAACGCCAATATTTTTTATCGATTGTGGTAGAATTACCGAGATAAAATGGCAAAGCTACCGGGAATTGATTACCAGTAAAAGTGGTATTCTTACCTGAAAATAACAGTTAAAGTACCAGTTTTTGGGTAAGCTTACCAGTCTGTCTTGGTAAAATTACCAATAATTGGTAAAAATAAATTGAGATGGTAAAGGTGCCAACGGACCTTGGTAAAAACGCCGAGAATTTTTTTTAGTGCGCAAACAGAGTTATGTGAATGCTCATTTACACTGTCGATATGGACTTAACTCGGAGGAGTTCGATGTCATCTGAGCATAAACCAGACAAACAGAAAAACCTGGCCTGCAAAAATCCCGGGTCACTGTATCAGTGTTTTTGAGAAAATTTTTGACGCGCTGAATCCGAATTCCAACTTTCAGCCGAAAAATTCGCTTCAAAACGTTGCCAAAACTCTTTTTCGCGAATTATGACCCTAAACTCACTATGAGTTGATCTGCGGACAAAATTAGTTATTTTCAAAATTAAAGCCGGTTTTCCCCCTTTGAATTGATTTTACGTAGTTTTTCGCTCAAGGCAAAACTGAACGCGCTGAAAGCAGCCCTTCAGCGCCGAATTTAGCAACTCACCGGCACGAAATTTTTGGTCCTACGCTGAAATTCGGATTCAGTGCTTCAAAACTTCATAAGAAGCATTGCAAACATGGGCAACCGATTTCAGCAGATTATGGCTCCTTTCATGGACCCGGCAACGCTTTTGGGAGGAATGAAATGCTGACCATGATCTTTTGAAAAAGAAGGAAATACTGACATTTAGAGCCTCTGGGACTTACCCAAACAGGATTTTATGTAATTTGACTACACTTCGCAATAAGAAACCACTACTGTGTAAGAGCACACCCTTTCAACATTCAACATCGGAAGGTATTATGCGATGGTTTGCCAGGAAGAACGCATTAAAAATGACAAAAGAACGACTCATTTAGGTACATGCGTGGAGGAAAACTTCAAAAATCATACGCAGATACGCATTTTTTTTAGTGCGAGATGCCAGCACTGTTGGATACAATTTAACAATCAATGCATTTTTCAGAAAATTGACTGTGTCGCGACAGGAATCCAGCGTTGTCAGATGACAACGCTGGAATTAAATCAAGGTGTAAGAAAAACATGCAAATCGGTCTCAGTTGGTATCGCATGCGACGAACACTAAGCGAATTGCATTATAACGCCTGCGGATGCAACTATTCGAGCTCTACGGATGTCCATGTTGCATAAGCACGGAGGTGAAGGCGTTTTGACTTTTCAGGCACTCACCGCTTCATCCGCGATGACCGCGATGAGGCGCGGCAGGCAGCATTGCGTGCACCCAAGAGGACAGAGCGCCTTCAATTCATCGCTTATACTACAAAGACACCTCTTTAACACAAATAATCAGTTGCTCTATAGAAATCACTTTTACTACATCGTGACATCAAATCGAAGCACCAAAGATATACGTACTCACATCCTACGCTTGAGTGCAACCCAACGATCCGAGCTATGTTCCAAATTTGTGCGAAGAAGTTCCGAAAAATGCTTTGATTTTTTAAATTTATTACAACGTTACCCACCTGAAATGTTGGCTAGGGCCCCAAATTTACGGATCTAAGAACGACGAATGCGGCACAATGATTTCTTGGAAAACTTCAGGGAAAATTTCTCGAGTGCGCAACCTAACACATTTTTTACTTCAAATTTTGCTATGTTTCTGAGTATTTTTCTTTTCTTAGCGGCTTAAAAGTAGGCAAGAAGTGTCGCTCTTTCAAATAACGGTAGAACTAAATGACTAACTTAATTAGGAATTGGAAAACAATTTATTTACATAATTACAATTTCTTTTTACACGTGTGTCCAGTGTGTTAAAACTAGGAAGACTAGATAGTGGATTGCTTCGAAACAAACAAAAAGAAAAAAAAAACGATTGAGTGGTAGAAAAGGCAGTCACAGCAGACTAAATACGTACTTGTACCAAAAAAAAATTTCTGGGCAAAAGTGACAGTTCTCTCTCATTAGGCTTTCCGAAAGAGTCCATATATCAAATAACACGAAAAAATATTGAACCTTCATGGAATGAAGATTCCTTTTCTTCGACTGAATTTTGATACAATAAATATTATTTGCACATAACAAGGTAATGTTTTTTTGGTGTGAATTATCTAGACAAATTTTGTTGAATTAAAGAATTTATTATAAAACTAGTTTATTTTCAGAATTTGCAAGGCAAACCTCTTTACGGGCCAAATTTGACTGGACTTTAAAAGATAAAATACCACACAAGAGAAAGTCGTCAAGCCTGCCCTGCTCCCGAACAAGCCTAAAAGATACGCTGGTATGAAGGGAACTGTCAGTCAAGCACCTAAATATTAGAGCTAGTTTTTCAACTGCAAATGAGATCATGAGGAGGAAAAATCTTTTCATCACAAAATGAGATCATAAAAAGAATAAATTGTAACCAGACATTGGCGGATCCAGCAAATTGGCAACATTATTTCTCTCCATTTAAACCTATGGAAATGTATCGATTCTTGAAGGGGCCAGGTGCTCCGACAGGAATCGATTATTTAGCATAGGTTCAAATGAAGGGAATCCAGTTTTGCCAAATTGCTGGATCCGTCTCTGGTCATAGATGAGATCACGATTGAGATATTGTTGTCATGCAACTCACATAAAATGCCTTTCAACGTTAAGGTTGTTGAAACTAAAAGATGAGAGGGGGGGTTGAGGGTTATTGTGGTTGCTTAGGACGGTAACATCAGGAGGTGGGGGCGGCAGTGGCCCTGGAGGCACAAAGTAGTGGAGAGGCAGCAAAGTTTGCTCATGGTCGAAAACTTCATGCGAGCCTACGCCCGGATAACGGTGCAGCGAGTCATGCACCAGTTTGGTGCGACTCAAAGAATGGCAGTATGGAGATTCAACGGGCATCGTATCTGAAAAAAAACGAGGTGAAGAAAAATAAATATTACTCCAGATTATCAAAACTTATTTTTTGAAGGACCTAATTATTTTTTTTAAATATTTCAGAAACGTATACAAGTCGAATCCAAAATGACGTTGATAGTTTTAATTCAAAACACTCCAATTTTAAAGAGGTTACACCCAAGTAGCACAGTGCAACGAAAATATTGAAATTAAATCGCAATTTAATTAATACAATAAAATTTTAATTGTTTACCATTAAATAGCGATATGTTTACATCATTAGTCAATTTATGCCGACTTTAAACAATCAAAAAAAATGAGCTCTTCATGTGTCAGAATGAAGGCAACATGCAATGCAATGAAAAATTGCAACTGATTTCAATTTTATTACAAAAAGTTTCAATAAATGGAACCCCTTCAAACAGGAGTTAGGCAACATACTCAACACTCAGCGGAATTGCAATATTTTTACTATGTAATTGCTACTTGTAGCAATACTGCAATCTTCTGTATTATCTGCTGGTAAAACAACTTAAATTGGACTGCGTTAAGTAAACATGAACCGAGCCACGTCAGCGATTGCCACATATAATTGAAAAAGTTGATATTTTACATAAAAACGGTTGTGCAGATTTTTTAACAAAAAATAAAATTTTTGCATTCCTCAAAATTTTTAAAAAAAAATCCGCACGAACGTTATCTTGTAATAATTTAAATTGCTCAATTAAATTTGTCAATATAGCTGACGTGGATTGATTCTTTTCTGCTAAACGCGGTCCAATTGTACGGAATTGAAATAATAAAATCGCAATCTCACAGAGATATAAAATAAAAGAGGCCAATAATGCATTTCCGAGTGCCTGTCCATTTCCTCAGGACGGATTCCGATAAAACTTTCTGCCTCCTATGTTGCCGCCTAGGAATTTTAAAAATCAATTATCCAGCCCTTCCTGATCACATTAACCAAACCAAATCTTCCCGATTTTTATTTATTTCCATCCATTCCACAGTATCGAGTTTACACATCTATCCCTGAAGTTGATTAAAATATCGCCGAGTGTTCGATTACGTATGACTTTCGTAAATAGTCGACAACAGGTGAATTCTCAGTACGTTCGAGTTTATTATTTCGATTCCATACACTGAAAAAGAAAGTCCGGTCGTAAAAACCAAAGGTTAACAAACAGTTATCCCTAAAAGTGGCGGAAGTTGAAATCCGCTGATAACACAGACACGCATGGGCTTCAATTACAAAATTTAATTGTTGATGCTTTGCTCTCGGTTGGATCTTTTACTGAACCGTATGAAAGATAGGAAATGTTCTCACCACGATTTGGACTCCTTTGACCTCTCCTCATAGTGCCAAAACTGTATTCACAATTCCAATTCAAGTAAGGGTAGTGTCCTGCGTAACTATTCTGGAACCTGTGACACATTGTGGCAGCGATTTTCCTATTTTCATTCTGTAAAGATCAAAATACAACTTTGAAATGTACCAAAACCTGAGGACACCTTCAACATTTTCTGACAAAATTGCATACCTAAGGATTACCCAGACTAAGGACTAGAGAATCTTAATTGAATATTCCGTCTTCAAGTCGGATTCATGATTTATAAAATTAATGATTGATGAAACTATAGAATTAATTTTTATAGAGAATTCTGACCAATCTGTTTTCTCATGTGCATGTTTAAAAATTGATTTTTTGATCGAGGTATAATAAACAGATGTATATTTTCTTTGAAGCGAGTATTTTTGATTCACGTTGAAGGTATTGGTAGATCGCTATTTCTTTCGTTACTATGATGTCTTACCAAGCGTCATTTGATACGCAAGAATTCATAAAACAAATTCAAGCAATTTCCAATAACCTCCAGATAATCAGGAGCTTTCAAAGCTTTGAAAAAAAGTCAACAACTAGCATTATCTACAGCTGCAACAACCATGTTGATACCTACATTTTTTTTTTTCATTTTCTGAACTGAAATTTATCGTAAAAAATGAAAGTAATTCCACACAGAAAACCTGAATCTACTCCTTAGCGAAAAAAAAAATCTTCTAAAAAGACAAGATTCAACTCGAGAGAAACTTTCACGACTTCATCATGATTCTAGTTAGGATACCTACATTTCCCCGTAAAAAAACTTGCGGACATTATTGCTATGAAACTATGTTTGGTTCATTATTTGATGCGGTATTATTTTGGGATTTACTTACGGTGATATCGGGATTTGGGTCGGTGAAAGTTTCACTTTTCTCCGATATACTACTCAGTGTTTCTGTCGTCCCTGTTCCTGTGAAAAGGCTCGGAGATGTGAACATTTCTAATGAATTTGTTTTACCAGATACTTGCTTTTCTTTCCCTGAAAATTCAGGCACAGTAAATGAATTATTTTCTGGCGAGCAGTTAACTTGAATAGAAAAATCATGAATAGGATCCCTAAAAATCTTAAAGGAGTAATGTTCGTAACCTAGGACAATTTCATAAAGAAAAGAGTGTTGGTGGAGTACGTGCTATGAGAGTTCCAAAATGCCACAAGGTATGATTATATAGTAAAGCCGGGGAGTGCCCCTGGACCCGCGGTTCCTAGCTTCGCGCCGAATTTGCAGCTCGCTCCGCAGCCGCCCTTTATGGCATTATCTTTAATGAAAATACTAAATCTTCGTCTTCATCTTCTTATTCACTGAATTGCACATAAATCGATAAAGCTAGAGCCGAGGAAGAATTTTAAGCCACGTTCGCCATCTTGGATTCCGAGCTTTTGAAATTCTAACAAACAATTCGAGTTTCCCGTCGTAAAATACCCCCGGATACCGAGTTTCACAAAAATCGTTCGAACAGTAACCAGGATAGAATTTTAGGCCGCGGCCGCCATATTGGATATTGAAATTTTAAAAATCGGACCAAAATTTCAAGTTTCCCGTTGAAAAATACCCCCTCACCCTGAGTTTCACGAAAATCGATGGAACAGGAGCCGAGATAGCATTTAAGACCACGTTCGCCATCTTGGATTTTCGAATTTTGAAAATCTGACCACAAATTCGAGTTTCCCGTCCTTAAATACCACCTGCCACCGAGTTTCACAAAAATCGATCGAACAGGAGTCGACACAGCATTTCAGGCCACACTGAAAAAAAAGTAGCTTGGATCAAGCATTGATGATTCTTGAATTTGCCGCCAAGAAACTTTTTTTTCTTGCTTTAAGCTGATTTTCTCTTGATAAAAGAAAAATAATGCTTGGGTTAAGCAAAAAAGTAGCTTATATAAATCAGAAAAATTCTTGATTTAAGAAGAAATACTTCTTGGCGGCAAATTTAAGATTTTTTTTTCCAGTGCACGGCCGCCATCTTGAATTTTGAAATTTTGAAAATCTGACCAAAAATTTTAGTGTCAAAAGTTTGGGGGAGGAGTTAAGGGCGGTGGCGAGGGGCGGGGACACTGTCTAGCATCGGCCGCGGCGGGGGAACGGGTAGAGCGGCGCCGGACGGGGCGGGGCGGGAGGCTGTCGCTACGAGCGATCTGAGGGCCAGCGCGGTTCGCGGTGCGGTGCGGCGCATGAGAGGGGAATCCTCGGACCCGAATCTCTTGCGCACGATCAGTTTTAATATGGAGAAAATGATTACGAATTCCACGTCAGGATTTCGAATCGCTTTCTGGTGAGAAATTAGAATAATAAAGTAAAGTAGGCAATGCCCGGCGCCGGTGTAGTTCTGGTTAAACTCGTTCAATTAATAAATCATAATGTAAAAATGGAAGGATTCCATTCAGCTTTATAATATTCCACGATTTACTCGGGTCAAAAAAAAAAAAAAAAAAAAAAAAAAAAAAAAAAATGGCGGCGACTTCAGGTGGGAGAAAGTCATAGAGTACATAGAGTCGTAATGTAAATGGGAGAGCTGGCGCCATGTTCTGCTCGACGAATTCCGAGCCCGGTGTGCGCCGAGTTCGGGTCGCTTTTTCGATACATTTTCGATCCAAAATGGCGGTGTGGAATACGTGGCAATTCCTATCTCCGTTGTTGTTGTTGTTGTTGCCATCGGATGGCCGGGTACCCGTGTATCGCTTAAAAGTGGCGCCAGCTCTCCCAATTACATTACGACTCTATTAACTCTATGGAGAAAGTGTGAGCGCAGCGGTTGAGAAGGGACTTATTGCCAACCTTTGACGTTTATTACTCCGCCTATTACCATATTTTATACCATAGAGGCGTAAGTGTAATTGATGTTTTCAAACCCAATACAAAAAGTTGGATTTTGTCTACCTTCGGGATGGGAGTAAATCTTACATTCGTATTGGCAAATAAAACCTCATTATCTACATTGGCAAATGATCTGCAACTGACCAACGCCATTCGTTTATCTTAATGGCCTCGTGAAGTCTTATGAGAAGAGAAACGCGCACGAACAAAAACCACGCCATTGCACTACGCAGATCACTGTGAGATCGTGCGCAAATTCGCAGGCTGCTCTGATTGGACGTTGCTAGAGCCACGCCTCTTCCCGGCCATCATATCCCTCTCAACCGTTCTCCTACTTCTATTCGATCATCAAATTAAACCAATCAGAAACACGGACGGACAAAAACCACGCCATTGCCCCGCGCAGATCGCAGTGAAATCGCGCGCAAATTTGCAAGCGGCCCTCATTGGACGCTGCTATAGAGCCACGCCTCTTTCCCCCGCATTGACCTCTTCCCTTCCATCTTATCCCACCGCTCAACCGCAACCCAACCCCCGCCATCGGATTGAATCGAACCAATCACGCGCAAAGCTGCTCAGTGGCCGTTGCTAGGGCAACGCTTCTTTTCCCCGCGCTTAACCCTTCCCTACCGTCTTATCCCACCGCTCAACGTTGCCCCTACTCCCGTTATCTGATGAAATCGGACCAACCACGCGCAAAGCTGCTCATTGGCCGTTGCTATGGCAACGCTTCTTTCCTCCGCACTAACCGCTTCCCTGCTATCTTATCCCACTCAACCATGTCCCTTTATTCCATTCGCTCTTCAAATTATACCAATCAGGAACACGTACGAACAGGACCACGGCATTGCAACGCGCAGATCGCTGTGATACCTCGCGCAAAGCAAGTTGCTCATTGGACGTTGCTAGCGTCACGCCTCTTTTCCCCGCACCGGCCCCTCCCCTACAATCTTATCCCACCGCTTAATCGTTCCCCTATTCTCATCTGATCAAATGGACAACTTTATGCAATAAGGAACTAGGGTCAAATTTTCGATTTTTTTTATGATGGATTCCGTATCAGGAGGGTATTTACTTACTATTGAGAAAAAGAAAATCCTCAAAAACGATTTTTATGCCGCTTCAGCAACCCCGCGAAAATTAGCCGTCGCGCGAGGTTCATTTTGCAATTGGGACCTATACTATGGTTCCCTATTGCGTAATGCGAAACTCGGATTTCCCATTTTGCAATTCGGAACTATAGGCAGACGGAAAAATGCTATCTCGGCATTCTCGGCTCCTGTTCGACCGATCTTGTTGATTTTTGGTGCCAGGCGGTATTTTTCGACGGGAAACTCGAATTTCTGGTCAAATTTTGAAAATTCGAAAATCCAAGATGGCGGATGTGGCCTAAAATGCTATCTCGGCTCCTGTTTGATGGATCTTGCTGATTTTTGGTATCAGGGGGTATTTTTCGACGGGAAACTCGAATTTCTGGTCAAATTTTGAAAATTTAAAAATCCAAGATGGCGGATGTGGCCTAAAATGCTATCTCGGCTCCTGCTCGATCGATGTTGCTGATTTTTGGTAATAGGGGGGTATTATTGGACGGGAAACTCGAATTTTAGTCAAATTTTGAAAATTCGAAAATTCAAGATGGCGGATGTTGCCTAAAATGCTATCCCGGCTAGTGCTCCATCTACCGCGGTGAATCTTGGTACCAGGTAGTAATTTAGGATGGGAAACTCGAATTTCTGATCAAATTTTGAAAATTCGAAAATCCAAGATGGCGGATGTCCAGATAGGCAGACGGAAAAATGCTATCTCGGCATTCTCGGCTCCTGTTCGAGCGATCTTGTTGATTTTTGGTACCTGAGGGTATTTTTCGCCGGGAAACTCGAATTTCTGGTCAAATTTTGAAAATTCGAAAATCCAAGATGGCGGATGTGGCCTAAAATGCTATCTCGGCTCCTGTTTGATGGATCTTGTTGATTTTTGGTACCAGGAGGTATTTTTCGACGGGAAACTCGAATTTCTGGTCAAATTTTGAAAATTCGAAAATCCAAGATGGCGGATGTGGCCTAAAATGCTATCTTGGCTCTTGTTTGATCGATCTTGCTGATTTTTGGTACCAGGGGGTACCCTAATAGCACACCTAGTTTTAGAGATGTTTTTAAAATGTGTCAATGACACCAAGCCTCATTTCTGAAATGTTTCACGTGGCACTTTAAAAACCCGAATGAAGTGTCAAACACGAAGCCACTCTGTGTTCAACATATTCCCATGTCACCACATTTTATTCGTCTGTGAAACATTTGCAGATTGTGTTACCGAAATGTTTCGAATTTATTTTTTACATATTTGAATGACACACTGGGCAAAGGTCTCCGTTGGCAGTGCATTTTTGACACATTTCTGACACATTTGTAAAACAATGAGCCTTTAAACTCAGATTTTCCTCTGATTTTCTAAATGTTCATGACGCATTTTTGGTATAATCACTACAGTCCATGTAATGTTAAACACCAGCCCACTCTTTGTTGAATACATCCGCATGCATGTCACTACTTCTTATTCGCAGGTACATCTGAATTTCATCCATACAGTAAGTTTAGATTGGGACCATCTGAAGTCAAGTTTTAGGTGAGGACCAACGTCAGCCTTGTGTTCTTCCACCACCAATCCTAATGAATGTGTGAATTATTTATGATGTTTTTCTGTACTTTTCTTGAACGCATAGCTCAACCTGCGCTCTAGATGACCTGAATTTTTTGCTTTTATTTTGCAAATGCTACATTCACAGGGTTGCAAAGAAGGGGGAAAAGAAATTTTGAGTTTAATTAGTGTTTGAGATACTTAGTACGCTTATTTTTCCAAATTATGCATTAATTCGCAGAAAATTTGCTTGAACAACTCATATAGGCCATTTTTGTAAATGCCTAAGATTTCTAAAAACATGTCCAAGTTTTCCAAACCAAAACTGCCTCTGCATCAGGGATTTAGAGCTGAGGTTTGAGGGAGCATCATAAACGGAGCCGCATCGGCGCGCGAGGCGGAGGCCCGGCGCGGACTTTCATGCCGCATCGATCAGTGCGCCGGGGGAGCGCATATGCCGTTGAGGCGGCTTCACCTGGTGAAGCCGACTCCCGGCTCCTTTTCTGATGCTGCATCAGTTTTGATGCTGAGTCCAGCATCAAAATTAGCGGCTTCAATTAGCAGACGCGTCGGACGCCAGCGCCCCGGGCCCGGCTGCCGGTCGGCTAACACCCTTCTTCGGCGTCCACTTCTTAGAACTTCTCAGCGAGGCGTGGGCCGCCGCCAAGACAAAGGGGTGTTCCGCGAATTCATCGCCGAGTCCGAGGGTCGCGGTCTTCTGGGACAGCCCCGTCGGTAATTAAGCTGGGTGGCGGGTCCGAAAATTGAGGCCGTATCGGGCCGCAAGCCACGGTCCGGCCTCAGAGGCTGAGGCCCATGTTGGTCCCTGAGCCAGCATCAAACCTCAGCATCAGCGCTTGAGGCTGGCTCGGTCGGCTCTCCAGCATCGGGCTTCAATGCCCGAAGCCGGCGGCCGGCAGGTTGAGCGCATCAGGCTCTGAGCCGTATGCCCGAACGGTCGCTACCTGGGCATACGGCATTGATGCTGAGGCTACGAGTCGATGCTGTACAGCATAACCTCATGAGGCGCCTCAAATGCCTGCTCTGCATCATTAGTGATGTTATGTATATTTTTCTTGACCCATGAAAGCGAAATTTTACCCTGTGTTAACTGTTAAATCAGATATTTCAATGATTTCTTGCTGTACTATCAAATACCCGGGGGCTAAGGAGTAATTTCAGGTGATTCTCTCTTATTGGAAATTGAGATGAGACAAGTAATTGTTCATTTTATTCATTTTCAGATGATCAAAGTAGATTGGTTAACTCACTCTTAGTTCTCCCAATTTTACTGCCATCGCTGACATTGAGAAAAAATTGGAAGCCGTCCAAAATTGAGACAAAAGACGCGTTTTTCCTGCATCGTGAATCACGCCCTGCAGCACTTGATCGACTGAAAGCGAGAACTGAGAACTGCTTATTTGAAACAGTATCAATTACCACCACAACCCACTCCAGTCCTGATTGGTCCTACGCACAGTCGCGAAGCCTATGTTGTCATCGGGGATGTTGTTTACGTGTTGGATTCAATTTTGAAAGCGATGATTGATGTTTGCTGTAAGTAAATGATAACTCTGGATGCAGAGCCACCAAAAGATTGTACTTTACCTTGGCTCTTCATTCTAGCTTTTATTTATGGAGTACACAAAACCGCTGTCATCAAATACCCTGCCTTGATGACTCTCAAGAATGATCTCGGGCTTTAACAGTTTTTTCTCTGATGCCATTTCAGCTTTTGATATCCATGTCAAAAGCACTTAACTCTTTTCATACTTCCGATTTTGAACAATGATTTTTTTTAAAGGAAAAACACATAATATTTACTGTAATGATAACAATAATTAACGATATGTAATAATCAAACAAATACCAAACCCTCCTCAAATGAACAAGCACAATGAACTAATTATCTAGACCTGAATATTACAGGAAAATTAAAGAAAAGTAAAACTTTTTAATTAATCAGTAGCAGTTAAGTTTGGGAGGACTCACAACACAACAACATAAATCAATTTTTACCACCTTCGGGCGGTCCTCGTTTTTCAAGATGTTCGTATGTTTTAAATGTAAACGCTCAATGGAATCTTTAGACGGTCTTTTGGAACATTTCCGACGTATTGAAAAACTTACTGCAACCATTGATCCAGTGAAATGCTGTCACAAAGGAACGTGCTCTCGCACGTTCACCAATCAGCGTTATTTTGTGCGACATTTTTTGAAAGAACATTCCGTTCAGAATGTTCCTAATATTACAGAAAACGAAGAAATGGATATAGTTTCTGACGAGTTAGGACCAAAACTTTCCTCGTGCTTGAATACTAGTGTAAATGTATTGTGTCGTCCAACATTAGTTTCTCAAAGTCAAGAAGACTTCGAAGGTGGATGCTCCTTTGATACAAGCGTTTCTAGTGATGATCTGAAAGAAGCCCAAGGACAAAAAGTCTTTGCATTTTGCAGTTCATTATACAGTTCTCCAGGTATCCCATTAGCTCATGCACAACAAACAATTAAAAGTACGATTAATCTTGTTGAGTGCATTAATAGTGCCTATAAACAGNTTCTGCGAATATACACGTAGCCGTCTCAATTTTAATCTGATGGTGACGCCATTTTCCGAAAACTGAATCTCACCTCACTGCCAACGGCCGTGGAAGCGGTTGGTTCCGATCCTGAAACCCGTAACTTACGCTCGGCTCCTAACCGGTCTTACGGCCACGAAGGCCGCGCGCGTTCCACGGGACATCGGCCGCGGCGTCCGGTACTAGCTGGCTGACGGTGCGTTAACACCGGGATCACCAGTGTCCAGAGCAACCGGGTCACAAGGCCGTAGTTTTTTTTTTGGAGTGTATAATTCCAACTATAAATGTGAGAACATTTTGATGAGAGAAGGGTCTTACTTTGCCCCGGAAGTTAAAAGTTTAGGGTATGTTTTTAAAAGAAGAAAATTTAAGAAAAGATACTGTGTTATCCGCGTAAAACTCCCCATTGTGCATGTTCAACTGAGGAATGTTCTTCAAAAACTCCTTGAGCAAAAAGGTATGTTCTTCCCCGCATACTTCAGTATATGGAGGCATTAAAGATGGAAGACCAAAATTTGAAAACTGTATTCAAGGTAATTTTAATTACGGTTTAATTGCGAGAAATGTTGTTGAAACATACTGGTATCGTTTGGAGCATTAAAAATATTCGATAGAAAGTCTATATAAGAAGTCAAATTCTGAAATAAGCGTCTTACTAATTAATTTTGTCCTCACTCATTTCCGACAAATTTCTTCACTACCTCAAATTTTTCTGAGTGATGAAGTTTCTTTTTTCTTTGTCTCTCTTTCTTAACTCGAAAACTGCGTTGGGTATGCTCGAAATGTCTACTGAAAAGATGAAAGGATCGATAAATCGTCGGAGCTTTTCCGAAAAAAAATTGTCTCAGTTTTATTTCGCAAGAATTTTCTCACCGATGCCGCGATCCACGGATCGCATGATCCAGCACATTTTGCACCCCTGAAAATATCTGAGCGGGGAGATCGGCCCGATAAAACATCGGAATGCGATATATTGCACGTTGAAGATAGAGCTCAGTATTGTCTTATCGTGCTGACATAGTTTCAAGAATCGGCCCGCGGACATGAAAGTTTCTAGTTCTATGGAGTTACTGCTTGAACTCATTGTCAGTTGAAAATTTTGCTGGAACTCAATGTCAGTTGTAAATTTCACGAGCTGCAAAAAAACTTACCACCAGTGAATTTCTCTGATCGCTTATAGAGACAACAGCCAAGGAGTACTGCGTTTATGAGGAGGAGCATTGTCCCGACTCCAAGCCCAAGAAACAGGAGACTCCGATCGCCGTTTATTTTACCCGCGCTCAGTGAAAAAGCTGATGTTGGACCTAAAATGGATGAATAAGATTATTTATAATTTAAAAAAAAAAAAAAAAAAAAAAAAAAAAAAAAAAAAAANAAAAAAAAAAAAAAAAAAAAAAAAAAAAAAAAAAAAAAAAAAAAAAAAAAAAAACAGAGGAATTCATGAATGCAATTTTCCGAAAAGCACTCCGAAATCAGTTGAAACCTGAAGGACATCTTTCAGAAGGCAGGGGTGTTGATATTTCACTGGCGTTCTATCTATTCTATTTGATGATAAGAGACTCTTCTATCACTATCATATTTTTTCCTAAAATACACTCATATTGATGCTAAACTCAAAATAAACCATGAGATGTGCCAAAAAAAGTAAAATTGCACATACAATTTGGGTTAAACTGTATTCAATATGAAATGGAATACAGTGGTAGGTAATGAAAACTTTGTAGAAGTGAAAGAAAGCATTTTTACGTAAAAAAAAAAAAAAAAAAAAAGGATTTCCTCACTAAAATATTAAAACAGTTTTCAAAGAACTTTATTTTTAAAATTGAATTTTTTTTAGTTTCTTCTGAAACAGCAAATCGACAGGGAAACTCCCGAACTATACGTATTTCAGTTTTGCCGACTTCTGTCGTATTTTATTTTTTCAATGAAAAACTTCTCAGCGTCATGACGTTTAAAGTCAGTTTTAAATAATTAGAACTCTTCAGAGCTTCCATGATTTATCTTCTCTGTGGAAAGAACATTCTGTGAAAAATTAATGCAAGAATGTTGATTTCCTTTTCCTTTAAAAAAATAAAACAGAAGCGGAGATGTTATAACACCGCAAACGAGATACGTGGTTTGAGACTCTCACCATCGAAATGCTACCACACTGAAAAAAAAGATTGGTAGAATTAACCATTCCTTCACGCTGTATTTCAGACAGCGCGAATTCAAAGTTGATTCTGCCAGATAAATGGTTACCTGTACCAGTATATAGAAACGTTTCCCTGTCTTCCGGCGAAATTGACTCTGGATTGACGCTGTGTGCAATACAGCGTGAAGGAATGGTAAATGGACCACTAGACAAGGTTCGAATTTAAGCCTTGTGATACATGTTTCATTACCAAAATTTCATGTAAAACACGATGCGCACAACGAAAATTACCGAAATCAACTTCTTACGAAGATATTTAATGATTCTTGATGCGTGAATTCAAACCTCTCGCCTTGAAAACTCCATGCTCTACGTGACTCACATCGCGCGCTAAACGTTATCATGACAGTCTCTGCGATATAAAAATCTGGCAACCTCAATCTTGACGCTTTGGCTCAGCTGTAGCAAATTGCTTATAGTTTGAACAACTCATGGTGGAAAATGAACATTGCTCGATTGAGAAGCTTGCTGAAACCGTTGCAGTGCACGATTTGACTCACGTAGAGCTTTGAGTTTCTTGTGAGCGGGCAGTTCAAATTCCTCGTAGCCTATGTGAAATAAAAACGTTAATATCTCCGTTAGGAGTTGGTTTCAGTAATTTTCGTTGTGCGCGTCGTGCTTCACGTGAAATTTTGGTGAAGAAACATGAATGAGGATGCTGAAATTCGTACCTTGTCTAGTGGTCCATTCTACCCATCTTTTTCTTAGTGCAGGGAGGCCTCAAAGTATATACTTACTCAAGGTAACCCCTTTGATAGTATCAGAGTAGAATCTGCTAGTCCCGTATTTGTTGATTGCCCGTATGCTGAAGATATACTCTGTCCCCGTCCTGAGGCCTGAAATTATAGTTTGCGAGACGTTGGACGGGACTTTATGGTAGCTGTCCATGAGATTGGAGGAGTGGGCTTGTCGGAAGCGGATCTGGAAGTCGGCCGGGTCGCCGCCGTCGAAGCCCGGGAGCCAGGCGAGCATGACCGAGGTCTGCGTGAAGTTGACCACGCGGAAGTTGAGCGGAGCGTCCGGGATCGACGGCTGTGTGAGCTTCACCACTGATGAGGAGTAGCCGAGGACGTTGCGCACCACGCAGTTGTAGTTACCATAGTCGCTTCCTTCCACGTTCGTTACCAGCAGTTTCGAGAGGTATTTTGTACCCACCAGCTGAAAACCAATGATTCTTCATGACAAAAGCTCCTTGAAATGGAACACCGAAAAAAATAATACACTGAAAAAAAAAAGTTCGGTAAATCCGAACTAGTTAGGATCATATGGAACCAGGTTTTGTTCGGTACACACAACCAAATTATTCGGTCTGTTTAACCGAATTGTTCGGTTTGTACGACCAAACCATAATAAATTCTTAAAGTTCGGTTCAGTGGACCGAACAGTTCGGCTGAGCAGACCGAATAATTCGGTCGTGTGTACCGAACAAAATCGTGGTTCCATATGATCCTAACTAGTTCGGATTTACCGAAATTTTTTTTCAGTGTATGCTGTTGTAGCATGTAGCATCTAGGATGTCAAAAATGTGTCTGGTGATCCCAAGATGCTGCCCCCGCAGTTAATTTTACATCCTGTGAATGCAAATTCAACCGCGGGGGCAGTAAAGGCAGCATCTTGGGATCACCAGACACATTTTCGACATCCTAGATGCTAAGACAGCATATTATTTTTTTCGGTGAAGTTTTTCCGGAATGATGAAGGACACTACGCATTTCTAGTTAAGTTGGCGGACGTTTCGGTTTGAAAGACTAGGGACGGTACTCGGTATTAAAGAGAAAATAAGAGTCCGCATTGAATAGGGAAAAGGAGCTTATACTTTTCATCCAATCAGACATCATTCGACGACGACTTTTGAATTCCGTATGGAAAATAACGTGGGAAATCCAAACCACATATTTTTTTCCAATTCAGCCGATTTTTCGGGAGAGAGTTTTCTGCTATGACTGACTTCTCGAGACTTTGGCGTTTCCATTGATGTATGATACGAGCTCATTCCACTTTCTTTAATAAAAAAAAAAAAAAAAAAAAAAAAAAAAAAAAAACACCAAAGATCTTTACTTTTCAACTTTCAGTTTCCTTCTGCTTGGGTCGGTGTCCTACTGACACAAGAAGAAGTAAACTAAAATTTCAAAAATGAAGATCTTTAGTGTTTTTTGGAGAAAGTGAAATGATGCTCGCATTATACACATTCACAGCCAAAACCCAACCCATACCCTCACCCAATAACCCATAACCCATACGCCAGACCCTCGAGAAGTCAGCCATGGACATCATTTTCCGAAAAAATCGGCTGAATTTAAAAAAAAATATGGTTTCCATTTCCCATGTTGTTTTCCAAGGAATGCAAATATGGTCGTCGGGTGTCTGATTGGCTGCAAAGAAGCGCGAGAAAATCAGGCGTGCATGGTTACGTCTTTTCCCTAAGTATTCTATTCGGACTCCTTCTTTTTCCAAAAAAAAAAAAAAAAAAAAAAAAAAAAAAAAAAAAAATCGTATAATGAATAGCAAAATCATTTCAAGAGGCCATTATTTTCTTGATACCAAGTAAAACTTAGAAATAAAGGAGCAATAAACTTTTTTTTTTAATCTACTTTTAAATGAAACCAAAATCAAAGCTGCTAAACATTGTAAGCTGATTGAAACTCACAAGCGGAAACTGATCACGGACTTGTTCTTGCAATATAGGAAATTTACAAACTTGACTAGGACTGAACTAGTTTATACCTGATAGAAGAAAACCTGATATTTTTCTGTTGTGTTTATAGCCAGAGGTGATCCTACTCGATTCCAAGTGAATTTTGGCTTTGGCGCAGCAGAGGCATGACAAAGCAATTGAGCCGTGTTCCCAATATGACTGGCAGCTTTCGTCAACTGAGGAGACAATTCTATTTCCGGTTTATCTGTTGAAAGACGAGATCGGCATTGATTCATGGGTCTCCAATAATGAGACATAAATACTGTTTCCTGGGTCTAGGCTCATGCAAGAAAGATTGCATCACATTCATGCACACTACATTACGAATACAAGTTTTGCCTTGCTAGTAAGCAACAGTTCATATTTTTGTATGTTTTTATTTTCTATTTTACTTTTTAGCGGTAGAAAAGGGTCTTCAACGACTGAGACGTCCCGCTTTGTATACCTACTAACAGCCTGTACCCAGGCCCTCCACAATAGGACCCTGGGACTCCCGTAAGAGCCAATGTAAAAATTGGGGGGGGGGGGGATACTGAGTCCCTGGTACCGGGACCCGGGTCCTGTAGGGGCCCGAGCCCGTGCCGCCGCACAGTGGATCCAGTCAATCAGAGGGGTCGGATATACAATCTTTTACCGAAACTGCTAATTTTTATGTTTATTTCGTCACATTTTAAATGTTAAGGGATGCTCCTAGCAGAAAATTTCACGAAAAAACCAATGGGGCCATTTTTCAAACCTCAAAATTTTGTATGAACGGAGTTATAAGCTCTTAAAGTTTCCAAATATTGTCCGACCTCTCCCATTGACTCGATCCACTGTGCGCCGGTGACAAACCATTGCGAATTCACATGTAACCCTTTGTCTCGTAAGGTAAAGTGAAAAATTTACCCTAAAAATTTAGAAAAAGGTGAATAAATTTTCAAAAGCACACTGGGCACTTTAGAATTCTTCTTTACTTCTTGAAAGATTTCTGTCTATTTTCAAGATTTTTAGTTTAGAATGATATTTTTAGTAACTGCGTTTCATTTTCTTCCATCGTCGGATGCTACGAATCTCTAGTCTGGGTATCCTAGACTTCAATGGCTCGACTCCCTTGCCACAGACGTACGAAAAGGGGGATCCGGCTCCCCTAGAATTGAAAATAGTATCATCCCCCCCCCCCCCGCTAAAAAAATCCAGCAGATGTCTTAAATACAACAGTGCGAAAGTATTTAAAGCTCAAAGTGAAAATAAAAAAAGAGTAATTATTTTGCAGAAATTGATGGAAAATCTCCGCCATAGGAGCTTTAAAATACGTCCAAATGGATTTGCAATTTCAAAAATTTCTCGGAGGAAGACCCTCGGACCCTCCTCTGTGCTGGGGGCCCGGGCCTTAAAACTGGTACCGGGGCCCAAGACGGGATTTGGCGGGCCTGCCTGTACCTCGATTTTTATGCATGTCCTTATGTATTAAGTATGTGGAATTGGGATGAGTAATTATGTTACGTACGTGTATATTCATCGATTTACACCCTCTATGGGCACAAAAATGAACTACAGCTCTTGCAACTGCTTTTCGCGACTGTTAGAGAGTTTGCCGTTGAAATCGCTTTCATCCGACTCAAACAAAAATTCGCGCCTCCGAGAATTTTCAGTTCAGGGCTTTATAGTTTATTCATTTCCAAATAGTGGAGGAGAAATCGTATAAATTCTTACGCTTGAAGAACAAATGAACAGCTTTCTGGACAAGCTTTCCGAGGCCATTGTCGACGATACATTCGTATTCCCCGTAGTCCTCTCGTGAGATGTTCTGAATGATGAGGATCGACGTGCTGTTGACAAACGTTTTGGTGGCTCCGCTTTTGAGGAGGTGCCCTCTCCTCCTCCAAGCAACGTGATCCGTCTTCAAAGGATTGCCTTCCAAACCGCAGACCAGACTCACGTTTTCACCATGACCTGCCTCAATGTTTTCCGACACAGACATGATGGTTGCAGGATCTAAAATCGGATAAACCTCTATGATACACACTCAAAAACATGCTAAGAAGAGCACAGGCCTTGCTGGCTGATTGGTGAAACTGAGGGACAAAGCGATAGACAAAGAAGACATAGCAGTGGCGTGGCGTGAATTGCGATGTATCGATTGATATGTAATTTAAACCTATGGTAAAGAATCGATTATTAAGGTGTTCGCTGCGAACACCCTATTTATCGATCTTTTTCCATAGGTTTAAATGGCAGAGCATTCGATATATCGCAAAGCACGCCACGCCACTGAGACATAGGGAGAATGGAGCGATCCTGTTGGTTAAAATGTGTGCTTCCTATAGAGAAAGGAAGAGAATGATCAAATAAAAAACTGTACGCACAGTCTCTCGTGGGTTGCCGTTAGTGTTATAGTCTAAAATCTAACTCCTTCGTCCACTGCAACCACCCGCTTCCACCAATAGGATCCCTCCAATCCATTTTGTCTCCTTTGTCTATCAATGTCAACAATCAGCCCGCAGGCTCACTTTCGATTTAGTGAAATTTTCAGATTTCGGAGGCAAAAGGGTCAAAGTTTCCGAGAGAGTAAGAGAGAGCAGAACACACAGATGATGCGACATGCACGTCACAAAATGTGAACTGCAGTGTCCCAGGGACGATATAAACTAAAAGTCCAAATGGAGGACCTAGCACACAAGATGAAGGGATTCGGCACCGCCTAAATATTATTATTATTTTTTTATATGATATTCTTTACATCCCCTGATTGAGGACGATGCGTTTCAAAAATCGAGCTTTCAATGTATGCCGATTTTGACATTTTTATGAAGCGGGTCGCTGTCAAGGAGTGAGTTTTTCACAAGAGTGATTTATTCACAAGTACTTCCTCATTCAGATTTGGATATGCTGCTTTTTCAGATCTCACCAGACAAGCCAATAAGTGCACTGCAAGTGGTCATGTTGTTAGTTGAGTATATTATTTCAATTTTGAGGATTTTTTCAGTTTTTGGAATTTACAAAATAGTTGAATCTGCCAAATTTTTTGCATGTGATAGCTTCTTGCTTTTCCAAATATACTTTCTCAAGAAATGTTGGACAAAAATGTCGAATGATGGTCGCCTGAAAAACTAAATTAAGGGCAAAAAATACTGGCACGCCACAACGCCACAATCATGATACATCTTGAGGTACGTACTTAAAGATGTATAGTGATTGTGACTGTCAACTGTGAGAGATTATTAGGTCACTGTCAATAAACTACGAAAAAGGTCACATTTAAAAGCTTCTCTGAGGTCACGGCGTACCTCTATTTCCACGAGAGCCCTTGAAAGCATAGAATAAAATTAAGGGCTCACGTGAAAATTGAGATACGTTCCTACGTCATAGCCGCGACGAAATATTGTACAGTGGATTTAAGCTCACATTGAACTTCTAGGTGAAAAGAGAAAAAAGCTGATCCTTCACTGTTGATAGCCTCGCAAGTATAGATTCCCTCATCTTGACGATCCAGCTTTTCGAAACTTATGGTAGAACCATTGATGAATGATGAATTCACGGGTGACCCATTCTTCGTCCACGTGTAAGTCAAAACAGGAGGATGGGCACGCACTTTGAGCATAACCGCAAACGGCTCTCCTTCAAGCCCTTTCCGCTGATTTTCCATCTCAATAAAAACAGGCTTGTCTATGAAACAAAAGGAGAGAGAGAAAATAAATATCAAAAAGCAACCAGCGCAATTGCAGAGATGGAGAATTTACAAGAAATCTACGCCGATATAGAATGAGACGGCTGCCAATTTATTGCTCAGATGACAGATGGAAGCTGCAGAGTTTTAAATACAAATACCAGTGAATGGATAGCTTGACAAGGGCATATGACTTTAGCTTGATTAAAGTTAATTTAATAATAATTAATTTTACTAATGTTAGTAACGTAAGTATATCGACGGTGAAACTACCGGACCGCACGGGAAAAAAAAAAGTTGGAGTTTGCCACCAATCCTGGTGGAGATGAGAAATTTGGAGCGGGAATCCATCGGAGTGGACTGCCGCTCCGAAAAGGATTTCGAATTGCCGCCACTCTGAGTCGGAGAATGTATGCTGCACCCTCTGTTAGACACAGTCTGCAACATGCGTTTTTCTTTTCCCAATCAACAGTTGGAGTTTCCCTCCAACTTCCTATAATGTGCGGTCTTGGTCTTGAACCTTCGTATTCCGCCGAAAATGTAGTAAATATGTGCTTTTTGTTCACTTGTAATTGTGACTACGCCTTTTCCTTGTGTTAAACCTCGTTTCGTTCTTTCGTGTTAAACTTTTCCCTAAATAATTTGGTAAGTGAAATCATGCATAACAGTTACAATGAGATTCTTGTATGACTTTTCTTCTCTGGTTACGTGGCTTGAATTCTTTCTAACTTCCACTAGAGAGTGCGCTAGTTCAACGGGTTTTATGTTATACTCACCTCCACAGCCTTGGGGACGAACCCGATATTCAAATCATCAGTAAACGACTAAATTAATGATTGTTCTCCCTTATATGTCATCTATACTTCAAGTTTCCATTAAAATGTATTTAGATTATACAACACTGATTCGAAATATCCATATTTTTGTAGGATTTTTTTCTACGGTTATAGCTGTATAGGTCGATTTACGTGAACACGCTCGTTTCCACATGACCAGGTTTTTTGCAGGCCTCAAATCTGCTCAACAATCCCATCATATTAATTTTTTGGGGTCCAAAATTTGTCTTTAAAGCATAATAACTTTTTTAATATTTACTAAGATTTAAAAAAGGCGGGCAGTACGAGTAGATCTGAGCACATTCTACTCAAACATCATAGGGTTTTTGGGTTATACTCTATACGACTTAACAAGCTAGAGAGCTAATTTGACCGCAAATCATGCAGACGAGCCCGATTGAGATTCTTCGCGTACATCTAGTGAGGCAGAAGTCACCTGTCGTCTTTCACTTCTTAGGGGGTTTTTTNTTTTTTGGGGGGGGGGGGGGCTACCACTACCCAGAATCGGTTTTTTTAAGTAGATACCTAAAAAATCTAAAATAGAAGTTATCCATAGGTACATTTAACTTGAGTTCCAATCGTGAATTGTAAAATCAAGATTTCAACTCACAAACAACTTGGAGCGTGTGTGAGTGATGGATACTTCTCTCCAACGGCAAATTAGTGGCCTGGCAGGTGTATGTTACTCCGTCGCTATCGGCGGTTATAGTGATGGGCAGATGTATGGAGGCCGCAACACCTCCGTGCATTCTTTCTGTTTCCCGATCGAAGACCACCTCTTCGCCGACTGGTACATCGTTCCGCCACCAGCTTAGCTCAGCAGGGGGGTTACTCGCACCCGACTCACAAATCAGTGTTGCTTTCGTCCCAATCCGTAAGACCTCAGGCTCCTGCTTGATCTGAACGTAGCTTGGAGGAACTGGATCAGAAAAGGTTTTACAACCTGAATGAGCGAAAGTGAAGGAACTAGGGTTCATGCTGTCAAACACAGCAAAGCTGAAGAATTTGCATTCGGACGGATTTCTGCCAAACGGAACTATGTGTATTATGACGTGGGCCCTGTTATGCATATATTCTTATGGGTCTCAGGGCTCATGTCTTAATGCACATAGTTCCGTTTGACAGAAAGACGCTCATTTGAAAATATTTATGGGCTTTTAATGATTATTTCAGACCTTCAATGAAATTTTAGCGCTCACACTTTAACTGTGAAGACAATCTTGCAATTAATAGAAATCTAAAATAATTCAAGGACTTCAGAGTAATTAGGTGGTGGCTTTTCTAAAAAAAATCAAGTATTTTCAAAAACTTGAAAATCTGCAAAATAATTGCGAGAACTTTTCGGTGCCGCCTCGAACTCTGGTTGAACCTGATCGTGATCCGACTAAAATTGAGGGGCTTGGAGGAAAAGGCGCATAAGTGCGTGTTTGAAGTTTCGGAATTACACGGATCCTTACGGCGGGAAGACAGTTCAAACTGACTTTTTATTGCTTAAAAGCTGGAATTTGGGAGCTAAATTTTCCTAGAATATGCATTCAGACTAATTTTACTTTGTAATCATTAATACTCAATTATCCCAAAAACTGCACTTGTGCACCTTGTCCACCGAGCCCCTCAATTGTTGATTCCTCCTCCATAATTTTTCCACCAACTTTCCTTCCTCGATTCTCTAGTTTTCAATATGGGGCTTCTCATATCTTCTCCTAACTAACTAAGCTACTGTTTATAATAGGGAATATTTACGATGGTGGTGCACTGAGAAAAAGCTATGGTTTATAAACCTATTAGTGGTAAATATGGAACACCTATAATAGTCGTAAATAAACTAATGATTCTCGGTCTGTGAACCATACTAAGGTCTCTGTACCTAATTAAGGTACAGAGACCATAACTAAGGTATATGTGCTATTATTATATGTAGAGGTACTACTATTAGTGGTGTTCCATATTTACCTCTAATAGGTTTATAAGCCATAGTTTTTTCTCAGTGTGCTGTTTTCATAGCCGGATCATACACGGACTTTTTTTCGGCCTACTAAAACCTTATTTTACCCTCTACTCCATTCCTTATTTTCAGCTCCATTCAAGCCATGGAAAGAGCAACCATCCCACTAGATTTTTCACTGTATAAGGTTCATAGCATTGACAACATTCATTATTTTTTCATCAATCTCTGGACCAGAACATGATGAGCCCTCATTTCACTGGCACAATTGCAGTTTTTTTAGCACATTCAAGAGCGTTGACTCGAATGAAAGTTTTGGGAAAACTTACAAAATACGCTCAGGAGGACCGATTCGGAGAGCGGTTTCTCAGTGGCAGAATTGTTTGCTTCACACGTGTAGACAGCCTGATTGTCGGAATTACTCAATAATACAGCCACCTCAGATACAGTTGTTTGGTCCTGGACTTTCATTGTTGATTGGGTCTGTCGAAGAAATATCATAAATCAAATGTTTTTTACTCAATAGAAGAGTATCTAGAAAGATAACTAATAGACTTTTAACCTAGTCGGGCCTTGTATCTGTTACCATGTACCCTCTCTACCTGGACTTTGTATTGTATTTGTATTGTATTGTATTATTTGTTTTGTACCTTCTCTACCTTGACTTTGTTTAATTTGTTTTGTGACAAATCTACAATAAATAAATTATTATCATCATTATTAAATAACAAATACAGTAAAGTACTTCATCGATTAGATCTCAGCTCCTCCGTCTGGTGGCTCCGATAAACATGTTGGCTCGTAAAAGTGTTATAATCGACATTTAAAAATGGAACATAAATGCTGCTACGAAAGGTAAAAATTGACAGTTACAGGCCTCTTGGCTGAATCCAGACAATACTACCCTAGAGGAAACCGTACAGTAGGTATATGAATGAGTTGTATGAAGATCCTAATATTTTGAGTAATGTTATACAAGGTTCTGAATGGACCAAAACTCTTGCAAAATTAAGAGAAACAAGACCAAACGATCTGTTCATACCCCTGTTCATATACAATGATGAATATGAGATATACAACCCTTTGGGCACCCATAGAAAAACCTATAAACTTTCTGCAATTTATGCACAGGTTCCTTGTTTACCACCCAGGATCCAGAGCAGCCTCATAACCATGTTTCTTTGCCTCTTATTCCAGGGCAAGTACCGTAAGGTGTGTGGAAACGCCGTAACGTTTGGAAAAACGATTTATGAATTAAATTTTTTGTTCAATAATGGAACTCAGGATGAAGCACAAGGAGAGATAAAACAATTGTTTTTTGTTGTCTCTCCATTAATTGCCGACAATTTGGGCTATAATCAAATGTTAGGCTTAGTAGAGTGCTTTGTAGCAAATTACCCCTGCAGGATTTGTCGACTTAAACTAGACCAGATTCAAATATTATGTTGGGATGATCATACAGCTTATCGTACTGTAGAGAAATATGAGGAAGATCTTCAAACAAACAATTATTCGTTAACAGGAGTAGAAACTTCATGCATGTGTTTGAAACAGGGTTGAAAATGTTCACTTAGTCACAAGTTGCGCAGGAGATTCAATGCACGAAGTACTAGAAGGAGACGCTGGCCTTGATATCATTTTTGTTTTACATTCTTTGATAGATGCGGAATATTTAACCCTTCAGGATTTAATCTTAAAAATTGCAGACTTCGATTGGGGCATTGACTGTCGCAACAAGCCTCCTTTTGCTGACGTATTCACCAATGATTCATTGTCGCTCTCAGCATCCAAAATGCTAGTTACTATACGGTACTTGCCTTTAATAATAATTGGGGAGTACATACCTCGCAACAACAGAATATCTGGGAGCTGTTTTTATTGCTTAGAGAATGTACTGACCTAATATTAGCACCATCTCTTCAAAGAGGATGCGCTGATTTGTTAAAAATATTAACTGAGGAGCATCATTCCCTTTACAGGCAGTTGACAAAGAAATCTTTAACGTTTAAACAGCACATGCTTACTTACTGGCCAAATCTTTTGCTATATTTGGTCCTTTCCATAAAACATGGTGTATGGGGTTCGAACGAAATAATTATGAAACAAAGAGAGCAGCTGTTGCCTTAATCTGCCGTAAAAACTCTTCTAAATCAGCAGTCAAAAAACATGGGCTACGGTTGGCACATTTTTATAACTCATCATCATTATTTCATGGTGCTCTTGGTTCTGGGCCCAGGGTGACTGCAAAGCAGACATTACAGCAGCAGTTCAATGTCAACTTACAAAATTTGCCGGATCCTTGTGAGGAAACATCATGGACATCTGTATATCGACGGTGAAAGTCGGCAATCACATAACTCGTTTGCGGTGTCTGAAAATCTTCGCCTCTACGTCATTTTTTTAAAGGAGAGCAAATTGACTTTATTTCTTGAAGTTTTGGCAGAATTTTCTTCGCATTGAGAAGAAAAATCATCACAGTTTTAAAGAATTGCCGTTGAGTAGTTTTCCCTTTAACAAATGAAGTATGACAGGAAGTCTGCGACGTCGCAAACCGAGTTATGTGATTGCCGACTTACACCGTCGATATGGTCTACTATACAAATCGTCTGTGATGCTAGTTTATGATTTTGTAGATGAGCTTTCATGTTTCGCCAGTTGAGAGAACGAACCATGCAGGTGAATCCAAGTAACGATCTCCGACGCCGCCTTAACCCGAATTGGAGACAGGCATTTCCAACGGTTCGATTCACCACCCTCCGACCGGTGAACCAAGAGGGTAGTTTCTGATGCCTCGCCAGTGCAGTTCAAATCGTCAATCGTGATTGAGTTGGCAGCCCTCAGCGCCTCAGCCATTTTTGCCTATTCGTTGCGTTGTGTAATAAATATAACCATTTCGGTGGTGCGGCTTTTCCGTCTCTGTGATTATTATTTTTTTTTTGTTTGTTCCGTGAGGTGCTTAAACCTTTTTAGTGTTTGTTACAGAAGTATAATAGTGTCATGTACACGCGGGTGGAGAAAATTTTAGACGATATTGGAGTACCAGGGCTACTGGATAGATTCAATCGCACGGTTTTCAAAGCCATCTTGCTTTCTAGTTTTCTGTTCTCTTTCAATTACATGTGCTCGCATGCATTTTAAATTGGTCGCATTGCTTCACGTAAACGTTTTCCTTCTAAATAGGTTTCTTTTCATTTTCTTTCCATTAAATTTGCAGTTTACACACTTTTCCGAATTATGCACAAATTCTTTTCAACCAAGGTTTTTTACGCTTCTTATGAGTTAAGAAGAAGGATTCCGCTTGCGGACAACAAGAATGATTGGTTTATTAGCGAACAAAACGAAATAAAAATTGATTCTTCTGAAGGCACAAAGACATAGAAAAACACATACTAACTACCGCAGCAAGCGGCAACTGTTCATCTATCGTCTGTCGCGCAGCGTTTTGGTGGTTGCGCAGAGCTTTGGATGGTCAACTACGGAACTAATGTTTTGATAGGTGTCAATTTCTGCGGGCGATTTGAATTTTGTGTGTTGGTGTGTTTCTGTTGGTGTGAATTTTTTCGGGCAAGTTTCACGTAAGAATGGAATCGTGTGGACGTTGTACGTTAAGAGTGGTGGACGTTACTATTTTAACTTTAAGTAACGATGAAGTTCAAGAATTTTTACTAAGACATGGGATGATTTCTAACTCTGTTACGTGTCCAACTTGCGGCTCCGATGTTCGGTTAAATTGAACCACTAAGTCTTATCGGTGTCAAAAGTCTTACACAGACAGAAGTAAGCACAAAAAAAAGTGTAACTTTCAACGTTCAGTTTTTTGTAATACCTTTTTTAGCAGGTCTCATTTAAGTGTGGAAGCCATTTAAGATTTCTTGCATATGCAGTTCATTTACCACCTCCACGCGTCCGCTTTTTAATGAGTGAATTAAATATGTCTAATAACACCATCACCGACTGGTTCTCCTCTTATCGCGAAGTATGTGTTTTTTATCGTGACAGTGTGAAAGAATCAATTGGCGGCCTGGGCGAAATTGTTGAAGTGGACGAATGTAAAATTGGAAAACGCAAATATAATCGTGGCAGAAGAGTTGAGGGCCAATGGGTTTTTGGCGGCGTGCTACGTTCTGATCCATCGAAAGCGTTTGTGTATTACAAATTCGTATTCGCAGAAATAAGTTTGTGCCCAACAGAGATAAGTTTGCGCCTAGCAAAAATTAATGTGTGCCCAGCACAAATCAAGTTTGCGTCCGACATTAATTTGACATTAGCGTGGGGCGACAATCTGAGTTGTGACCCATAGCACAAATAAACATGTTTTTGCGATCCAGCCTAATATGAATTTGTGCCGTGCACCCTAATTTGGGTGTAAAACGCTAAGATTTTTTTTTCAGTGTATGAATCGCTTTTATTAACAAACAAACAAATAAATAAATAAAAAAATGTATTAATTGGAAAAATTCTCACCCAGAATCTGGATTTCATTAATTAACATAACTTTAGACAATAGGCCATTTGAATTTAGTGCTTCGGCCACGAAGGTAAGTAGGAGTCAAGTCTTAGCTGATGCTCAAATAAATCTTGATCAGATGAGCGCCAGTTCCAAATTTGTTTTTAATTTATTTTCAGAAGGAAGAGCCGAAGACCGTGAAATCACAGACTCATTTTTTTATATGATTGTAAAGGATAATGATCCTCTCTGCTAAGCGGACAAAGAGAGATTTCGCCATTTTATCAAAACAGCACAACCCTTTTGGAAAGTACAGGACGCCACAAAGTCACTAAACTACTTGATAAAAAGTACGATCTTTTGAGTGAAAATCTCAAAAGAAAGTTGAAGAACGTGGACGGTTTGTGCATCACAGCGGATGGAGTGAAAATAGTAAGAGTTCATTGAGGTTAACTTGCCATTTCATTGAAGGCGTAGTGACAAAGAACCATCCCCTGGAAACCAAATTTTTGGATGAACGCCATACAGGTGACAATATTGGAATAGCAGTCACGGAAATTTTTGATAATTGGGGCATCATCCTGTTTCAGATTGTCAACTCCGTTACAGAGGATGCTTCAAATATGAAGAAACCTATGAGGGATCTGCTCGGACTTGCAAAACATTCAAAATGTGCTGGCCTCGATTTGAATCTTATTGCTGAGGCAACATTAAATTTCAGTGAGGCTATAAAAAGAATTTTAGTCAGTGTGCTATTGTTACATTTTCACACAAGAGTGTAATATTTGCGGATAAATTGCGCGCGTCACTCAGTCTGACTATCTATGGGTACAGTCTTGTCATACTCGCTGGAACAGCAAATATTACATGCTTAAACGCTTTCTCGGGCTACGAGTTGTAGTCAGTGCGATCTTGTTTGAACTGAATACTGGTCCACCGATGTCAACTAGAGATGAAATCAATAGCTTGGAAGAAGTAGTACAAGTCCTGGCACCTATATATGGAAGAGGCCACATGAAAAGCTCTCTAGGACGCCCTCTCCAACCTTTCCCAATTGTGGTTGATGATAAAGAAAAACTGTGGTGTAGTCGTATGTTCATGTAAACAACGTCCTATTTGAAGTGGAATCTCCTCGTTATGCCATCGACCTTTGTTTTAAGACTTGTTACTTGCTAAATGCTAATTTATCTAGCAGAAGCCCGAATCCCATGGCAATTCATTCAAAAGTATTTGTATCACAACAAGTCTAACTTCGACGTTAATTCACAGGAGGAGAAAAAACTGTACAAAATGTTTCTTTTTCGTAAAGCGCAGAATTTTAGATAAGCTCCCTCCTTGAGCTTTCTGAGCTACTAAAAAATGAGTGATTCTTAATGTAATGTTATATGTTAGTTTCGGATAAGACTGTTAGTTGTAATTTGCGATACACTCACACTTTTGGAGTCTAGAACGTACATTAAGGTTCATTCTTACCGCGAAGATATGTAGTTTCTTTTTGCCCTAGACCGAAAAAAACTACGCCCGAATGATCCCTTTATGTTTATCAAAGATGAATAGATTAGGTAAATCAGAGCCAACCATTTGGAAAGAATTTCTAGAAGGCAATTGGGTTGTTAATAAAAATAAAATTCCATTCTCAGCTTTAGGTGACGATGAAGCCCTAGAACGTGAAAACAGAAGGCTGAGGGTTCAAGGAGGACTGACCGGTATGACTTTGAATGAATCAGCAAGGACACGATTGTTTTTGACAGACGTCGAGTTAACTAACGTAGCCTTGAAACTGGAAAAATTTGCTAAAAAAAAAAAAAATTTACAAAGCTTCCCAGCATCACAGTATGTTTGGTAAGACGAGAAATAGGAAAGATAAAAATGTTCTTACATTGAAAAAATTCTTTGAAAGGACAACCAATCCATTTTCATGCCGCGATGCAAACGTATAATTCAACTTATTGCTTCACAAGAAATTTTCACCTCGGACATTGAGAAGGATGTTGACCGGATAAAAACTTTTGGTGAGAAAATGTTCCTAGCTTTTCCTCAAGAGCGCATCGAGACCTGCTCTGTAACGTCTTGGTCACCTATGCAAAAAGTAAAGTCAACACATGCAAGTCTGCCAAAAAAAAAAAAAAAAAAAAAAAAAAAAAAAAAAAAAAAAAAAAAAAAAAAAAAAAAAAAAAAAGTAAAAATTGATGTAAAGAGAAAAATCACAGAAATTAAGGCAGATACTGCACTTCTATCTAGACTTATCGCGGCGTCCAGATCTAGAGCTGATGTTGACATGGAAACATGCATTTCTAAATATGAATTATCCGAAGTTCCAAGATCGCTTTTCGCTTCAAACGACAGTGGAATCTCTACCAGCACCGTCAACCGACCCTGGTGGTTCTTTGCTCGACATAAACTCACGCGATTCTACCTCCATAAAAGTTGCAATCGTCGATGGTATGGTTCTGCTCCACACGATTTCAAAGCTAGGTTTTATAAAAACGTCTCACGAGTTAGGCGTTTATTTTTGTAAACATGTTAGCGAACAAATTGTAACTTACAATGAGATCCATATGACATTTAATTCACATAGAGAGGGTTTTTTGAAGACTACAATCAGAAACTTTCGGGAGAGTAGTGCAGGCAAAAGTCAGCACAAAATACCCCCCACCCCAAGTGGGTAGCGGTAACACAGCCCGAGTTTAGAAAACTCGACCGTGTGTGAAATGATACCGCGCGCGGTTTCATTTTACAACAACGTGTTCCGTCTACTCACTGGTTGTATCAGTTCGAGGTGGTCAGCATCTACTGCGGCCGAGCACACCCGCGGTTTTAATCAACTCGCCACTGTTTAAGTCAAATATTTCAATAATTTTTTTATTCTGTCAATAATTTTTATGTCACAGTCGCGTATTGTTTTTTAACAAATAAAAGTGTAAAAACTTATGAACTCATGTGGACGGAACTGCAGCATCTTTGTGTAAAACTCGTGGGAAAACCGTTCAAGGTCGAATGTTTTCATGCAGATTTCGAGATATCAGCCCACCAAACCCAAAAATTCATCGTACTCGCCAAAATGTCTTCAAAATCTCCGTTTCGACCGGCGACTGGTGAGTTCACATTACAGTGTTGCTTTTTGTTTTACATTAATTAATTAATCGCCCAAAAAATCCGTTTTCATCCCCACCCAAAAGACACCCATTTCCTCGCCCAAAACGCCCTCTTTTCAGTAGCACTCGCCCAAAACGTCGCCCCCCCCCCCCCATCTGCATAATGCTTTTTATCGATCGAGGTCATTCGATAACGATTCGACAATCGACCCGCTGCAGGCCGATCGTTGAATTTTCGCAGATCCCTGTCGAAGGCTTTATCGGGAATGACGAATAGACAACGCCGTAACAGCGACTGTTCAAACACTAGTCCAAAACCTTTCCCTTCGATATCCCATCGTTACGCTAAAGGCACCTCCGGAGGACCGGATAAGTATCTTATCGACCGGTTAACCTTGAATTTTGGAACAAATTGGATTTTTTTAAATTTGTGAGTGAATTATTTTCCGTGTTTTTCTTTTTAAAGTTTTTTTTAGTGTCAAGTGAATTTTTGAAGATATCTTTCTAAAAGATTGGTAAGTGCTTGAGGGATTTTTCGATGAATTGATATTGTTGGTATTACTGCTGTTTGCATTGTTTATTTATTTACAAGAGTTCCGCGCAAGATCTTGGTTGATGGTTCCGCGATCGCGATCACCAACTTCATGATTGAACTGCACCATTCCATAGTTTTAAATATTAAATTTGATCATTGGTGTGACTAAAAAAAGTGTGAAGAAGACAATAGATCTGCGGCTAACCCTGCCTCTAAAAAAGCGTACATTTTCAAGAGGGTTGCTCCAGTCATCTGTAACTTAGCAGCAGCAGTAGTTCAGTTTCAATGGCCATTTGTTTTTGTTAACTTTTGTCAAAGTAATCATAGTGATTGTTTAGCATGAACTAGGTTTAATTGGAACGTTCAACTTATCCTCAGAAAAAAATTAAGCCAGCAATCAAAGAATTTTCCACTGCATCAATGTATCTTGTAGCCTTGTGCTAAGGGCACTAGGTAGTTTTCGCTGCAAGTAATGGTTGAATGCACTCGATTCAAGGTTTTCTGTGCTTATGATTTTCTATTTAAGTACATGGAATGCTTTGAGACTGGTGCATGATAAGTTCTCACCAAGGCAGATAGCAGCAGCCTTGTGTTTCAAGTTGATTTTCAAAATGCTTCTAGTCCTCATGTAGTCACTAAAATAATGTACACTGTGTGCAGATTTTTCAGTTATTTTAGTATTTCCTGCTCAGCTAGTCATATAAAGAATTAATATAATAATTATAAGAATTGTTCTTTATGTGTGAGATGTGCAAAAAGTATCTTATCACCTTGGATCATCATAAAAGTTAAGATGCAATTTTTATTACTCTATACAGGTTGGAAATGGCTTACGGTATGGAATTAGGAATGTTGGCACATCTTGCTCACCTGGAAGGTGAGGTAGAGGAGGAGCTCCTAATTGTAAACCACAGAATAGAGCGGCGGCGCATGAGGGATCAGTGCGACCCGTTCAATCTACCTAAACAACTTTTCCAGCAAAATTTTCGAGTGTCCAAAGACATTGCCCGAGGGCTGATAGAAAGGCTGGGCCCTCATTTCCTACCTACCCGAGCGTCAGCTCTGACACCAACTCACAGGGTGGGTCACAACTCAACAGCACGGTCTACGTAATTCAATGTCTTTGGAAACACTTCAATACAACAATGTTCATAAGGCCACTGAAGATGAGCGTAAAAAAGGCTGGTTGGCAAAGTATTACTCAACAAGATAAGCTGACAATGAATGAATGGTTAGTGTATCAAATAATTGATAGACTTTATATTGGGTAAAATAATCAATTGGTTTTCAGGCTCATGCTCCAATACTTACTTTTTGACCGTTTTTGAACCATGTCACAATCGGCAGTGGATTGCCTCCTAGAACTGTGCATGATAATCGTAATACAGAACCTGCAGCCAAATCAGTCCCTCTCGCATAGCCGCTTATCACAGGTTTTTCAGGTACACCTGTTAAAGAATTGAACTTGATTAGTAAGCGATGGTATGGAATCGGACAGATGGGGAAGACTTCAATTTGATCTAGGCAGGATTACCGAGAATCCGAAGTAATTTTCATTTTGAACAAATTGCTTGTTCAAAACTTTACTTTTAATGTTGCTCCCTAAAGTCTGTTTATGATCCTGTGCTAAGGATCTCCTTGATGTTTCCTTAATCAAAATGCAAACTATATGAGGCCTCTGAAGGGAAAGAGCTATTTGAAAAATGACTACAATGTGGCCCTAATATATTGTCTCAGGAAGACAACGGTGCGGAGGAGTAGATTCTTACTAAACGAATTTTATTTTGAGGTTTAGAACTATTTTTGCGCCCAAACTCTCCCAGCTGCCATTTTATTTGAGTTCGAAACTTCCGATTCACTGATTATTGATGAGACGGAACCGGGCAGAGCTTTAGAGGGAGGTTCGGAACTGTAAATAAAGTTCGCTCATTGAAGAACTACTAAAAATAAGACAAATATGGAAACAAACACAATATGAGAACAGAGCAAGAGGAAGGACGCTTGCCGTTGACGGCGTAGAGATACAACTATTCGTGCTTGACGGATGTCCGTGTTGCATGTGCAAAATTGAAGGCGCGTTAGCGCGAGGCGTAAACTTGCAACACTCCACTACTATGATGCGCTCTCCTCTGATAGCGGAACGCCGCTTCAAGTCGGGAGAAAATATTGAAAACGAGGCATGATTACGTCTATCCTATTTTCGGCTATTTTGTTCACGTAGCCTTTTAACCATCACCTCAAATTAGACAAAGCAATATTGTATTGTACACTGGAAAAAAAACACATTGGATCTAGAGTCCAGACTCTTAAAAACACCGACAAGAAAAAGTATTCTTGATTCAATCAGAATCTAGCTTAAATCAAGAACCAAGCCTCTTAATTTAAGCGGATTTCGTTTTGATTCAAGCAAAAATCCGATTGAATCAAGAGTATTTTTTCTTGTCAATGTTTTCAAGGGTCTGGACACTAGATCCAATGTGGTTTTTTTTCCAGTATAGAATTGAATTTTTAAAACATCCGGATCTATTGCCAAGAGCTATAGACAAAGGAGACAAAAGGGATACGGAGGGATCCAATTGGTGGAAGCGGGTGGTTGCGATGGACGAAGGAGGTAGGTAATAGAGTAACTAAATTTACTTGTAAAAGGTGGAGAGAGGTTGTAAGAAACGAAATTGGCTTACTGAGGACGGCGATGGAGTGTGTGGCGATGAGGTGCTCGTTGAGCTGGTGGTTGCGGGCGTGGCAGATGACGACGAGGGTCTTGTTGGAGCGGAGGGGGACGGTGACGTTGGAGACGGAGACGAAGCCGCCGCGGGGCCCGGCCTCGCTCGTCGCCCGCGTCCACGCCGCCGGCACCGCCTCCCCGGCCACCGTCCACGCCACGCTCGTCGCCGGGTTGCTCGCCCCCGTCCGGCACGTCAACCCCACCGAGGCCCCGACCAGCGCCTCCGACCGCCCCGAGATCTTCACCTCTCGCGACGCATCTGCCAAATCAAAAACAACAACACCCGATCAAACAACCCACCCGTTTCAGCATGTCCATATATGAGACCAAAGACATAAAGACGGAGTGCTCGTATCTAAAAGCACGGGGGAAAAGTGAAGCCTGGTTTGGCGCTGGGTGCTTGTGTGAGTGTGTAAATGAGCGCGGGAATCCATGACGGCAAACGGAAATTTGATTTGAACTCGTCCTCTTGATTTTTACACATTTCTTCTTCGAAACGTATTTTAAATGCCTAAAACGAATATATTAAGAAAGTTGGGACTGCGTCCTATTATAATACACCTACTTTTGCTCGGTAACAGGCAGTAATCTCAGATAAAGTTAGTTATTCTTCTGCTCATGGTGGTTCTGCAGGTTCAAACAGGCCGTTACAGTTCTAGATGAACGTTACTCCCAAATGAAATTAATCGGTCGACGACGGACCAAAGCTAACCTAAAGTTAAAGAAATATGAGTGGGTAAGTGAATTTGGGCAAAAGTCAACCTAAAATACTTTTGTTTCCGCAATTTTATTTAGTTCCCGCCCTACATTTGAATTTCAAACTTGTCCCGATTTCCCCGCCAATCCTCTAGCCAATAGTAGAGGTGGTTGAAAAGAAGCTTCATTTTTTGCTTTTAGCCCTCCGTCTTTATGTCTTTGGTCCATATATGAGACGTATTTCTGCCATAGAGTACATGGAGTCGTAATGTAAATGGGAGAGCTGGCGCCAGGCGCCATGTTCTGCTCGACGAATTCCGAGCCCGGTGTGCGCCGAGTTCGGGTCGCTTTTTCCATACATTTTCGATCCAAAACGGCGGTGTGGAATACGTGGTGATTCCTATCTCCTTTGTTGTTGTTGTCATCGGATGGCCGGGTACCCGTGTATCGCAAACAATCGGTTATGTATCGGAAAAGTGACCCGGCGTCACACAGGAGTCTCGGAATTCGGGACATGGAAAATGCCTAAAAGTGGCGCCAGCTCTCCCACTTACATTACGACTCTATGTACTCTATGATTTCTGTAGAATGGAGCTAAGCCACGGAGAGAAAAAAGGAGGTGTTAGCATCTCTCTGGCGGCCAATCTCGGTGGCTAGAGGCCGATACCTGGTGGCTATTAGTATCACGCTATATCAATGTAGACAGTGGACAGTTCATGGAGGGCATGAGAATAGCCTTTTCAAACGGAGGTGTAACCTTTTTGCACGGCCTTTAGTTCATTGTTCGCAACCTATAAATGCTCATCTTAACTTTAGCCCTGAATTGTTTATTGCAGATGGAATAACAGGAGTCACCATTAGCCAAATTCTCCAGTTCGGCTTAGGTATATATACTGGGCCACCCATGGGTTTTGCATTTAGGCCTGCATTAAAATTTCTTCACGGATCGAACAAAGTGTTCTTAGAGGCCCATACTTGTAACTTGGAGTTAGATTTACCGGTATGCCACCTAAACTATGAATGTTTTCAGAAAGCCATAACTAGAGGACTTCAAGAGCCCCTGAAGTTCACACTGCTACAGGTAATTTTTTCTCCGAACGATGTATCGTGCCATTGGCGGATCCAGCAATTTGGCAACACCGAATTTCCTCCATTTAAACCTATGGAAAAGTATCGATTCTTGGAGGGGCCAGGTGCTTCGACAAGAATCGATTATTTAGCATAGGTTTAAATGGAGGAACTCCGGTGTTGCCAAATTGCTGGATCCGCCTGTGGAGGGGAAACGTCCCTGGATTTCCATCATTATATTCTTACATAGTATTGGTGCTTAATACTATTCATTCAATAATATGTGTCCATATTTCTCTCAATTCTTACAAAGAATTGAGAAAGTAAATAAATAAAAGTGAACTTTCAATTCATTTGAAAACATTATGGAGGTGTCTTTAAGTCAAATTTAATGACTAGCACTACCTATCCTCAGCCCCAGTCTTGTTTCTTCGTCTTTTATGTGTTTCATCTTAGTCTGAAGATGCCTTAAATATTGTTTTCATTAGGTTCTTTCTTTTGGAAACCGGAATTGGATTTTGGAATGAAAAAATGTATCAAAAAGGAAATTATTATATATCGGAAAAAAATATATCAAAAAGGAAAGTATTATACATCAGAAAATAAAATATATCCGAGGAGAAAATATTTTAAATTTGATTTACGGTTCTGCTGTCATAGCCGTCAACTCTCGTATGCTATGGGATCCTTGGCAGCGAGTTACGCCAGCATACCTGGAGATCCGGCTACCAACGTATGCTCGGAGATCGCATCCGGCATCCCTACGTATGCGGCATCTCGACGTATGCCCGGGGGTCAACCTCTTCTATCGGTCCCTGCCCTTGGCGACACTAAAGTTGCATTGCATCGCCCGACCGGGCGCCGACGCCATCTATCTCGGCAATCGGCATCAATATAATTTTTTCAAATTTTTCTTTTTTAGGTTCGGGTCATTGTGTGTGCTGTGAGGTTTAAATTGTTGTAACATTACCGGAGATCAATTGGACTGCATTTTGCAATTTGGAGCTATAAATTCTGGCTCATCTGAAAAAACACTTAAGTGCGTGGGGAAACTAATGGCACAGACGTTGTTTTTAAACCGGGCCGGAATTTATAGTTCCAAATTGCAAAATGCAGTCCGATTGGGAAGATGGATCGGACCGGGAGAATCCTCCAAATTATTTTATTATTTTTGTTCTCCCAGTGATCAACTGAACTTTCCTTTCACTCCGTCGTTTGCTTATTTTATATATTAAAAAGTTTTTCTGTTTTATGTGTGATGTGGCTGTGAGGTGTGATGAACTAAAGATGGAAAGGACCAGAAGGCTCCTCCGACTTAATAAGTGGCTTAGGCTTCTGATTTCTACCATCACATTGTTCACTTTGCAACACATAATCTGTTTCAAAATAAGATACAATGATTTGATTATGGTATCTCTTTTTCCCGGTGGATTCAAAAGGAAATAGGCATCCAAAAGTATACATAATCTGGAAGAAGAAGGCTAATATCAAGTTATCCGACTGTAGTGATGAGATCGAATATGGGTCAGCTCGAAGTCTCCTAACGATCTAAGACTCGAGGGCTGGGACGATTTATATCTAAAAATGAAAGCGGTGTCAATCAAAGGTGGGTGGCAATACGTTTCTGGATGTATGATATTATTTTATGAATAAAATAATTGGATCAATTGATCTATTCAAAATCAAATAAACGCATGATTGAACTTGGATACTCACAGAAAACATTGAGTTGGACCTGAGAGCTGAGAGGAGTTGGACTCATGATATTGGAGGCCTCACACAAGAAAACGGCTTTGTCGTCCTCCTCTGTAGCGGTAAAAGTGAAGGTGTTTTCGGAGGACTTTCCGTTTGTCCTAGAGGAAAAATTATGCTAATAAATATGCGAAATTTTTAAAAGCTCTAAACCCCCATTAATGTCACTCTGAATATGAGTTGAGATTGCATCGGCATCCCAACCAAGAAGCGCTTGCGCTCCTGGAATGGGACCGATGTGGTCGCAGCTCGCAGGTTGAAAAGACGCAAGCCCTATGAGCTTGGAATTCAGGGCTTTTCCAAATTATTTTTTTTAAAACAAGTGTGCCTCCCCGCATTTTCGGACGGATCAGGGGTTCCTTGGTCTTTGACCGGTGACGGTTGACCACAGTCTTCACAATATAATACAATATAACCAAAAGACTTACATGATTCAGCAAAAAAACATTTTTATTTCCGAAATAATTATGTACTTATAATCTCCTCACTATCAGAGGCTATACTTTTCTTACTTAACATAGTTAAAATCAATCTATATATATTTTTTGTTATGTAAAATTTAAATGTATATAATATTAAGTTATCACTTAAAGTTATAATTAGCTTAAAAAGACAATTTAATTTGTCTATAAGCATTTCTTTGTACTAGATTATTTTATTGTACGAATAAAAAAAAATAAAAAAAAAAAAAAAAAAAAAAATTAATGTCATTCGTCTAATGGCACTCTTCAGGTCCTAGTAAAGTGAAACCGGGTTGAGGGTTTGAAGTTCCGACACCCACAAGCAATAAAGGTACATAAAGGTAAAGCACAACATACGAAACCATACAGGTAAAGCATACGAAGCAAATCCGAGTCGATTGTGCACGAAGTTGAGGTTGGTCATTAAAAGCGCGAACAGCTCCCTTAGACGATTCAAATACTTAAATAAGACCCGAATCCCGGCGTTTGGAGTACCTCGCCTTTATGATGACGTCAAAATTGCTGCCGCGGTTCATGTATTTTTCAAACGTTTTAGTGGTGATGATGACGAGATCCGCAGGTTGCTGTAGAAATGCTTCAACATCTAAACACACCTAACATCATCCAAGGGATTGTGGAGGGAGGGAGCTTGACTCGGCGAACCAGCCAGTTTCAGGTCATGAATTTCTGGTCATTTTGAGCAGACCCCAGCGTGGAGCCCCGAAATTATGAAATTTTTTACCGAGCCGAATCAGCTTAGATTGGCAAAAAATTATACTCGGGACCACTTCAATGAAGCTAGTGATAACCAGTTTCTTTATTGGCAAATACGACTTTATGCCAGACTTCAGTGCGCTAAACTTAACCCTCCAGAGCTCCATATTTGTGAAAGCAAAACAAATGTCACGGCAAAAATCCAACAGAGTCTATAACATTTTCATCTTAATCGACGAAGCCAATTCTTCGTTCAAAGCTGTTGTTGGCAGCTACTGCACATGCCTCAATGGGGGCTAGGACAGCGTGTCCTTGCTCGCATGTCGTGGCTATTGTGTGGTACCTTTTCTTTGGTCGGCATTTGGAAAACCTCGTATCAACGGCTGCATTTCTGCAGGATTGTTTTCCAATGACAAAAAGACGGGACAATCAAGACGACGCATCGGAGGGCGATGTTAGCTCTGAACAGGATGAGTAACGAAAGTCTTTTTGGAACTATAAATTCAAGTCCGGTTTAATAACAACGTATGTGCCACTAGTTTCCCTATGTACATAAGTGTTTTTCCAGAGGAGCCAGAATTTATAGTTCCAAATTGCAAAATGCAGTCCATTTATTCGCTGATGATGAGCGTCGAAAGAGTAGATGCATTACCAATAGTTTCTGAAGTCCAAGTTTACCTGTACTCCATGCTGACTTGTTCTCCGTTCTTGTACCATACGAGTTGCGCCGGAGGGTTGCCACTCTTGGATCGGCAAGTAAGTTCCACCGTTTGACCCCGGAGGACGGACTCTCCTTTCATGTAACCCTCAATGAAAGGCACGCTCGGAGGATCTGTTGAACAAAAGGTAGCTTGCTCCAACAAAAAGTTTTACTACATGAAAATATGACAAAAATTGAAATCAGCGCGTCTCCACTGCTCTTCTTTGGACGAGGCTGAGAGCTGTTCGGGGGACTCCGGTACTTTACGACCAGCCAGTCCACTTTAAGTAAAACAGGTATATATTTTTGCTGCGAGGTACACTGAGAAAAATTGGTCCTTGGATTTGACAGGACGAGTCCTGTTGATTGGTTTTCTCTTTGGCTCGAAGAGACTTCCTGTTGACTCAACAGGATACCCTGTTGAGTGGAATCAACAGGATACCCTGTTGAGTGGAATCAACAGGCATTTTCCGTTTGTTTAATTTTCCTGTTGGCTCAACAGGAAAGCTCTTTAATGCAAAGGACGCAATGCTCTTTGTGGCAAACGGAACCTGTCGTATCAGGAAAGCTGATTTGCACACTGGAAAAAAAAAACACATTGGATCTAGAGTCCAGACTCTTAAAAACATCGACAAGAAAAAATACTCTTGATTCAATCAGATTGAAGCTTAAATCAAGAACCAAGCCTCTTAATTTGAGCGGATTTCCTTTTGATTTAAGCTTAGATCTGATTGAATCAAGAGTCCTTTTTCTTGTCAATGTTTTCAAGAGTCTGGACTCTAGATCCAATGTGTTTTTTTTTCTAGTGCAGTAACAGGCAGTACCATTTGACTCAAAGGAGAATGCTCCGCTACGCCAAACGGTACCTCAAAAACTGGAATCACCGTAGGCCTCGTGTTTCTCGTAACGGTAAAGACGGTTACTCTTACTTCGTGATTCTTTTAATTATTAATGATAAAATGTTTCGCTCAAATGGAAAAAGCCCGTCAATTTAAATATTCGCGCCAGTTTTTGAATAATAGTGACGTTCGGTGATAGTTTGTGACTGAATTGTTGACTACAAAATTGCGTCAAAAGTTTCTAACCTACACCGGCTCCAGCTTAACGAGTAGCTGAGTGCTTGATTGAAGGAATGGAGGACTTTCTCAGGGAGAACGGCCTCCTTGAATTTCTCCCGGATTTCGAAAGTGAGGATCCTCGATCGCACCTCGATCACTTTTTACCTATTCTTTTCTTTCTCGAATGCTGAGTGTTCTACTCAAGGCCATTTAATTCAACGGACTTTGTATGCAGTGCTGACCGACAGATTTTCTTATCAGTTGTAAATGGCTACAAAATCTGAGAAATAACTGCCTGATTCCAAAGAAAAACTGCACCCTGTAGGGTATGCTTTCTTTCCTTGTTAGAGCCTCTTATGATTAAGTATTTGACGCTGGGAGTATTTGAAGTTAATCCCGCGTCGAAAGTAGGGAGTTCCTCTACTGTCGTCCAGGGTAACTTTGTGCAATAGGATACAACTTTGTGCAAGCAGTAATTTCACTTTATTTAGCTTATTTCTTCCTCTTCTCTGGAGGTAGTGCCAATCTAATATTTTTCCCTTGAAGCCCATATCCTCAGGAACCTCTGGTATACAACAGTTGGCATCAATGATATGTTTTGTATTTGTTTACAATACCTTATATCAGAGTGTTTCTTGATAAGAAGCTACATGCCGGTTTTTTAAATTAAAGGAATGCCCAATTAAAGATAATGATAAGGTGAATATTTTATTCTTTTGCAATCCACAAACCCTTAAAAATACATCTGTGCATTGGAATTACTTTGTTTTTCAAGATTAATATTCAAAAAACCAAGTTTTCTGAGAGGAAGCTCAAAACTTGAATCGGTCAGGCTAACTTTTTGCAAGTTTGATTTACTGCAGGCTAACTTTGTGCAGGTGTAGGAGTTGCTTGGGAAGCAATGAATTAAGCCATATTTTTCTCTTGTTCAGATACTTAAGTAGATTTAATCATGTACTTATTATTAATAAGTGTTTCCAAGCACTTACATTTACTTAGTCTTGTATTTTGTAGCTTCATCGTGTAATTCTGCTGGACAGAAATTCACCGAGCGTTTTGGCGGAGTCCCATCGATTTCCACAAATCCTGGACCATGAGGCCTGGTTTCGGAAGGATGCAACATCTTCTTGATGGGAGCCTTCATTGCTGAAGTTTAGTGTTACTTCAATATTCTAGCGAATCATTTGAATACTTAAAATCATTTCATTTCCAGGAGCCTCCAACAACAAGACAAAAAGTCAAAATTGTCAATGCAATTGTCAAGCCCAAAAAATCTCCTGTCAAGCGCCTCAAGAAGTATCCGTCCGAAATCAGGTCTTGTGGAACAAACAGTGGATACACCGATGCAAAATTAGCCAAATGCCTGGGTGAGATTCGATCTGGCAAGATTAAAATCGGTGCAGCTGCCAAGAAGTACGGCATCCACCACAATACACTTAGAAACAAACTACAAGGGAAACATTCTGGTAAGGTTGGATGACCTTTTGTCTTTGCCCATGATGTGGAAAAATCTTTTGTTGACCATGCACTTGTCCTGTGCGACATGGGTATACCAATTGCCACCCACGATCTGCGGGACATCGCAAAAAGCTACCTTGATATAGCCAAGGCATTACTGTTGCTCAGTTTCCAGACAACCGTCCCGGCTGGGACTGGGCCAAGAGTCTTCTCCTTCGTTTCAAGGATTTGATTTCCAATAAATTTGCCAACCGAATAACTACTGCTAGAGCCAAAGTGAATGAAGAAAGTCTGATTGAAGATCATAGATCTAGAGAGGAGTTGTATTCCACTCATAAAGCAGGTTAGCATATTAAAGTAAACCCAAGCAAAGTCAATTCTAATAATGAATCAACTTGCATCCAAAAACTTAATACAGTCCAATCAAAGTGCTTTTGCCTTGGCCCTAATAAGTGAGGTCAAGCTGACCAATGCCCCGGAGAAGTTGTATTTAGTGTTTCCAATCAGAAGAGATCTATTGTCAACTCCTCTCGAGCCCTAGAAGAAAAACTCTCTTCCTTCAGCCCAAGATTTACAACAATAATTTCATCGTCCTTTGTTTTTTTTTTTTTTTTTTTTTTTTTTTTTTTTTTTTTTTAATATATGACTAAAGGATAATCCCTTCATGATCGCGTCAAAAGGTGTCAGAATCAGTGTCGCTTAAAAGGCACCCGAGTGAGTGCCTATATTAGGTTATATTTTTTATCACCCATTTATCAGCTGATATTGTTTTAAGTTATTGTAATGGATCTAAACTCGAATTCTGTTTACATGGTATTTGAAATTAAAAATGATGGTACAAGGATTTTTTCCTATCCTTCTCATATAACAGCGGCTTTACAATGTATTTAAGGTCATCGGCGGTTACAGCAAATTGGCAACATTGTTTTTCTCCATTTATACCTATGGAAATGTATCGATTCTTGGAGGGGCCAGGTGCCCCGACAAGAATCGATTATTTAACACAGGTTTAAATGTAGGAAGTCCGGTGTTGCCAAATCGCAGGATCCGCCTCTGTTTGAAAAGGAGGTCGTGTGCTGCATCTGCGATGTCATCAGCTGCGGGATCGGAGGCATGATTGTTTTACTTTAATTTTTTTTTTAATATACTGTCTAAAATATGTCAGTGTAATTTTTTTTTTACTTTTCAAAATGAATATGTGCTTGTGGTATAAATATTAATGTAATGTATGTATTAATTAAAGTATTTGAAATGAAAAATGAACGCACAGGTATATAACTGAAAACATCATGAAGGTAGTATAGGAACGCCCGTAAAGGTTCGTTCACCACACAGAATAGTGTCATCCAACCTTCCTATACTCCGCTACCTATATACGTCTTGCAGGATTCTTAGATTCAAAAGGCTTTCACCGCCACACTTAATGAGTCAAGAGTTTTACTGATTACTCTCAGGACTCATTCCATACGATATGTTTTTTCAATATGTTTTTATACTTTCCGCATTCAATCGTCAATGGACATAAAATCGTTTCTGAAATTGAACCACCCGTAAATGAACCACCCGTTAATGAACCATTTAGAAGCAGCGAGGTGGAAGTTGGAAACGCATCCTGCTCTGATGCGAACGCCGATCAAAGCTCATAAAACACTTTTTGAGTTCCCGACTCCAATTCGTCCAGAAAACAGACAAACACAAACTATTTCCATGTTGCGCTTGTCTTTGCCGCTTCTTCTAAAATGGCACTGCGTTCGTCTTTGCCGGAATGGCACTTCGTTGGTTGCATACGCAGGAGACCTTGGGGAAGCGCGCTCTTCAACACTTGAACATCATGTTTTAAACATATTTTTAAAAAACTTCTTGAAATACTTGTGAAATAAAACAACTAAATACTTTTAAAATCTGTAGGTATTTGTTTCATTTTATTTTGATGCTTTCATGTTATCATTATATTAATATGCTCTTATGTCATAGTATATTTATATGTTTTTATGTTACATTACACGCCTTTTTGACTGTTACACTCGACTGCAGTGATGTCACATGGGATTCTACGGTAGTAGAACCATGGATTTTGATATGATTATTGATGAGCATAGTGGCATAACTAACCATGCTTGTGGTAGCATTATTGTGCTCACAGTAACATTACGTTAACGTCACCGGTACGTGACGTTAACGTAATGTTACGTTACGTTAACATCACGGTAACGTCACCGTGGAATCCCGTGTGACATTACTACCGTCGTAACCGTCGAAAAACCGTGTTTTATTTCTCGGTGTATATTTATATGTTTTTATGTTATATTATTATGTTATACATTTCATGTACGGGGAGTGGGTCGTCAACCGGAATACTGATGTTTCATTCTGCACTGTAGGTGCTAACGAAGCTTAGAGCTTCAAAATAACAAGTTGAAAGTCCACGGGGGCCTGAAAAGTATAACGCAAAATGATAGAGCACATAACAGTTCTTCTTAGTGAGTCCAGAATTATTAAAACTTGCACGGGAGACAAAAGAAGCGTTGGGCATTGAATATCAGCACGCATCCAAACACTATGAACTATCTTTAAAAATCAAAAAACGTCAAGATATTAATGCCATGAGAGTGAGGGAGGAATTGAAAAACTCTACCGACCTGTTCCGGTGTAAAAATTCTGAATTAGCTCATTCACTATCACACCGAGTTTTTCCTCGGGAAGTTTCAGACTTCGTCATGAAAGTTTCAGAAATAGGCGAAAAGTTGCGGAATGAATTTTTTTTCAGCCCATATTGAAGAAAAAAAGTTAGTGTTTGGGCGAGACTAAAAAAAAACGCCGGCAAATACATGCGCGTCTGTCTCGAAGTCAAAATTACGGCAAAAAATTGTACCATTACGATTAATGCCGATAATTCTCTCGTTCATAGTCTTAACTATGGTTTCTCAAAAAATAAGGTCACATTGTGCATATGTATTCGTGATAAAATATCATGAGGGCTGATCCCCTCACTAAAATTAAGATTAAGAATTTGTCATTGTTTCACTTTCATACTTTATTTTTTGTTCCTCTTCATTCTAATACAGTAAAACTTTCGCTCATTCCTCACACAAAAACTTTTCAGCAAACTTGAGAATGAAACTATTTGGACATTTTTTTAAAGCAGATTCGAAGTTACAATGAGATGCGTGGTCCAGTTGACGAAGATAACAGATCACTCTGCATAAATAAGCCCAAGCAACATGTTCCATTCAAGATCGCGGTCAAAGTGATTGCTATGTTGAATTATTGCCGTTTCTCTGGGATTATTGAAATATCTGACTTAAAAATCGGAATCTACGCCTCGGAAAACCGAAGAATCGACACCTCACATGACGTTCTAAGAGAATGCCACTAGGCACTGTTTAGCCAAGTTTGAAAAATTAGAGGATGACTTTCTCCGAAGGTACCCGTTCAAAGAAATAGCCCAATTCGAAAAGTTTGATCGTCAACTGTCACGCAGCAAAAAATTAAGGAACAAATTGGTAGGAAGACTTAGAATTTGCTTGTTTTTTATATTTAATTTTAATGGAGTGGGTGTGACGCAGGGTTGCAGGCGGTTTGAAAAACAAGGTCGGATCACGTCGTTCCTACCTCCGGCTGTGACGTCACGTAGCCTTTGAGCCAACACCACAAATGAGACAAAGAGATTTCGTGGTAGAATAATTCTATTATCATAGAATCCGGCTCCATTAACCTGGAGTCTGGCGCGTTACTTTGGTTCCATAAAAGTTTTTGTATAATGGAACATGCTGAAATTGTATATGGTTTGCCTTGAGAGCCACCCAATGGTGAAACCAAAGCTGTGCCAGTGCTCCCATGCCATGTCCGTCAAAAGTTCCAGGATTCGGAACTTTTTTGTTCCAATTTCTCCCACTCCACGACCGTCGAAATTTCCGGGATTCCCTTTAGATTTTTCCAAAAGTCCCGGGAAAGTTCCGGGAAGAATCCAGGAAAATCTAAAAAGTTCCGGAATTCAGAGATAGTTCCGGGAAAAATTCAGGGAAATCTCCGAAGTCCCGGAATTCAGAAATAGTTCCGGGAAATGGGAGCACCGAGCTGAAACATACACGTTTAATCATCAAATCAAATCATCAAATTAGGAGCATCTAATTTAATTGAAAAAAAAATCCGATTGTTGCCAAAAAATAAAATCATTTAAAAAATAATGGTTAAATTTCTCTTGTTCCAGGCAATTCAAAATGTTATTGCACACCGGAAACATATTCTTAAAACGCCCCCAACGGAAAAAGACAGTTTTTATTTTCTTTCCAATGGTTCAAAAAAGTTCGATCCCGCGCAGTTGGAAGTTTCCCGTCGAACAGTGAACAATTTCAAGTGGTTCAACACTGAGAAAAAACTATGGCTTATAAACCTATTAGAGGTAAATATGGAACACTACTAATAGTAGTACCTCTACATATAATAATAGCACATATACCTTAGTTATGGTCTCTGTACCTTAATTAGGTACAGAGACCATAGTATGGTTCACAGACCGAGAATCATTAGTTTATTTACGACTATTATAGGTGTTCCATATTTACCTCTAATAGGTTTATAAACCATAGTTTTTTCTCAGTGAACCATCTAGCCTTCGCGATCGATTTTTATTTTTTTCGTGGCAGATCCTTGATGTCCTAGGAAGAAATTGCGTTGTTTGACTCACACAAAACACTTAGCTGAACAGAGGCTCGAAGTCTTTGGTCGGGCGGCAAAGCCTCGTGCTGCGCTTCGCAAGAATACGTCACGCCGTCGTCTTCTGCACTCGGACTTAAAACGATTCGACTCCACGCCGAGCGCCTCTTCTTATCACTCACAATCTTCTCCTCCTTCTTGTCTGCAACCCAACAAAGTCCACACGGACGCCATTAGTGTTACACTGTTAAAAATTGAATATGGAAATTCGGTGCCGGAATCTATATAGCATTCAAAACCCCAATGATAAGCATACGAAGTGAAAGTACTACCATAAAAGCGTATTGACACTCCACAAAAAGAGAAAATTCCGCTCCGCGTTCATATCGCTCGTAGAGCTTTTGGACGCTACACAGAATTTCACTCCAAAATTTGTGTCAGTGAACGTCACAGGAAAACGATGTACATCGATTTATTCCCCTTTGCTGACAAAGAAACAGGTTTGGTTATTGTTATTGATTTGATTCATTTCGATTTTATGAAGAATCATGATGCGGTCATCACTTGTGGCTAGGTAATAACTATATATCCACGCTCGATGTTTTCATCATAAACAAATACATAGTTTTGTCGTTATTCGTGCCAAATTAATCGATTATTGATGACGTTTGAATGAATTATACCATACTATATGTCGGAGGCTGAAGTGCAACATCTGCACGTATCCCCATTGCGGTATTTTAATATCTTCACCACTGGTCTATTTTTTCGAGATGGAACAAGTCAACTTCATGGCTTTAAATTTATGCAGGATATTTTACTGACTGAGAAGAAAAATCAAGGAAGTTTTCTAGAAGTTTCGTAGAATAGGTTTCCAGGGAAAGAATGAAGTATGATTGGAACAGAGGCGGATACAGCAAATTGGCATTACCGAATTTCCTCCATTTAAACCTATATGTTAAATAATCGATTTTTGTTGGAGCATCTGGCCCCTCCAAGAATCGATACATTTCTATAGGTTTAAATGGAAAAAATCCGATGTTGCCAAATTGTTGGATCCGCCAATGGACTGGAAGTCTACAACGTCGAAAACGGAGATACGGTCTTAGTCTAAGCTAATGACGATTAAAAAAAGTTTTTCTTTTTTTTTATAAACTGTGTTTAATCATCATCGCTGGAAAGACTGAAGGCAGCATAACTGACTACCGGTAACGTACCTAGCTTGAGTTGGTCCTTGCCGCGGTACCAGGCGATGACGGTTGCCGGTTTGGAGCCACTGGTGATGCACTCAAGAGACACCTCCTGCTTCTCCTTCACCTCCAACTTGGAGTTGTCCACGTGGTTCAGCATCGTGATCGATGTTGGAGGAGCTGTCAACACGCAAAACTATTTTGTTATCGGCATACACCGAGAAAAAAAAGGTATGTTCTGTGCGAGAGTGATGCGAGAATGGTACTACGGTAATCAACAACAGATTGTGCGGTCGCGAAGAGCGTATTAACAACAGATTGTGCGGTCGCGAAGAGCGTATTAACAACAGATTGTGCGGTCGCGAAGAGCGTAACACTCTACTGCGTTCACTAAAAGTATGGGAAGGTAGATCTGGGTTCACTGGACACACCAATCGTGAAATAAATGATATACGATAAGTAATGAAGCCTGCGAGCTAAAAAGCTAAGCTAAAATCTTCCAATTCCTATTTTTCAGTAAATATGGCACGCCATAGAAAACGAACTACTAATCATGCGGAGCCGATTAACTGAAAGCAGCGGTTACAAAATGTCCGGCTGATGCTAGTGCAAAAGGAGTCGCAAAGGCAACAGGAACTCCACGCACTACGTTCATTCGATATCGGAAGCCAATATCTTCTTCATTTATGGAGGTAAATACAGTAACCCGCCCTCATCATCAAATTTCCAAACCAACACAGGAGTAACTGCTTGCAGATTACACGATTCAAGTGTGCGTCAGACATACATTAAGGTTCGACAAATGTTCGAGGAAGGTAGCTTTTGAATACTCTCAAGTCAATCATGTTCGAGTTCCTGAGAGCTGAAAAACTCACAAGGCAGCGGGCAAAGATTGGCTGAAGTCCTTTATGGGGCATTACACAAAACAAATTATTATCATTCCACACCCCAGGAAGTGTGAGTTGGAGTCGTGCGACAAGCATTGATGAAGCGAAAGTATGAATTGTTTATGAGTATCTTGCTTCCAGGAGAGCAAAGTATCAATTTGCACGACAAGATATTTACACTCAGATGAAACAGGGTGTGTAACTGTTCATCGTCCACCCGAAGTTACCGTGCCGAAAGGGAAGAGAACAGTCTCGCAAATGACTCCTGCTGAACGAGGAACGTTGGTAACATTAGTCGCCATTATTGGAGCCACTGGGAAATCGGTGCCTCCGTTTTTAGTTTTTCCTAGACTTCCTTGAATCTGCCTAGGCGCTGCCCGTCTGAGAAACTTTCCTGCCTCCTAAATGTTCCAACTTTTAAACAACTGTACTTTAAGGGACTCTTAAAACTACTCCCAACGGAGAAACCCAACAACTTACAATTAGCAAGTGCAAGGGTCGGGGTCAGTGGATCAAGTGAAAGGCGAGTAATTCAACCTACCATTCGACTAGCACTCATGTCTGAGAAAAATATTACCTACAACTTGCCTTTGGTGTTTAAGGTGATTCGATGGACGCCATATTTTGTGTCAGAACGACATGCGATATATCGCATCAGTTGGTTCCATTTTTTCAGCTACTCTTCATTTTTCTCCAAGTTTGAGATCGCAATTCTGTTGTCAGGAGACTAAAGCACTCACTTACCAATTTTAACAAAGAAATTCAACGTAATAAAGGCGTGGTTTTTTCAGAGAGAAAACATCGCATCCGATACTGTTATCGAAACTGCACTCGAATGCGATATTTTCTCTCTGAAAAAACCACGCCTTTATTATGTTGAATTTTTTTGTTAAAATTGGTAACCGAGTGCTTTAGACTCCTGACAACAGAATTGCGATTTCAAAATTGGAGAAAAATGACGAGTAATTGAAAAAATGGAACCAATTGATGCGATATATCGCATGCAGTTCTGACACACAATATGGCGTCCATCGAATCACCTTAACCTACTGCCTGAAGCTTTCAGAAGTAGGTTGATCACAGAGGGTAAGTTGAACCCACCCAGTCCTCTCAGAGAGTGGCTCAGAAATGTTTCTTAAACGAAAAACAAGTTGCTTCCACCTTCCTGTGGGAGAAACTCGTGCTACACCATCCCTGTATTTTCTTTAATTATATGTCCCGATTTTCTATGCCTTCATTCCTGAAATGGCATTAATTAGGGTCATTTTTACTTTTTTTCTTTTTTCTTTTTCTCTCTATATTGTCACTAAATTAAATTAATTAAATATAAGACTAAGTTAATTAGGAAGTGGTGCCTATTGCCTGATACGATCTTTCTTGTTATTGATAAAAAAAATGTCTACGTTTTACTACTTTTGCCGCACGAGGTTAGACCTCTTGGCAAGTTTGTTGAAATGGCTTCAATTTATTTACTGTCATATGTATTTTCTCTTATTATATTGTCACTAAATTAAATTAATTAAATATAAGACTAAGTTAATTAGGAAGTGGTGCCTATCGCCTGATACGATCTTTCTTGTTATTGATTAAAAAAATATCTATGTTTTACTACTTTTGCCGCACAAGGTTAGACCTCTTGGCATGAAATGACCTCAATTTATTTACTGTCATATGTATTTTCTCTTATTCATACATGAATCTGAATCATGTTAGCGCTTTAGGTAATACGAGACCTGGTTTTGTCGCCCTTACAGCTCTACCACACCCTCGCGATGGCACAATGCATACTTTCTCTATGTACATAAAAAGAGGCTGAGTTAGCAGTATAATGATTCAAAATGAGAAATGCCTTTTATGAAGCCTACTCGGCAGCAACGGTCCAAGCAATTGGCAACATTTTGCAGTGGCAGTGCAAAAGTCGGTCGGCTGAACGGTTTTTAATAACCAAATCTACGCGCTTACAAAGACGCGGCCAATACCAGAGAGCGGGGCGGAGGGTGAAATTCATAGCTATGGTTAAAGTAGTGTTGCCTACTCACGAGTAAAATCTCCGAAGTTTTGAAGTTTCTTCAACGAGAACACCCTTCTTGTGTACCTATATTAATGGTGAATAGGAATACTTCAAACCTCTAGAATTCCAAAGTATATTATTCGGAGCGAACATTCAGTGATGCAAGACTGCGTCCATGGTATTGGACTTCATTCTCATCCTTGTAGTTCTCGGTTGCTCATTTTCCGTCCAAAATCTTGGAATCAATAACTACTTTAATGGAATGGTTCTTTTTTTTTTTTTTTTTTGAAAAATAGGAGTGACCGTAAGGTCCAAAATCGTGAGACGCAAAAAAATATATTTTTTTTTTTTTTGCCATGCGCCCAAAAAAATCTCGGGTTGCAGGAGTCGTAGTTTTTTTTTTTGAGTGAACCGAACAAGATGGCGGAATCAGCCTTGATTCAGAGCTGCAATTGAACTCCATTTTCAAATAAAAACCACTATTCCTGGCTCACCATCGAACCAACAAATGCGTTTATTGTTTCCCTGAGCAGATAGGTGCTTTAGTGGATAGGGCGATGGCTCATTGCAAAACAGGGTGTCTACTAAAACAGGCTGACCAAAAATCGTTACTTTTACAATACGTTTTCAGTACATTCCCAAGAAATTCAGTACCTCCTTAACATTACCCTGGTGAAAATTGGCGATGTGAGCTGCGTTCAAAACACCATAGGAATTCTTATAGCCGGCTAAAGAAGGCTACAGAAAATCATATAGCTGGCTGTAGAATGCGGAGAAAATCATGCGGCCGACGGCCGGGCTATACGAAGCGATAAAAAAATATTCAGCCGGGCTATAGTTCCTATCGCCGGGCTTTAACTTTTATTGACTGGCTGTTGCTTTTTCGCCATCGATTATAAAAGGCTATAAGAAATTGTGTAGAAATTCGTGTGCTTTGGAAATCATTTAAGTTTGATACGGAACCACCTTAATATTTACAAAACACACATTATATTTTCCTTTAATACATATTTTTTTTCCATCAATTAAAATGAGAATAATCCATACAGGATGTGCAAACATTTCAAAATCATGAGTTGAATAACGCTGACTCCGCCAGATTAAATGTTAGAGCCTAACACAAAGCGGAGCGGCGACGCACTGGCGCCTACAAACCAAACAGGGATACTTCACGCATTGCGCAATGCGTGAGGTATCCCAGTAAGGTTAGTAGGCGCCAATGCGCGTTCCGCGCTGACTGCTCGCCTGCCGCGCCGCAGCGTGCCACTGCGCTGGAAGCAACTATTTCACACCAGAGGTATTGCACAGTATCATACGAAACGGAAGGCGCTCTGATATATTAGGAATGGTAGGCATCCATCAAAAGTATGGAGCTTTCCTCGCAAAATAAATCAAGATACTACGGCCCAAAAAGAGAGCAGTAGTCCAAAAACTCACCAAGTCCTAGCATCCGTAATTAGTGACGTTTAGCATACACTTTATCGCCTGGCTGTTGTTAAATCGCCATCGGCTATAAAAGGCTATAAGAAATTGTGTAGCCGGATATAGAAGCTATTGGAAATCTTACAGCCGGCTGTAGATCTATGGTATTTTGGAACACAGATTCTACTGCCGGTAAATATTCAGTACTTTTTCAGTACCTCTGATAGTAGAACTCGAAAATTTTCAAAAATTTGAACTTTCCGCTCAAATTGCGACAAAAATGACAGAAAGATGCAAACATTCCGGACCTTCTTGCGGGATTCCCGCACTTTTTCAGTACTTCCGGGCCGCCCCTGAAAAGTCAGTACTATTTCCGTGCATTCCGAAAATTCCGGACTTGTTGTAGACACCCTGCAAAATGTAGCCCAGAACAAGGATTCTCTTTGCTCGTGCGGCGTGTTGGCAACGCTGGGAGGAGCGATCGCGCGCCGGGCATCCGAGTCCCTCGGGATGATTCATCGCCCCCATAAAAACGGGATCCTCACCATCCCTCCCCCTCCCCCCTGTCCGGCGAATCCGGGAGATAAGGAACGCTCTGAAATCGCGGACCGCGCGACGAATAAAAATATGAAGCGAGCGGTCCCCGACTGACGCGGCTGGGACTCCATTAGCTTATAATTTGTTTCAAATCGCCCACCGACCTCGTTTCTTTGCCAGCTCTCTGCAAATTCAATCGCACTCAAAATCCAGCTCCTGTCTTATGACCAGGGAAATGGGAGGGAGAACAACACGGAGAAATGCACTTAAGCGCAACAATATCTGACACAAAACTACAAGATACCAAACGGGTCAATAAAGCT